CTTCTTCGTTGTAGCGTTTTGCTTTAAATCGTGGAGTGTTTCGCTGTGGAATCTGCCCTGCTCTCTTTTTCGCAGGACAGATAGGTAACGTTGGGTTCTCGTTGTATGTGACTGATTCTTTTTTAGTCAGTCGTTGTTGTTCTTCTTGGATAGATTTAGGGCGTCCATCGCCTCATAAGTTAATTGCTCCAAGCTTTCTCCATTTTCATCCACGTCATCTCCGTCTTTCAAAACTTCCCAGAACGCGTCCCTTTCTTTGCTTTCATATTCGATGCTTCTTCTACTCCTCCTGTTCCATCGTCTGACAACTCTACTCCTCGGCATGGCATGCATATTTCTTCGCTCTTCGTCATGAATGCCATCTCTTCTCGTTGTTTCTTGTGCTGTGTTTGCTCTTCTACATTTCGTTGTTCCGCTTTGAGTTTTAGGCAATCCATTTCCTGTGCCCAATCTTTCCCACAGTGAAGCACTTTCCGCTGAACTTCTTTTTCCTTGAAATCCGCTACTGCTCCATTGTTCCTGCTGAATTTACCGTTTGACTTTCCTTGGTACTTTGTCCGTAGCTTCTTCCGTTCGAGCTCTTTCTTGTCTGGGCATTCTGTTGCTTGTGTCCGATCTTCCACAGTTCCTGCTTGCCCTTGAATTTTTTTCCTCCAAATCATGAAGCTGTTTCGCCATTGTGGTCTGTGACTTGTTCCGTGCTTTAATCTCATCATAGATTTCGCATAAGTCATCCACCACACTCTTTCCGTTATTCCATGTCCTGTTGTTTTGATCCTTCGCAGAACATTCTTCTTCACTTCATGGTACACTCCGAGTTCTCCTTCCTTCTTCGCATCTTCTCGAGAGGTCCTTGATGTACTCTTCGTCCGATATTCTTGAACCCTTCCTTCGCTAGCTTCTTGCGTTTCCGTCGAGTCCAATCTCGAACTTCTTTTGGGTTTTCCTTGATGTCCTCTTTATCGCGTAGTATTCGTTCGTCGAGCTGCTACTTCACCACTGTCTTCAGCATCGTAGAGGTCAGCATGGACTCCCACATGCCCTTAATTTCCCAGCAGCATGTCAGTCGTTTGGTGTGAGGCCAGTAGGTCGAAGGCGACTTGCCCTTCGATGGTCTCCACATTGATGAATCCAGCAGTATTCCAGCACCTTGCTGTTCTTCTTCTGCAGACTTTCGATCCTTTTCTACTTCGTCGTCCGACAACTTGCCCGTACCTTGTAGGGTTTTCCCAGTTGTCCGGTTTGATCTCCGTAGTCTTTCATCAGTTCTACGTACCCATACTTCGATAAATGGGCCATCATCTTGACCTTGTAGAACCTGAACTTCTCATCTTTCCCATCGAAGATGGATACTTGCTCGACGATGATACTCTACCTCCGTAGACATCTTTACTTCATTCTCAATTCTTCTCTTTTCTGTTTGACAACCTGGATCCAGCTCACTCTTTCCTGATAGCTATCGTTTTAAAACGTGTTGAAAGGTGTGAACTTGAACGCACAATTTCTCTAATTTAATCAATATCCTTCCAGCTCTACTGTCTAGTAGACTGGCTATTCGTTCGTTTTCTCTTCTCTCTCGTTCGATTGTGAGCTCTACAACTGAGCTCCGATATGCATACATATACCAGGATCTTTCGATCTCTGCTTCTCGCAGTTTCATCTACAGATAGATCTCGTCGATCTATCTTCCTGAAGTGCATGGTTGGCCCTGGAGGGCTTTCCCACTTTACTAAACCTATGGACCTTCATCCGTCCATTCATTTTGCTCCATCCCGTCGCTCCTTGCATTCATCTCTTCGACCTACTTCCTAGCCTTTGTAGTTGCATCATCTAGACGACCATTGTCCTCGTTCCTCGTGCACCTTGCCATCTGATGATGATCGGATAACCATCTGATTTGAGTCACACATCCCCAATCACGAACCGTGATTGTGGATCCCGAGTCGTCTGTCCGTCATACGAAAATACCTTTCTGACAACCGAGTGATGTCAGTTGAGGTTTAAGGTTGAGGTCAGTACGTCCCTTAAGTCTTTTATCGGAACTTTCGTTTTCGCATGTCGTACCGGGAGCCGATTTGCGTTTTCGTCAATAGATCGGATCCAGTCTGTACCGGTGCCAGACGGATGCTGCGGATTGCACTACTTTTAAACTTGCACAAAGCTTCCCAGTAACATCAGAAGCATGACAACATGACCAATCAGCTCAACATGCGATATACTTGGATGTTGTTGTTACTGGCTGCATTATCTGCTGATGGGTTTCTCAAACCAGCTCATCGCCATCTGCAGACGTCAAGAAGCCATGTCGCTCCAGCAACCTCGCTGACCCCCAGTGCTCGCAACGATCCACGGAGGTTATACCCTTATTCCTTGCTTTTGTTCAAGAAATCCAATGGCTCCCTGAGATGCACGCAGAGTCGACTAATAACGCAGTGGGTCCTCCTTCCCATTGTCATTTGCTTGGCCACAGCGAATAGCGCGCTCGCAACGTATGATTTTGACTTGTTGAACGGCAATGTCCAATTGGAAGAAAGAACAACTCTCAAACTCCAATCATCGTCATCGTCCAAGGAAGCCACGGTTGTTGTGCAACTGGCCAATCCACAATTGGTGGGAGCTGGCTCTGGTGGTGCCGTCTTTGCCTTTGACGATGCCACCGTTGGTGTCTCCAAAAGTCAGTCGTCGATCGTATTACCACCTCCCGCCAAGGACCTATTGGTCAAGATCAGTTGGGAGACAACCACCCAGGCGGTACAACACGAATGTCAGATATTACAATTGCTGGAACAGGAGCGCGTTTCGTCTACCGAGCGTTGTCTGGGGCAATTTGAGTATCCACGGAATCATGATCGAACGATGATTTTGGTGCATCCCTACATGCGAAATGCCGTGGCGAGCATTGAGGAACTCCCAACCGAAACGGCTCGGCGAGTCGCCGTGGATCAAGTGGCCCGCACGTTGGTGCAAATGTTGCTTGCCAATGTCATTACGATTGATGTTCAGCCGCTCCTGTCCGACACCAAGGTCCTATTTATTGACATGACCCAAGCGCAGGTCTTGTCACGCCATGACACTTTGAAGTACACGCCGGTGGAGCAGACCTTGGTGTCGTCCTTTACCAAAGAAATGGTCGCCTTGATTCCCGAACCATACTGGAACATTGCACAAGAATCCGTCCAAGACGAGCTGCAACGACAACTGCAACAGCGAGGGACGATCCCTCCCAAGATCCTTGCCGTTTTGGAGGATCAAACGCCGTTTCTGGATTCTTCCACGGAAGAATAGATAGCTAGCTAGCTAGCTAGCTAGCCACGATGTGGAGCACGACATGGAGTCGGCCGTTCGAACTACCGGTATCTGCCCATGTATTCAGCATCAGTGCCTTTGTTTGGCAGCCGGTGGGATTATATTCTATTCTTACTCGCCCGTGCAATGAGTGTCCTCGGTATCACTAGTGCACACCAACGCAATGCCACGGGACATCGAGCTTGTCTCCGTAATTTGCTGGGCAGCTCTCGACACACCAATCTACGATTATCTATTTATTTGGGCTTTTGTCGTGTAAACACCCTCGCTTCTAGGGCATCAAGTCGGCATGAAATGATGAAGCCGCCGGTACTTTCGCATGGCAGCCACCAGTGGTTTCGTCGTGCACTCGCCAGTGCTCTTGTCGCCATCAGCCCTGCACCCCGCCAGGTGCTGGCTCTCTGTTGTCGTATGGATCTAAGTTGGTGAGAATTGTTGAATCGTTGAATCGAAGAACGAATGCTAATGGCGCAACAAAAGTGACGTACCTGTTTTGTCTTTTGTCCCCCAATCAAGGAGGGGGCGGGCCTTGCAGTGTTGACACCAACCTGCAATGTAGATAAAAGAGAGGAATGAGTACAGAAGACGACCAAGGCAGACATTGCAAATGCAAACACACAATTTGAGCTTACCGTGTTCCCCCAAGCAGGGCCTGCAATATCGAGGCAATGAGAAAAATGTTAGTGCAGATCAAATAGGAGCATGAACGTTCAAAGGAATTGGCCCAGCAAAAGTGACGTACCTGTTTTGTCTTTTGTCCCCCATGACGAAGGAGGGGGCCGGCCTTTGTGTTGACACTCGCAGCAAGGCAATGAGAAAGGTTAGTGCAAATCAAATAGAAGAATGAGTGTTGAAAGGAAATGACACAGCAAAAGTGATGACGTACCTGTTTTGTCTGTTGTCCCCCATTGCAAAGGAGGGGGCCGGCCTTTTTGTTGACGCTCGCAAAAAGGCAATGAGAAATGTTAGTGCAAATCAAATATTAGAATGAATGTTGAAAGGAAATGACACAGCAAAAGTGATGACGTACCTGTTTTGTCTGTTGTCCCCCATGACGAAGGAGGGGGCCGGCCTTTGTGTTGCAACTCACCTGCAATGTCGATGGAAGAGATGAAGCAAAAAGCAAATGAGGTGGACAATGGCAATGCACGACACGTGTTTTGAACTTACCTTGGTGCCTGGCCAGGACTTGGTTTGTTGTTGTTGTTGTATCAGGAGACCTACGAAGGAAGAGACAATGGGTTATGTGCAACTGTAATCGGCAATGGACAATGCATGCAAAACATCAACGCCAACAAGATTGGACTTACCTTCTTTTGATGACCACCAGCAATCATCTCCAAGTGGAGGGCCTATAATGGAAGAGGAAACAGCAAATGAGGCAATCAACAGGCAACTCACGACACAGCACAACATCACATCTCTGTATTTTTCTTTGGTTTGGTGAGTTTTTTCGTTTTTGTTTTGTTTTTGTGGTGTTTTGCTTTTTGTTTTGTTTTCTGGTTGTGGTTTTTTGCTTTTTGTTTTGTTTTTGTGTTTTTTGCTTTTTGTTTTGTTTTCTGGTTTTGGTTTCACGTTTTGTTTCACAAACATAAAGGAACCATGCAACATGGTACCATCAAGCCAGCTCAAAGGTCGTCATCCCATTCACCGTCAACCTCCATTGCATCCGCGTCCTCCTCGCCAAACAATTTCCACTCTTCCAAAGCCAATCGCAATTCCTCCACCGGATCATCCAAGCAAAGATTCTGCAAACCCACTCGCAAGTCCTCCACTTCGCCCTCCAAGTCATCGAATGCACTGTCGTCCTCCAAAGTCAAGCTCTCCAAGCCCACACGCAAGTCCTCCACTGGATCGTCCAAGCGAATATTCTGCACCCCCAATCGCAAGTCCTCCACTGCACCTTCCAAGTCATCAGATGCATTGTCGTCCAAGCTCAAGTGCTCCAAGCCCACTCGCACGTCCTCCACTCCATCGTCCTTATCCATCAAGCTCCAGTCACCGAAAAGCTTTCGCAAGTCCTTGACCGAGTCGTCCTCATACTCAATTGTCAACTTCTGAGCCATCTCCGTCAACTCCACCACCACGTCGTCCTCCATTGCATCGACCGCGTCATCCTCCAGCCCAACGTCCTCATCCTCCATGTCCGCCACCGCGTTTGCATTATCTACCACTACTGGCGAGTTGTCGTCCACATCCATAATATTTTCATTGTCGTCGTGATTTTTGTCGTTCACATTGTCCACCTCCATGGCATCCACTGGTTTGTCGTCTGCAACATTTGTGAGGATCTCCACGTCTTCCATATCTTGCGACTTGATATGGTGGACTGGTTCTTCCTCGACAAGTTCTGTCTTCGTCATCATTGGTTGTTGGTCCTTCACGGCAGAAGCGACGGTTGGTTGTTGAATGACACACTGAACTGTAGATTGTTGGGTTTTTGCGGCAAGCTGATTGTTGGCAGTATCGGAGACTGCGGTTTCAGCGTCGTTCTTCCACTCCACTGCAGTAGCGACCACTGCATGAGGTTGGAAGAACTTGACTGGCTTGCTCTTTTTGACGACATTGCGACGCATCCATTCGCCGCCAGAGACTACGGCCGCAGTGTTAGTAGTGCTGCTGCTCTGGGCGACATGGTGCACAAAAGCCTTGGCGACCTGCTTCTGCTGCAATTCCTCCTTTTGGAGCCACTGATCATACTCCTTGTCTTTCTGTTGCTTGAGCTTTTTGGCTTGACGTCCGCTGAGTCCTGCCGATTCGACCTGCTTTTGCAACTGACGATCGCGACCACGCAACTTCTTGCTGGCCATCTTGTGAACGTAGACGACCGCCGTCGTCTTTGTCATCTTGTTGTTGCCGCCCGTTTCCACTTCACGGGGAGCATGCTGCTTCTGTTCCACCCACAACACCATGGTGAGGAACGCCAAGTAGAAGATAGCAAAGATAACATCACCAAGCGCCATGGTGAGAGGGGTAGGAATAGCGTAAACGCGAGAGAGAGTGTTGAACAAAGTATTCATTGTCGAGAGTTGAGAATGCAAGAGTTCTGTTACAAAACGTATTGAATTCAATATTGTGAGCTCGATAATGAAGGATGCTCGATGATGAAGGTCTCGTGATGCGTCATCGTGGAAACGGTCACGCCGTTTCACGACGTTTCTGTCTGACTATGTCCGAAACGACGACGCATCGTGACTGTTTCTACTTCGGCCGTTTTTCCACGCTGTTAATTCGTGAATAACGCAGCTCTGTCGAGTCGTGAGCGAGAAGGATTCATGATTCATGAACGAAAACGTCCACGACGAATCGTGACTGTCCGAACTCGGCCGTTTTCCACGCTGTCGATCCGTGAATGAACACTCCTGATGAGTCTCGAGCCAAACTGAGAGTTTTTTATTTCAAATTGAATCCCACAAGAGTGTTGCCAGTCCCACAAGAGTGTTGCCAGTGTTGCCGGCAACGTTGCCGGCAACACTGGCAACGTTGCCGGCAACACTGGCAACACTGGCAACACTCTGGTGAGATGAAACTTGAAATTGAATTCTGGCATTTTGAAATTACCTGAGTAGAATTGTTTTTCTTTTAAAGCCCGGTACGTACCTTTGGAGTTGGTTGGCTTGTCCACGTTTCTTCGGTCCTGGGCTTCGGGTCTGGAAGCCCATGTCGCACACGACATCCAATGCGACGTACCGTATGATACGTCCGACTTTCTAAAAGGGGCTGCTGTGCGAGCAAAGCACGTACCCGGTGCGGAACCAGTATCAAGGCGTTCCTGAATTCAAGCCCAACAACCACCATGGCGCTGATACCTCACCGCACCGGTAGCAGCTACCAAAACGGTGTTGTCAGGACCGGTCTTCGGAGCCCCTGTGCTAGTACCAGTAGCGCCAGAGAGAGCGTCTGAAGCTCTTTGGAAGACGCCCAGAGCGGTAACTGTAGTAGACCCAGAAGTGAGCTCAGTGCTGGTGGTCTTGGGCGCTGTCTTGGGCTGAACGAATCAAGCCGCGGGGAGCTGTTCCTTGTTGTCCATCCAACTGTGTGGCTAGCTCTCTAGCTACCGGTAGCTAGCCCAGCCATCATGTCACTTTCCAACCACGGCAGCAGCTACCACAACAGAAAGAAGTCTCCGCCGAAGTCACCCCCAAAGTCTCCCACTCCAAGCAGTCCTCTACCTAAACTGGCCGCCAAGACAGCCCATGCCTTTCATGCCATGGGACACGGCATTGAAAAGGCCGCAAAGACCGCCGCCGCTCCCATTCAAAGAGTGATTCCTCACCACCAGAACAAAAGAAATGAAGGCCTCGTCAAGACCAAACAAGGATCCAGGAACCGCATTGGACTCTTTGATGAATTCAGTACCTTTGAAGACGATGACGCCGACAAAGACGGTGACGCTTCTGTCATCAGTTCCACTCCATCCGAGACCAAAAACATCAAATTTCAAGCACACGATTTCCATGGACAACACAGCAACAACTTTTACAAGTACTACTCCATGGGGAGATTGATCTACAAGACACGGTTTTGCCGCGTCAATGTTTGTCGCTCGTACTTGACCAAGCAAGAACGGGTCGTCAAGGTTGTAAGGGAGACCACGTCGGAATGCCACGAATTTGAAATTCTCAAAGATTCCGATCATCCCAATGTCCCAACCATGTACGAAGTCTTTCAGGGCAAGAACAAAAATGAATTCTTTCTCGTCATGAAATATTGTCAAGGAGGAACTCTGTTGGATTTGCTGCACGGTAATACACAACGCCCTATTATTGTTGGCCCCCCTCGTATATTGGAAGGTGGAAAAGTCATTGGTGGATTTGTCCAGGGACGCTTCAAGAATGGAGCCGACATGCTCACTACCATTGCCACGGAAGGACCGCCCCGGCCCATTCGATCTTGCGAAAAGCAGGACGAACAACCCTCGTCCACCCGAGCCACCACAAGATCTACAGCCTTGACACCGCCCGCTCCGTGGCGAGATGACACCGAATGGGATGTCACGGGAGCCAAAGGCTCGCATAAGACGGTCATGAGAGGCTGCTCTCCTACACGCAAGGATAGATCTCCCACACGCAAGTCTCCAACTCGAAATAATAATGATAGATTACCAACTGCTCGCAAGGGTAGATCCCCCACACCCAAGGACAAAGATCCACCACGCAAGAGGCATTCGTATCCCAACACTCATACACGAAAAAGTCCAAACCGAAAAAGTCCCAACAGACAAAGTCCCAACTCGAGACAAAATCCTCCTATTCCGAGACATGACAATCCACAGGAAGACGACGACTGCGAGGATGAGGACAATATAGCCGAAGATCCCCATGAACACATTCGTCGCAAGTTTGGAAACCAAAAACAAAAGCAAACACACTGTAAGAGCCCCTTATCCGAAGCAGACGCCAAACTCATCATGCTACAATTATTGGCAGGTCTTTGCTACTGTCACGACAATGGCATTGTCCACTGTGACGTCAAGCCCGGAAACCTCATGTTCAACTACCCCAAAGATATTAGTTACATCACACTCATTGACTTTGATACCTCCTTTCGACAAAAATCTCCCGACGACACCATGAACTACCAACGCGCGCCAGGAACCGGACAAGATGCCGCCTATCTGGCACCTGAAGTGGTCCAAGAGTTTCCTCAGTACAATCACAAATCGGACGTGTGGTCTGCCGGCGTGACACTCTACAAAATGCTCTCCAACACACTCCCCTTTGTCGATAGTCCTCACGATACCGAGGAAGATATTCGTCGCAATATTCTGTCGGGTCGACCCGTCATGTTCCCCGACGAGCATTGGGGTAGTATTTCCCGAGACGCAAAGGAATACATTGCCTATCTCTTGAATCGTCGTCCTGCCGATCGTCCCAGTTCACGAAACGCCGTGAATCACATTTGGTTGGCCTCGGCACGAGAACAAGTGGCCAGCGTCTTGGACCCAAAGCTGGCGGACGAGTCGGGAGCCGCCCGAGTGCTGCACAATCTCCGCAAATTCAATGCCGCCGATACCAAAATGAAAGAAGCCGTCTGTGCCTTTATCGCCACACACTTATTGACGACCGAAGAAGTTCGGACCATTGACCGCGTCTTTCAAGCATTGGACACGCAACGCAATGGCAAAATTCATCGATTCGAACTCAAACAGGCGTACTACAAGGTCTACAACAAGTTCATTACCGAAAAGGAACTTGACAAGCTTATGCAACGAATCGATCTCAACGGGAACAATGTGATTGCCTATTCCGAGTTCAGAATGGCTGCCGTGGACAAGCATGATCTTCTGAGCAAACAACGACTCAAGAATGCCTTTGATTTGTTTGATAAGCAGGGGAAAGGACACGTGACACATGATGAGGTTCGAAACATGTTTCGTTTTATGGACATGGATATGAATTACTTGACAAAGATCCTCCTTCAAGTAGACAAGAACAACGATGGGGAGATATCCTTTGATGAGTTTGTCTTGATGATGACGGACAGTGGACTGCACAAATCTGCCACGCCTAAGTAGGACTATCGTTCAGTTCCAGTTGGCAGCAGCCCTCCCCGGTCGTTGCCAAAGGGTGCGGCGCTTCGAGACAGCAAGGTGTCATTCTTTGTGTTTCTAGTTTGTAGATTGCATGACAGCTACGTAATGTAATACGATATTAGAATGTGAGCCTAATTTTTTGTATTGCTTTTGGATCCTTTGGCGCTGCTCCTTCGTTGTCTCACTCTTGGCCTAACTTTCAACGCTGTCCTGACCTGGAAAGAGGGATCCCGTCCGTGCGTTCTTTCGACTCATCAATCAACCAGCACTTCTGCGGCCGGCGAGGCATACATACTGCACACGTCCGGTTTCACGAATTAGCAGCGACCAACTCGCACCTCGTCAACATTCTGACATTTTGCTTGTGTATTCGATCGTTTGATCGTTAGCTTACTTTCTGCATAGTTACTTTGCGGAAACACGTCTATCGTCATTCCGGCAAAAATCAGGTCTTCTGACACTGGAGCAGATACCATATAAATCCAACCAACGGTAAGCCCATCGAATCAGGGCCGTGGGCGCAACCGCCACGCCTTTTCAGCTCAATGAACTGGGTGGGTACCCAAGGGGCGACAGAGCCGTCGTCCTCACACCGGAAGGATGGAGTTGCTGCTCCATACACAAGGGTACGATGATGGCTCGAAGAACGCGCCACGGTCTGCTCTGGAAGAGTCAGATGAACGACCTGCAATTTTAAAATTCAGAGGTGAAATTTTTGTATAAAAAGGGGATTGCAAAAGTAAGTCTTCCCTTGAAAACCTGAAGTACCGTACAGCCAGATCCTGGCGGATATGCCCCCACAGAGGAGTAAAAAGCAGCCAGGAAAAGGAAGGACCACGGGCTGGATGACTAGTATAACTATAGTCTAATAGATTGAGTATACCATGGGGCAAAAGAGAAGTGGTGGAGGGGCGGCTCTCCCGACCCTCGCAAGGACAGATATTATTGAGATCCGACGCCGAGACAAAGACCCACCTTAGGTTTCGGACATCCAAGCGCGTCTGTCACGACGGTACAACCGTGCTATTGGACGGTGCAAGTACAACTGTTTGATGTCGATGGGGTCCAATGATGGCTCACATCGAAGGTGCGGTCACGGCCTGCCATGTCAAGCAAGTGTTAGAAGAGTGTGTTTGTGATTGGCCAGCTGCCTACCACAGCTACCGTAGAGAACGGCCAGCCATGATGGACGCAACGAAAAAATGCACTCTCCTTTTATCTATCTATCTCAACTCGGTAATGCGTTCCATAAGCAACGATCCCCGCACCGTTGGTTTGGGTGGCGGTTGCATGGTCATCATGGCGACAAAATCTTCGTATACGATTCCCCCCTTTCCCGTATTGTCGACTTGATCGACAATGGTGACGAAATCTTCCATGGTCAAATGATGCGACTGGACAAACTCGTCGGGAAAGGCATCGGACAATTCCATGACTCCCACGGACCTTTTATGGTGCTTGTCTAGTAATTGAAACGCCTGTTTCAGTCGTTCCGGTGTCAGCAATGTCTCTTCCTCCTCCAAGGCAGCACATTTGAACTCGGAGTACTGCAATACCCGGTTGTCGTGGAAAATGACGTGATCCTGTGCAGATTGTTGTTGCTGCTGCTTGTGCATCATGTCGTCGGCATGTTCCTCGTCCTCATTATTATTATTCTGCAAATCATGTTGAAACTGTTTCCACAATTGGACCATTTCGTCATCATCGGGCAACTCATCATGTTGTCCATCATTGTATGCCCGTTGGTATCCCGCCCGGAGTTCTTTGGGATCGAGTTGTCCATTGTGATTGGTATCCAAAGCATGAAAGACTAAATCGAGACAGTGTGTTTCGTCTTGGGACAAGAATCGTGCCGCCATGAGTTTGCAAATGGCTTGTCGCAACTTGAATACGGCGTGCCGACTGGCGTGTTTGTTTTCCTCCAACGATTTGTTGCTATGGTCCAGATTGCTGTCACTCGGGTCGTTGTTGTTATCTGCGGAATGCCCATTCGTATTCATATGTGGATGTCGAGTCCGTTGTCGTTTTCGACGAGCGGTAATAACGTTGGGATAGTTTCGTACATGTCCCAGAATCTTGAGGACGTGACTATTGTTGTCGTCCAATAAAGCATCCCTCACTTGCTGGCACTGTGCTGCCAACCATTCGTGTTGCAATGCCACGGCCGCTGTGGGTCGTTGATTGGCGTCATGAGTCAACAATTGTCGTATGAAATCTTGTGCGAGTGGAGGGACCGTGTCTGGAAATTGGAGTGTTTCTGTTGCAGTCTTGTCGAGTATGCGTTGCCGAATGGCATCTTCCCCATCGTCCTTCGTGTGGACAAAGGGCAGTGATTGCGTGAGTAGTTGATACAGCAGAACCCCACACGCCCAAATATCCGCCTTGGAATCATAGGCGGGAATCTCCTGTAGGACTTCCGGGGCCAGGTAGACCATGTCGTGTCCTTGATCATTGCCCCTTATGTAGTTCATTTTCTTGTTGTCGTCCATCATGGGAAAGGAGAGTGAAAAATCAATCAGTGTGATTCTTGCCGCGTGAGGAGGAGGAGGGTGCCTTTGGAACAGTACATTTTCGGGTCGCACGGCACAATGGACAATGCGTTGATGGTGTAGATAATTGAGGCAACTCAAGAGTTGAAACATAATAGTGGTAGCATCTTGTTCGGATAAAAGTGATGATTGTGATTGTGATTGTTGTAGTGAATACTGGACTAATGATTCTCCTTGATATTGTCGTAATACCATATAAAACTCGTGTTGCGTTTTTGGATTTTGGAAGAGTTCATAGACAATGGGTAGATTGGGATGATCGAGTTGTCGTAGCATTTCGTATTCGTGACAGTAGGAGCAAGTCTCTTGCATAATTTTGACAATGCGTTGTTCCTGTGGCTTTTTCTTGTGCTGACAGACATGAACCCGTGACCATGAGTCTTCTTTGATAACGGCTTCACCCTTAATAATACCGTAATGATCTTCAAAGCGACCCACCCGGGTGGGACGAGTCGTCGACATGACGGCCAAGGCAAACGTCGTCGAATCGCGAAAACTGCTCATGTTGGTCATTTCAGAAGATCTCAAGTTGACATGAATCACTCCTTCATCCCCTTCCGATACTGACACGGATTCCATGGATTGGTCCATGGTTGGATAGACAATCAATCTATAATATATGGATGGATGGATAGATGGATGGAGGGTTGGAGGATTATGGCCAATATTGTGTATGGTAGGGGTAGCTCAATAGCAAAAGATACCAAAAGAAACCTTTGGGGTATCTTTCTCGTCGATGGAGGTATCAACTCTCACTCTTCCTAATCCCTCCGGTGCTTGATCCACACAGTGAGGCACTTGTTCGACTGATCCTAAGGGTCGCTTTAGCTGGTGTGATGTGTGAAGGATCCTTGCTGCGCCTTGATTGATGAGGTGAGTGACGTTGCGATCTTTCGTCTTTCATGGCTGTGACAAGCCAGATGAGCCGCTGACAATGGCTTGAGCAACTGGGCCTATTTCCGGCTACGATACCGCATGCACTGTAACGATAAGCTTCCAGCGCAAAGGCAAACGAGTAAGTGTCCATGGCGTCAACATACATGACCATTCATGTTAGCCCACACAAGGGCATCATACAGTAGGCATCCCCAGCTAGCTAGCACGACTTCAACAAGGTCCATACGACCATGTTTTTACGGCCTTTCTGAAGCAGATTGATTGATTATCCATATCAGATCTGGCGTCATCAGCTTGTACTGTGCCACCCAGCTCCAGGAGCGTTTTAGACGGCGGGACGCTTCACTCTGCTGGTGCAGTTCCACCACACGGCTTCACAAAGCCGGCAATTAGTCTACCGGTACGCAAGATTGATGATGATACAAGAGGAGGACGCTACATCGCTCCATGACTTTTGGTGTTGGTTGGTCAGTGGCTGGTTTCCATAATGTTACTCCTACATGTAGCTAGTCGCTATTAGTACGGTACGACTCCAGAGATCCCCATCTTCTTTGCTTTTGTCTTTATGAATGCCATGAACATGGACCGGTATGCGTGTGTGATGGCGATATGGAGGGAGGTTATCCAATCCCAGAATCGAATCACTGGATTGACTGTACGACTGTATGTGGACTGTGGGAGTGAAGTGTGACTGTGGAGACGTTGCAAAAGCTGTTGTAAGTTTTCTGGCTGGCAGAAAAGCAATGCACAGAATTTTAAGGGCTCGCTTTCTGATGAACGATTGTTGCAGCGGTAGTAACAATTGTGATGAGACGTCTCTTTGGCAGGCTGACTGTGTCTCTTCCTTGGCGCCATTGCATCATCGATCTGTCATTCCATCCCTTAGTACTGTACCCGTAGTTCGCTAGAGGGCTCCACGCATTACAACAACACACCACCACCACCACCATGTCTACTCTTCGGACCAGCTTTTTGCTATTGTGCCTTTTCTTGATTTGGGACCGTCCAACTCTTGCCGCCAGATTCGGGGTGCCTCTTCCAGATGGCGGCATTTGTTTGAATTTTACTTCTACGACAGATACAGAAGAATTGAATGTGGCATGCATTGCTGCTAGTTGGGGAGTCACCAACCATCCGGCCACTGTGAATGGCACGACAATCTACATTGGACAAACCGCCAATGAGTACCAATGGGTTCGAGGGCACAACAGCGATAGCTACACGGCCAACGGGGAGGAACCACTGGGAAGTGTACGAGTGGGTTACACCAATGCAGGAGTGCAAGACTGTCACCTGCAAGTGGATGGCACGCAATGTTGCAGTTGCAGTTCCTGTGTCGATACCAATGGAAAATTGGTGGGAATGAAGGCAGATTGTTCCAATATACCCTACGGGAGAGTGGTGGACCAATGCGAGAGCACCAAACATTACTTTCCGTTTGATTTGAGCGCAAACGGTGTGATTGCTGCGTGCAATGTCGATGCTCCCCTTTTTTCAGGTCCTACCGAAGTGCCAACCGAAAATCCCACCACAACGGCACCGACTGCACAAGCCACTACTACTACTACTACTACTACTACTACTACTACTACTACTACTACTAGTACTGAGAACAACAACAATACCTTGAATGAGGAATCGGCTGTGCCTAGTGCCACTGACAGCGAGAGCAATACCGTGGAAGATGAACCGCTTGTGATTAGTGCCACTACTGACAGTGACAGCGGTGCATTGGGTGCTCAGCATCATCATTATGGTCTGATGGCTCTCTCAAGTATCATCATGCTGATGATTCTACCAGCGTTGATGTGATGACGACTATTGCATTTGGCAATCTACAATTACCAAGCTAATCTCCCTTTCTCCCGGTACCGTACTAAATTCATAACGCTATCTCCCCGTACTAAATTCAAAGTTTTGCTTTCTTAGTCGGTCCGGTGGAGTAGCAACTCGACTATCCCGGCACAAGAGTGAGGGGAAGCATCTGCCAACTTTAGTTGCACGTAGCTCGTCAGCTCTGTGCTTCGTATTCTATGAAGTGGTGTCTCAAAGTGGTGGCTGCTTTTGTGATCAGAGTGTGAGGATAGTTCCGATCAAGGAAGACTCTGGTCATGATCGAGTGCCCGTTGTTCAGATTGACTTTGAAAGTTTCCCAAAGCTTACAACATTGCGAGTACCGGGAGATTTGAGTATTTGGTTCATTTCAGCTTCTTAAGGCGTTGTCAAGAACAAGTACAAGTTCCGATGCCCAGAATGCGCCATCTGGCGGTTTGGTTTGACCCCGTCGCCATTGCCCAAAGTGAGCGCCTCTGAAGATATGCACCACCCGAGTGGGCACAACTACCATGGTTCCATAAAGAAAAGAATTGCATACAATGAGTTGGCACTGCTACTGTACGTTTGCTATAGTTAGTTGTTAACATTATTTATCACAGTCCCTCGTTTAGTTCACATTCATATGCACAGCGTTTTGCTTTTGTTGTTCGTAATGAATGAGCATTTCCACCCACACCGAGTTGACATCCCGTTGGGACGATGGATCGGATGGAACCATCACTGCTTGATCATTCCGTGTAGCCTCCACAATGGTCAAGGAATCTTGCATGGATCGCTTGGGGTGCAGAGCAACCGTCTTTCGGGTCTTTTTGGTGGTGGCTAATGGCAATGATGTCTTTTCATAGACCACTGTCATTTGACTTTGTGGTGAAGGAAACTCTCTGGCAGATTCATACTCCGTCCAGTATTTGGTAGCTTGAAAGACATCAATATGGTCTCGCTGGGCCCTGAATGGTTTTCTGTCACTGCCGGAAGATTGTGAAACTGGGGCGTTCTTACCCAAACCTAGATCATACGTTGTCTTGGCTGGTTTTGTGAATGTCGCTCCAAATAATGGTTTTCTTTGCTGTTGATTGCTGGGGGTAACAAGTCCAGTGGAAAGATCAAATAATAGACTATCCTCTGGAGCCAAGATGCTCAGCTCGATACCCCCCAGAGGGAATACCGTTGATCTTGGCATTGATACTGGCGCACCGACAGAGTAGCCATGGACGCTTGCGAGTGATGATGCAACAGCCGCCGCCATGAGCCATCTTCTTGGGTGGATTTGATGTTGTGATGATGATGCTGTGGAGACCATGTTGGTGTGTTGTGTGGCTATAGAATAGATGTTTGGTTGTTTTGCTTTGATGCTTTGCTTGATTTCAACTTGTGTGCCGTTCCAACATCTAAACATCAACTGGTACGTATCTTTCAACTCGACTTGACTCGAGCCGAATAACAGGGATAGCTACAGATGAATAACTCCACAAGACTTGGTGCGTACATGCCCAAGCCTTGTGAACAACATGGATGGCCATCGATCATCGCGTGAGAAAATGAAACTTGCGTGAGGAGCGATGGGCCGCCCTGACGTTTTCTTTGGAATTCTTTTCAGAAACACCTTCTTCGTTCGAATTCTCACTCTGAACTGCTCGCGCACTTTTCCTCAAATAAGATATCAGCCGGTGGAGCGGCTAATGACTGAATAGTTCTTTTGTTAGGTGGTTGTCAATAAGCCCCAAAAAGCTGTTATGGTGCCAAAGACCCAAAGATACTGCACTAGCTAGACCGGTACCGTACATGTTGTAGTTGTCGCTGCTAGCTGCATGCAGGCCATTGCAGTAACGTAACATGGTTATTAGCAAACAGCTTAGCAAACGCACCCACCAAACGAACAGGATCAAGCGGTTCTATCGGTCGTTTAGCAATGAACAAAAGTTGCTGATAGGGACCGTGTTGGTAGCCACTTCGATCCCCTTGACGCTGCTCTGGTTGGTGTCCAACCATGATCCTGCTACCACCGATCTCTTGACGGCGGCCCAAAAGTACACTCGGATTGAACTAGAGAAAGGGGAAGAAGGAGCGTTGGAATGGAATCCACGGCTCTACGAACGACCAGGACAAAAATGGGATGATTTTAGTATTGGAAAAAGTTGTCGATGGAATTCCTATCGAAACCAGAAAACGGATACCCAAGAAGGCAGTTGGCACTGTATCGATTGTGGTTTATCCGTGGAAGATGCCTGCAAGCCATTGCAACGAAGAGGAATCTGCAGTCCGTTCAATATGTTGAATTGGGATGCCGACCGACCCCGGAAACGATCGCATTTTCGAACCCAAGCCATGGATGTGGCGTCGGGATGGGTCACCACGCATGCAACACATCCCACCAATTACGAACAGGCTCCCTGCACGTCCGACTTGGCACTGCCGTGTTTTAATTTGACACGGTGTCCTACAGATGATGAGCCCATGAAGGTGTACTTTCATAATCCAGAACGGAATGCGCATCTGACATACACGGTCGATTTGGCGGCCAAAAAGTTGCCGGGAGAGATCATGTTGACCACCAATCATAGTGAGGGATGTCTATTTGTGGTATCGGAATACTCGTTCAAGAGTAAAGAAGAAATGATACATAATCCCCTTTATATGGGTGAGTCAGCGAGTGCAATGTTTTGTCCATTGTGATGTTGGCTCTCACGGCTGTGATTTTGCTCTCATGTGGACGTTCTCTTTCATCTGGTATTGGTCCTTTACCAATACACGACAAATCCTTGCGCCAATAATATGTACACGACAACCTCCTCGATCCTACTACTAGCTGGTCAAAATCACTTTGCTTGGAACTCTGGTGTCTTCTTTGGAGCCCACGGAGATCGACCGCATCCTCACCACTTCAATTTTGAGTTTGCCGCATTGGCATCGGGAGGTTTTACGGATGCGCAGTTTCGTCCTGGTTATGACATGAGCATGCACTTGCCACAAGTCTGGAAGAGACCCAACGAAACAAGCCACTTGGACATGCACCGTCCCAGGAGACTCCTGTTGAGTTTCAAAGGAGCCATCGATACGTTCAATGTGAAACAGGCCATTCCCTTTGAACACCATCGGTGGCTGGCACTGGAATACTGGGAGACAGCGCCGGATGTCTTTGTGGATGCACGATGTGTATACGACAATGTCGAATATAGCTCCAAACAGGATCAAGAGTCGTACGGAGAATTGTTGCTCAATAGCACGTTTGTGTTTGCCCCGGGTGGTGGAGGTGCCAACAGCTTTCGATTTCAGGAATCGCTGGCAGCCGATGCTATCCCTGTGGTGGTGTCGTATGTTGTATTACCATTTTCACCCGAGATTGATTGGATGGGTTGTGTGGTCAAAGTCTCGGAAGCTAGGATTCCGGACCTCCCACGAATCTTGCGAAACATTCCAGAATCAGAGGTCCAGGCACGAAGGGAGCGATGTCGTTTGCTCTACAGAGGGCTGCTTGGACGAGAGCAAGACATCAATGGGGATTGGGACATGGCACCTCATTATAGTCATACCTTTTTGTTTGCCCTGAAGATCTGGCGACAGCGCATTCGAAAGGCACATTACATGCGAGAACTAATGGGGGAATTGGATGATTTAGTATTGCATGCTTCCATGTATGAGAAGGAATTCAAGACGAATGAACCGTTTCAGTGAAGCACTCCCCAAGTCTCGCTTGGTAGGGAAGAAACAACAATGGACAAGGATAGAGAAGTGACGCGGGGCGAAAAATTGGCTCTCAAGGCTCCCTTGACGATCAATTCTTCCAAACAGATGCTACGATGTACCGGTACATCAACAGCAACCAACGATCTACGGGAGTAAACAGAGGCTACGATGTACATCAACAGCAGCCAGCGTTCTGCATCGTAGCGGTTTTAGCTGCAATAGTGCCTTTGGCGCAAAGCGGACCCGCGAGTAACATCTTTAGTTGCTAGCTAGCTATGTTCCAAGTTGTTCAACTCAACGGAAAGAATAGTTTCCGCATCCTACATTCTATTGGTGCGTTAATGCTATTTTTAGCTCTCTTCCTGTATTCTCTCTGCATCATTGGACGCCATTTCTTGTTCCGGCTGTACTGGTTGCTGTGGCGGATCCGGATCCGGTTGTTCTTGTTCTTCTTCCACCACAACATCCTTGTCGTCCAGGATATCCAACAAGACATCGGGATCCATAGCGGCGGCACCGGCACCACCCCAATCCCCACCTCCAATCATGACATCGAGCCACCATTCCAGCAGTTCCATGGGATCCCGCAGCCGTCCCACACCATTATGAAAGTCATCCTCGCTGTCGTACCGAATGGGTGCGGCTGCGGTTGCTGCTGCAGGAGGAGGAAAGTAGTACACATCGGGCAACCACGGGATACTAATGTTGTGTACTTCATTTTGACTGACATCCATCATGTACAATGCCATGTGCGAGTCCCATCTCAAATCTCGCAGAAGCTCTGCAACACGATAAAACACAGTGGCATGGAATCGTTTGCAGTGACCACATGTGGGGGATGTAAAGAGCACGAGTGCGTGTTCTTGTTGTGATTGCTGCTGCGTGTCGTCCGTTGCCTCTTGTGATTGTAGTTGTTGAAATCGTTGCTGAAATTCGATCGCCGTCAAGGTAACGACACCGTAGGAATTGACATTGGCATGGGGCGTGGGTGTTTGACTACGTAGTTCAGGCGTCAATCGTCTATTCCAAAAGTCTTGAATGAATTGAGAGACGGGGTTGTTGTTGTTGTTGTTGTTTTCCTGTTGCAAGATGTGAGGAGGTCCAAGTCGGTATCGTCGTACGCCATGCGTGGTGGTCGTAGTTCCATCGCTGTACGTATGCCGCAAGGGTCTCCGATCCGTAAGGAACAGTGTCGGAAACACGGGTTCCGTGCCGTGCTCCTCGTTGTCCAAAGGACCCGTCGCTCGTTGATCCAATGGCGTCCAAAAATCCACTCCCAAGGTGGTCAATATTCTCGTTTCGGTACTGGGTACCAAGAGACACATCATTTGTTGTTGTTGATGATGACATTCATCATGAAAGGTTTGCAACACTCGTTGCAGTGCAGGTGCATATCGATCTTGTTCGTTGGTTGTTGTCAAAAAGGGATGCATATTGACCATCAACAAGGCATGGACTTTGTAATCATTGGCAAAAGCAATGGGTGCCGTGGCATATCGATCGAACCAAAGTACGGAGGGTGTGACTTGTTGAACGAGGAATCGTCGAAAACGATGTTTGGCGGTGGCCACGGGATCATCATCATCATCATCGTCATGGTCATCATCCATAGTAGTACTTGTAGTAGTGTCCGAGATGATGGGATGATGGTTCCAATTGGGCGGTCGCGCATGACGATGCCGATCTTGCAAGGAAAACGAGTAGACGGCGACTTGTGCGGGTGTCATTGCAATGTCATTATTACAATCTTGAATGGCGAGAAACCAGGCATCGCGACGACTGGAGAGTACCCATGCCAGTTCGGCAAAACTGGTGTACAGATCCAATAAAATGGGATCCTTGGTGGGAGATTGACATTGAATCAATAGTTTGACCGTTTGTTGCGATTGTTGCGACGATTGTTGTTGTAATAACCACTGAATATAGGAATAATCTTCCGGTCCCCATTTGGGACTGACTCCACCGGGCAAGTGTTGGACACTGCGGGCAATGGGTTGTATCAAGGGCCACCATTGATGGTCCCACAGCGACCGTAATTCCTGAAGGTTGGTCAATTGTTTGGGTACAATTTGTGTGGCAAATTCGTCGGTATGATGCGAGAATGGTTTGTAGTAGTCGGTTTGCTGTGGCGTTGAGCTGGTCCAAAAGAGTCGTAGGTAATACTGCAAGACGGTATTGCCCACATCCCGTGCCGTTTCCATGGGACCAATGTAATCCAAGAGAAAGGCTTGTTGTTGTTGCTGCTGTTCTGATGTGGTGGTGTGTGGGAAATTGCGTGCCACAACAAAGACCAAAGTGGGTGTAGTGTCGACTCCGACATTGTCCAACCATTCGGCAGCCTTTTCTTGACTGCTGTGAATGTCGAGTGATCCAAAGTAAATGTCTGGTGTCTGTATTAATTGTTGGACGTATTGCGCGGCATCGTGTAGTTTGGTCAACCACTTGTCTTGCACGTCCGTGGCACATGCCGTGTCATCGGACGAATGAATCAACGCCAATAAGAGTCCGTGAGGATCGGCATCGTGTTGTTGATTCTGTAGAACCACGGGAAACGATCGATGAGATTCCAATATCCAAATCCCATGATCATCTTGTTCCAATTTTGTCTGTTTCTTCTCACTACTACTACTACTAGTAGTAGTGGAATCCATTGCTGGATCACCTTCCTCTTCTGACATTTTTTGCTGTTTTTGCCGCTCCAACAACTCGTCTAGCTGTTTGGTTTGTTCTTGCAATTTGTGCAACACTTCTTCCAGTGCTTGCGTCTTCTTCTCTTGCTGCTGCTGATCCTCTTGGGACATGCCATTCACCCTGACATCTTCATCATCATCTGATCTAGTAGCTTCCTCTGGATTCTGTTGATCCTCCTTGGGCTGATGTTCACTTACGTGAGCGCCATGGACGACCATAACCACCAGAAACAACACTAAAAACACCAACACATTCATCCCACAACCTCTTGCTCTCGATCGACTCCTTCGGGTACGAGATGCCAAAGATTGGATCGGAGCATCATCTATCCGCGGAGTGTCGACTTTAACATCTTCCAATGCACTTCTAGTAGTGGCCGCCTCGTTTTCATTGTTGCCATTACTAGTAGTGCTGCAGCAGAGCGTCTCTCTGTTCCTGTGCGATGATGCCGTCGACATGGTCATCATCATCATCGTCAATAATACAGTATTCATTGAGTTGGTTGTTGGTTGAGTGAGGAGCGAGAGATCGACGCCTTGAGCTTGAATAGAATTAATCTATTAATGATTCGAATCACCTACATGTACTCTACCGGTAACCCCCCCCCATCCCATTAATTAATGAATACCTGCTCCTAATTGTTGCTGTTGTGAATGAGATGCCATCACACTAGTGACCCACAATCATGAGTGGGACCAATTTTGACCTCTGGGGACCAATTTTGACCTACCTCTGGGGACCAATTTTGACCTGACGGGACCAATTTTGGAATGGCTTTAAAACCTGCCACGACTGACTCAGAATACCGATCATTGGGAATGAGAAGATCTTACGGTACGTCAGTCATGTGTTCAAGGGACTGGTCTGGAAGGATCTGGCATGACGGCAACAAAAAGACGACGAGAACTCCAATCCACCTTCCCCCACCACATAATATTATGATACTACCTAGTAGCAATGGCAGTCTCCTTCAATATTGCCAACACCCTCACAAACAAACAAACACACACGCACACAAACTTGACCAACCAAGAAAGAACAGAACAGAAAGACCATGTTAGAAGTGGCAGTGATTGGTGCCGGTGCTTCGGGACTGGTGGCGTCTCGACAATTGCTACGACACGGTGTGCGACCGTGCATCTTTGAAGCCGGGCAACATGTGGGTGGATGTTGGAATCCTTCCAATACGGCAACAAACAAGGGTGGTTCCTACAAAATGTGGGACAGTCTGTCGCCCAATCTCTCCAAGTACACGTGCGTCTTTTCCGATTCTCCTTGGCCAGACCATACGCCCACATTTCCCAGTCGCACCGACTTGCAGGACTATCTACAAGACTATTACCACGACACTACCACACTACTGGAACAAGGAGAACAACAAGAATTCAAATTTGGATGTACCGTCACGCAGGTCAAACGAACCACCACAGACGCATCATCCTCGGTTGCATCATCGTCGTCTGGCTTTACGCAACCCTTTCAAGTGGAATGGAACGACAGTCAGGGCATGACTCAATCCCAATCCTTTGATGGGGTCATTGTGGCCACGGGGTTCTTTGCCGTGCCCTTCTTGCCAGACTGCTTTGATGAACTACTCGGCAATGACAACAATCTGCTCATGCATTCGTCACAGTACCGATCTCCCTCACAGTTTGCCAATCAAACCGTCGCGGTCGTCGGAGCTTCCTTTAGTGCCCTGGAAATTGCGGCCGATGTTCGAAAGCACGCCGCAAATGTTATTTCCATTCTGCCCAATATTCCCTATGTGCTGCCACGATACGTCGGTCCTGCCTTTAGCCCGTTGGATACTGTCTTGTATCGACGCCACGACGCAGCACCCAAACTACTGTCAGCCGAGAGCAAAACACCACAACAAAAGCACGCCTTTTTGAAGGGATTGGCTGGACGCAAACAGGCACAACAATCGTCATTGGGACTTCCGACCGATACATCCCAGCCACCTTTTGTGGCGATTAGTGACGATTATTTGGATCTCGTCGTGGACGGCAGTATTCACGCCGTCAAAGGACGTGTGACTCAATCCAGTGTTGACTCGAGCAATAACAAAATTGAGTTGCAAGTAGTAGCAGACGAACAGACGACAACACTGTCGGATATTGATCGAGTCATTGCCTGTACGGGATACCAGAGCAACCTGGACTTTTTGGAACCTTCCATTTTGGAAACGTTAGAATACGATGTGAACGACATGTATGCACCCTTGACGTTGTGCCACGATGCCTTTCATCCTCAAATACCGGGTCTGGGCTTTGTCGGAATGTATCGAGGACCGTACTTTGGCATTATGGAATTGCAAGCCAAAACTCTGGCGGGCATGATGAGTGGGGATTATGTTCCCACGCCAGAGCATGTGGCAGCCGCATTGGAAGAATCCAAATCCATTCGACAATCGACACCGCGGGCGCAGTTTCCGCGACATGATTATGTGGCCTTTATGGACACTCTGGCGCAACCATTGGGATTGTTGCCCCAAGGAACTGCCGGAGCCAAAGGGGCCATGGTGACACCCCTCGTCTACCAATCGGCTCCGAATGAAATTTCAGAACGTGCACTGAAAAATATAGACCAGGAATGTCGTCACGGTGGCTCGTCATCCGTCAACATGGCCAAGGTGGCGCTCAGTGCCTTGATTGGGAAATGGGAGTTTGATCGGACCATTACGCAATTTAACAATCCATCCATGGCGCCGCAAAAGGTAACGGGAGTCATTGACTTTTCCCACATTGCACCGTCCGTGTCGTCGTCGTCAGACTCCTCGAACAACAAGTGGAACTCAGTGCTCTACAATGAGAATGGCATCTTTCATGTGGCAGGAAAGGAACTGGAAGTCTTTCGTCAATACGAGTATGAATACAAGGACAATGGCATTCTGGAAATTTATTTTGTGGAACAAGGGGCACGGGCACATCTATTCTTGAGCCTCAAGTTTACTACAACCAGCACCGAGGCCGAGAACGATGCTGGCCAACGGCGATGGATTGCCACATCCGATCATCTTTGCATCAAGGACCTCTACAAAGGAGAGTTCCAAATTCAGTTTGACGGTATTTCGGCCACACAGGTTTCCATGACCTACCGAGTCAAGGGTCCCAACAAGGACTACGAGTCTGTCACACATTTGAAGCCTCATTTCTAACTAGATATAGATAGATGTTGCTGCCGTATTGGGACCGTGACTGCGAATTTTATAGAATGGACGGTCCGAACGTTCGCACTCACGTAAAGCATCTCGCCTCCACATAGCCCATAGTTGTAACCTCTTCGTGCACATGGCACAACGACAGCTTGCATGCCAGAGCTTGCCCTACAATGGATGCGACCATGATTTTGAACTACCACTAGCTAGTACGACTACAACTACAATAAAGAATAAAGGCCATGATTTTGTTTGTAAAGATTGTCTACTATGTGTTATTGTTCTATGTTTATGTAAGGTTGTATTTGAGATTGAAGCATCAACAATGATAGAGGTTGGTTGTCGGGTGTCACGGGTATTAACTTTGGACTTTCGTCGCGTGGAGGACGTTCGGACAAGCACTCTGCAATAGAGGCTGCCTAGCACAGGAACCACAAACCTGGCTACCTTCGATGTGACCCTTCAATTGAACCAACTGTATTCATCTCCGCAAAATTGTTGTATAGCCCTGCACCCCGCCAGATGCTTGCTCCTTGTGTATTGTATTGTGTTAGTTCCCGCAATCCCTTGTTGTCTCCCCCACTTACCTGTTGTCCTAGACTGGAATGTACCGGTCAGGCTTTCTGACTTGCCGTCCAGAAAGAGTTGTTGTTGTCTGAACTGTGGTTTGCTGCTGTGTGTCCGTCACAGGTTGTGTCGTCGTTGTCTTCTTCTTCTTGCCCTTTGCCTTTTGTTTTGTCGACTTTTTCATGGTCGCCGCCGCTCGTCTACGTTTAATTCTAGGTTGTTGAACTGCCACCCGCCGTGGCTTCGTCTTGATTTGTTCTGCGATTCTCTGAGATGCAATCGCCGCCATGCGTCTCTTTGATCGTCGCAAAGTTGATTGTGCTGTGTCCACATTGTCCTCCTCGTCGACTCGGTTGTCGACTAGTGGTTCTTCAGCCTCAACTTGTTGTTGTTCCTCGACCAGTGGCTCTTCAACTACCACTTCGTCGCCAGTCACGAATTCGTAATCTGTATCGCCCGAGGCTACACCAGCCTCCAATTGTAGTGTCTTGTACCGCCGCATCAATTCCTTGACAAGGTCTCCACCATCCTTCATCAAGGCTGCGAGAATGTCGTTGGGTACCACTCCAAGTAGCACACCATTCATCATTCGCATCTCCAATACAAATGGCTGTTGTCCATGCACACTGATCTTGAAGTGTGCCACATGCCACTTTTGAACGTATGGGACCACATCTGTGCATGTGGGAACCACCGCTGCTTCGCATGTGATTGTGGCATCGGATGCCATCTTGTCGTCGTCGACGGTCGAGACTGCTTCTATTGTCTCAACGTCTTTAGTTGTTGTTGGTTGTTGTTCTACTTCTACTACGGGTGCTGCATCTTCCATGCAGACTTCCTTGACCTTGCGATAGACAAATCGTCGTTTGGCAATCTGTTCTCGCGTATTCAAGGTGCAAATTTCGTCGTTGGCATTGCGCTGAATACCGCCGAGATGTAAGTGGCACATGGCGAGTTCGAACATGTAAGTGTTCTTTTCGTTGACCATGAACCAGTGGGCGACTTGTTTGTCGTTTCCTTTCTTCGCCTGGATGAAACGAACAAGTCCCTCGAGGTCTTGATGCACGGCATCAATTTGAATGTACAGTTTGGCTTGTTTTAGGTAGGCTTTGTCGCTTTGGAACCATTTGTTGTTGGTGATCCATTTGGTCACTTGTTGGTATCCGTACTCTTGAATCAACTGCACGAGATCCAAGACGCGTTCGTGGGGTGTGGGTGTGCCGACGGAAATGAATTGTTGCCAGGCTTCGTGCCGATATTCGTATCGGGCCTGTGGCACATGTTTCGTCATGTCTCTATAGACACGGCTGTTTTCCTCTTGTTCGCCCTCGCCAGAAGAGTATCCCACTACAGTGTTGACGGGAGCAAAGGATAAACGGTTTCCATTGCTCCGTTCGGTGTCTTGACCGTAATGGGCCTTCCAGCGAGCGTTGGCTGAATGACTGGGTTTGATGCGACAGCCTTTCGGCCGGTGCTGGTTGTTGTCGTATCCGTAGTGACCATGCTGATCCGCAGGAACCAGGGAAAGGTCGTAGGCACCTAGGTAGCGACCGTGCTGCTGGAATTCCACATCAGGATGCATTCCGTGCAACAGTGCCGCGGTTTGGACGACATCTTTGTCCAACTCGTCCAGTTGGAATGTTGGGACTTCCTCTGCCGCAGGAACGTCCTTGTCGTTGTTGGTGTTGCCCGTCATCTCCTTGTCGACCTGGAGAACGGGGGTCTTCTTGATGTTGCTGTTGTTGTTGTAGGTGGTCCATGACGACGAGAGCAGCTTGATGATAGAAGAAGAGAACTTCATTTTGCAATTGATAGGTATTGAATAGAAGATTGATAGAAAAGGTAAAAGTAGACTTGAATAAGGTCTGGGGGGGTTGATCTGGCCTAGGCTTATCAACAATCGCAAATCTTCCTTGTTCGGTTGGGTATGCAACTCTAGCAATCCGGTTGAACAAAAAGGTGAGCTCATCATGGTGACAACCCAATTTTTCGACCCCAATTTTCAGATGACAGATTCTGCCAGATGGAAAACGACGGCTCGTGACAAGACAAGACTGAGCCAGTGATGATTATCGACTTTCAACCCGATAACACCCTATAACACCCAACAACACACTTCCTCCTGGGCCTCGATCCCTTGTTACTGTTGTCTGATTGCTTGTAGTTGATGGTGCTTGTTGCGGTTGTTCGGTGCGGTGCTGTTGGTTGCGGTGGTGCTGCGGACGGTGCGGAGCTGCGGAGTCATTGAATTAACGTGGGTCATTTCCACGACCCAAAAGCGATAAGGGAACCCACGACTGGTTGACACCACCTTCCACAAGACGCAGGGCGAGCACACTCGACCCAGTGACTGTCACTCGACCTCGACTCGTCGGCTGTCACTCGGCTGAATGACTCACAATCATCTTGAAACAAAAGTTACCTGTACGGTACTGTACTGGTACCGTACATGTACCTGGAAGTAGAACACTCAACTTCAGACCCTTTTTTTCTACCGGTACGACCAAACACTAGCTTGCTAGCCAACTGTAGTACTTGGTTCATGAAATCATGTATATTATAATCGTTGTTGGCTTTTCTGCATCTACCTATTTTTTTGTCCGTTCCCTATGCTAGCTTCATTGATTGTTGTTCACGGTGCCACGATCGATCATGCATCAAACGCCGTCGAGGGCCCCGCAGTTGCAGGTGGTCGGGATGGAGCAGGAGCGGGAGCAGGAGCTGCGGCAGGTTCTGTTGTTGCTTCTGGCTTTGGCTTTTCGGCCTCTTCTGGTTCAAACGAACGTATCGCTGTTCCAGCAAAGAAGTCGGCTGCTTGCATCATAGTTGCTGGATCGGGGTAGCAAACTTGACCTAACCCAATCACACATTCGGGTAGCTCATCGTCCGAGCGGCCCTCAATCACAAAGCCAACGCTACACACGACATTTGCGAACATGGAATCCTTCATGTAGCAGATTCCCTGCTTGGCCAAGTAGGGGAATACGTGCAGAGAAATGTCAAATTCAACACAAGAGATCTCCGGGTGAGGATACAAAAATCCAGTTTGCCCTGGGCGCTTGATAAGGAACGGTTTGCCATTGTATTTGCCAATCCAGCTTGGAAGGCCAATTTCTTTGGCATTGACAACATTCGGGATCATTTTGAATCGCTTTTGAAACTCGACGTCGCTGGGTGCGCGTCTCACCCAATCCTCAAAGAGACGAATGGCATTCACCTGTGACTTCTGCACATCGTCTGGGGTTGGCTCCGAGGTTGGGTCGTAATCCTCAGCCGTGATCCGCTTTAAGATATCGCGCGTCGTCTTATACATGTTGAAGTACAAGGTCACTGTGTATCCACCGCCGTCACTGGAGGATGATCCCAATTTCGGAGGATCGGTTGGTAAAGACAAACTGACAACAAAGTGGTCCGGGGCTCTCCAAGTTTTCACCTCGTTAGGATCAACGTCGTAGGGCAACTTCGGCAGCTTGACGCGTTTAGCCATATCTGGATATCGTGCTGGGGATTCAAAAATATCCATCTGCACCAACTCATAAATTGATCCCGGCGAAGGCACCTTGGATTTGGTTGTAATGTATCCGTGCGATCGAACACCCAGATTTTCACCAGGAATGCTCATCCAACCCGAAAACTTTTCCCCCTTGGCGTTGACTCTGGGGTCCGTGTGCTCCTTCAGCCTGAGAGCCGATAATCCTGCCAGTGGTACATATTTTTCTTTCTTCTTTTTAGCCTTGACCCCAGTAGAAGTAGCAGCAGCCCCAGAACCTTTGTCGGCACCACTTCCCGCGCCTCCCGATCCCGTCCCCTTTTTGCGGTTTGGCTTTTTTCTCTTTTCTTTGCGGGGTTTTGTTGTTGATGGAGCAATTTTGGCGGCAGCAGAGGCAACTCCTGGACGTGGCATGGATTCCAACAATGTAAAGAGCGTCATGTTGGCAACCGTCACAACCATCCAAAAGCTTTGCACGGACATGGTGGAATTGCGCGCGTACATAAGGGCCATGTTGATCATCGCAGCTGCAACGACAAGGCGTTTCTCTGGCATGAACCAAAGGTCACTGTCATCGACCGTGGCATCCGTTTCGGGTACTTTCGATTCGAGGTTGTCGGCTTCGTCATCTTCCTCGTCGCTGTCTTCTTCGTCATCGTAATCCGCACTATCGTCCTCTTTTACGTCGTGCTCTTCCGGTGTCAATTCGTTCTGCGCACGAATAACGTACGGTTCCATCATCCACAAGCGACGGCCCGAGACGTGATGAAAATTGGGTGTTGGCATATTCTCCGAATCCTCGAACGCTGAATTACTGTTGTGCTGTAACTGTTGTTGCTGCGAACCGGAATCGCGTTGCGCTGGTTGTTGTCCTTCGGCATCACTGGGGGGTTCTTGAAGGCTGGGTAGAAAGAGTGCCGTGGGATCGTGATTGGCTGGATCGGCCGCCGACAACAATTTGAGATTGTACGCATCGACGCTGTTCTGCACAATGACATCGGTAATGGCTGCCATCCACATGAGCTGTGCTCGATGCGATGCAAAGCATAATTTCCATTTGGTTTCTCCTCCCACCTTGATGGACAAACAAAATGGACTGGGTGCACCCGAATGTCCCAGTGTGGCACAAACAACGGCATTTTCCTTGACCAGATCCATGTATCCACGAGCCGAGGAGGCTATTTCCCCGGCTATTTTTTCCGCCCCCGTCGATGTGGTGGAAATGGTCGATAGACCCAACGTCGTGGCCGTTTGTTCCAAGGCATCCATCATTCGTTGCTTGGTACTGGTGGTCTTTCCACTAGCACTCGTATAGTATTTGGGATCATTTTCAAATCGTTCCGTAGCATCATCCATTAGGTCACCACCACCACCGGCACTGACATCGCGATCGTCGTCACGACTATTTTCTCCCTTGGCCCGGAAATACGACAAGGCATTTCCCTGCAAGATGAATCGACGTCGTTCCCATGCCGAACTGCGATAATAACTGCCAAATCCAGATCGTCGTTTCCAGATTACGTCCGTCATCTTGATGGGCAATTCGTTCTTATTATTGGCATTGGCAGCAGCACTAGTAGCATCAAAGGATGGGCTTTTGGGCAAACCTTCCATTTGTTCTGTCGCAACAGTAGCCGCCGCCATGGGGTTGGATGTGGTGGAACTGTGCAAGGAGACGCCCGTGGTATGTGACTGTTCCAAGGACATTGTCGATGGTGTTTCTTCCTTGATGGTGGGTGGAAGAGTGCTGTTGGACGTGGTGGTTGCCGCAGAGATCGTTGGAGTGAGACTCGCCATGGCGACAGCCGGTGGCGGAGCCGTACTGGCCGTGGTGGTGGTCGCCGTCGTAGCGGTTCCCGTACTCCCAGTCTCCATGACATTGGATTTACTGGGTTCTTTGGCGGTCGACATGCTAAACGGGAAGGATGTGGTACTAGATCCCAACGCCGATTCAATGGTTCCAGCATATTCCAGAAACCCCTTTTGTGCCGCTTTTTGTGCCGTCTTGGCACCACTGGCAATGGTTTTTTGCAAACTCTTGAAATTTTTGGTAAACCCCTTGCTACCACTTCCGCTACCAGAAGAAGAGGGTGCTGCTGCCGGTGGATGGGCGGTCGCTGCCATGTGTTGAAATTCCGGTTGACTGAGTACCATGCGTTGAATTTCTTGATGTGATTTAGTAGGATTGGCTTGTACGGCCATGGCCATGGCTTGTGCCAATTTGAGTGCTTCATCTTCGGCCGCTGCCGGTGATGGATTATTAGCAGCAGCAAACGGTTCGTCCTTTTGATGTACGAGATTGAACTCCATGGATGCTTCCGTGGGATCGTTGTGACTTTCAGAAGGATTGAATTGACTTTCGGATCCTTCTTCGTCGCATTCGGCCAATGTCGGTGGCAAATGTGGTTGTAGTTGTTGGTGTTGTTGCTGCTGCATAATATTAATAGCTTGTTGTCCATCAATAATAGTGGCGGCGTTGACGGGAGTATTGACGGGAGTTTTGCCCATCATCATCATGGTGGAATGATGAGTAGTTGTTTGTGTGGGTGTACTCGCGCGAGAAGAGTTGGCCGACGAGGAGTACGCGTGATGCACATTCTGATGCATTTCCACGTCGTGTGATTTTTTGCTGGATTTTTTGACCTTTAGTTTCTTGGCCGCGGCAGCTGCTGCCTTGGCGACGTGTTTGTAACTGGATTTGTGTTTGCTGCTTTTTTGTTTCTGTTGTTGTTGGTTGCTACTGGTGGATTCTTCGGCTTCTTCTCCCGAACTGTTGGGACTGTGGGGATGTCGGCCACTGCGAGGAGGAGAGAGACTGCGAGGTCTGCGACTGCTCTTACCACTACTGGGGTGTTGGGAGGACGATGACGATGACGAAGTGGTAATGGCACTGTTGATTTGTTTCTTGATGCCTCGGGCCACTCGTGTACTGAGTCTACGACTCTTGCCCTTGCTCTTGGAAGTACCGGTATGATTGGCGGCCTGAACGGGAACTTCGAGATCATCGGCAATTCCTAGATCTGCTGACATGTCCACGTTGGCCATGTTCTGCGAACGTTGGTGTTCCAGCTCTGTAATGATACCGGATTCACTCGCTTCGGGACGATCGTACGAGTCTACGCCATTGTTGCTCTCGCTCGAGTCGATTTCACCGCCTTGATCCTCCATCTTCACGAACTTCTAACTGTTGTCTCTTTTTAAATGACTGACGGTTGTGTCTTTCTGGCTGTTCTTTACTAGCAAACTGACTACTAGTAGCCAGAACACACTGTGTGGTTGTCGTGGTTTGCTCACTCACTCGCTCTTTCACACACACTAGTTGCTACTAGCTAGTGACCGATCTGTTCCACGGACGAATTAGTCGGGCTCTGCTCTACCAGCTCCCCTATTGACACCCGAAAGCCGCGAAAAAGAACCCTTTAGCGGTTGGCACACTGCTTCTATGCTTTGCCTGACTTCTCACTTCAGTGTAATGATCGCTTCAATGCCCCGTCTTGCTCTCTCGAACTCTCTCTGGCTTGTTACTACACGTACTCCAGTGGCCAGACCTCTTATTTGCGTTCTCGAGAAGACTGACTGGATGGATGCTTCCTTTCGGACAAAGCCTTGCTTTTTACGATCTGATCTCGATCTTTTTATCAATCAATTGTTCTCGCTGATTTGGAATCTTTTGCACATGGCGGAACAAAGATTGATGAGGTGAGGTGCGTAGACCATAAGTACAAGATTTAACAGAGTGCGTTGAAGTTGCAAAGGAGCCGTTATTCTCGTCAAGTCACGTCAGGCTGACGGTTGGGTGTTGAAAAGGTGTGAACTTGAACGCACAATTTCTCTAATTTAATCAATATCCTTCCAGCTCTACTGTCTAGTAGACTGGCTATTCGTTTCGTTTTCTCTTTCTCTCTCGTTCAGATTGTGAGCTCTACAACTGAGCTCCGATATGCATACATATACCAGGATCTTTCGATCCTCTGCTTCTCGCAGTTTCATCTACAGATAGATCTCGTCGATCTATCTTCCTGAAGTGCATGGTTGGCCCTGGAGGGCTTTCCCACTTTACTAAACCTATGGACCTTCATCCGTCCATTCATTTGCTCCATCCCGTCGCTCCTTGCATTCATCTCTTCGACCTAACTTCCTAACCTTTGTAGTTGCATCATCTAGACGACCATTGTCCTCGTTCCTCGTACACCTGGCCATCTGATGATGATCGGATAACCATCTGATTTGAGTCACACATCCCCAATCACGAACCGTGATTGTGGATCCCGAGTCGTCTGTCCGTCATACGAAAATACCTTTCTGACACCCTTCCTGTTTTCGCGATGATGGCAGCGACCTTCTTACCAACTCAAACCAATTGCTCCTTGTCTCCTGTTAGTTTCGGTGCATGTCTGTCGAGGGTCTCGACGTTGACATTCTTGGTTCCAATGTCGCTCACGTTGTCTTCCGAGCGAACAAAATCAATCTTCACTAGGCCGTCCTGCTGCATTTGGTTCACGTAGTGCCACCTCGTATCCATATGCCTTGTTCGACTTGCACTTGTCTTGTTCTCTGACATAAAGATAGCACCTACGTTATCGATCTTCACTTGCACAGGTAGTTCCACGTTGATCTGTAGGAACTTCAGAATCTGCGCGATGAACGGGACTTCTCGTACTGCTTCGCCACACGCGTAGAACTCAGCTTCGGAACTCGACAATGCTACGACCTTCTGTAGCTTGGACCTCCAGTGAATGAGTACACCTTCGAGAAAGATCATCATGGACGTGACTGATCTTCTGTTGTTCTTGTCTCCGGCCCAATCCGAATCCGAGAATACTTCCAATTTCCACGGTCCTTCGTTCTTCTCTGGTCTCATCAAAAGTCCACGGTTCCTTGAGTCCAACACGTACTTTACACAGCGTAGCATTTCCTTGTACGCTGCCGGCGTTGCGCATCCCAAGACCTTAGCTAGCTCTCGTACTGCGTTCGAGATTTCTGGCCTTGAATGCTTGATCAGGTACATGAGCATGCCTACTCCTGTTCGATATCTGCTCTGTTGTTCTTCAGCGATCCATTCACTCTGTTCGTCTGTCTTTACTATTCCGAGTCCAGGCGTTCCCGCAGTCTTGTACTTGGGTAGCTTCTGTACCTCCTCTCCGAAGTGGTTTGAATCTTCTTAATCATGTGGGGTTGTCCCACCCATGCAGCATCCTTTCGGGGATTCATCCGAATCTCACAGCTCAGGTAGTCCGTGAGTTCGTACTCTATGTCATGTTCAAGCCTCGATCTTTAATCCCTTGAAGCACTTCCTTGATATCGTTCTTCTCCAATGGTGAGATTGTCATCCACGTAACATAGAATCACGCATATCTTCCCATTCTTGTTCCGCATGAAGAGGCATGATCACTAGGACATGTAACGAATCCTAAGTCTTCCAGACACTCGCAAACTTCAAGTAGTACTGTCGTGCGCTCTGGCAAGCACCATAGATGGTCTTGTCCAGTATGACACATTCGTCGTCTTGGTGTTCTAGTCCTTTTGGGCAGTCCATGTAGATGACTACGTCCATGTCTCCATGTAGGAATGCTGTCTCAATATCGAAGATAATTGCCTTCGCTCTTCCCATCTTCTTTAGTAGTAGAATCAAAATGATGCGGAAGGTGATGTCGTTAGCCACCGGACTGTAGATGTTGTCAAAATCAATTCCAGGTACCTGACTGTAGCCGCAGGCCACCAATCTAGCTCTGAATCTTCCATTCCGCTTGATTTCCAGCACCCATTGTGTTTGACACATCGTCTCCCTTCTCCATTCTTGATCTCTTGATCTTGCGCCAGACTTGAGTTTCTCCATCTTGTCTAGCTCCCTTTGATCGCCTCCCTCCACTTCTCGCTGAAATGGTTCCGGGTGGTCCCAAGCTTCCTCAACGTGCTTGGCTTGGTGAACAGATATTTGTACTTTGCTGGATCCTGAGTCCTTGGGTCATAATGCGAGAGTCTCTTGATCAATGGATGCCTGTCTAGTCCTCCCGTCAAATCTACTTCTGATGCCGTGTACCCAAACTCATCCAGTCTTCATGTGCGTTCCCAAAACGTTCTGTCATTGGAATCGTCGAAAGTTTGCCATTTCTGTCATTGGCGGTGATTCCGGTTGTTCGTGCTGAGCTGTTATCTTCTCTCCTCCTTCGGATGCATCGTCCGAAAGTGCTTGCATGAGGGAGCCCCCGTCATGAGGTTGTACCGCCGCTAGCTTGTCCAGTGTCTGTAGGGCCTGGGGGTTGTAGCTCGCACTGAGTTTCTGTAGTTCCCGCGTTGCCTTGGATAGTTTGGTCGCGACCGGGTCAGGTGGTTTGGCTGTTGGGATCGCGAGAACTTTATTAATCTTCTTGGTTTCTAGTGTGATTGCTCCTGCTTTGGTAGTCTTCGTGGGCTTAAGAGCAGATCATGAGAGTTCGATCCCGTTTTCTGTAGGTAGGACGCTGAGGAGTTTGTCTTTTCAATATGTGTGAGTTCTTCGCTGTGCTGGGTAGACCCATACCCTTCCTTCGGCATACGTCTTGTCCTCCAGATCACATCGCGTGTGAGTACTTGTGCTCCTGTTGCGATATTGTACATCTTGTACGTGTCTGCACTGTGATTCCGTGTCTTCCAAGATACAGCATAAGTAATCCCGATCTTGTATTTTCCCTTGATCTTTCCAACAACTTGACGTATCCAACCTCTCCAATCGTCGCAACTTGGATAATTGTTGAATGTCTTCTCCAAGAACATGCGGTAGCTTGGATTGTATGAGATGCTGACTGTAGTACATTCTCAACGTCAGTGACGTGATGACTGCATCTCCGTAGAAAAACTTTCGTTGCTTCTCAACAAAACCGCTTCGTGGACATGGCCCGAATTCGATCGTGCCTACTGCAATCCATCGTTTCTACCTTTCCGTTCTGTTGAGGCGTATCTCGTCCAGTTACTCAAACTTAACCGTCTCAACATGGTTCAATCGCGTTTTCACATTCCGTCATCAGCTTCTTGTTCTCTCCTGCATCGTCCATCCGGATGTAGTGTACTGGAGTGCCCCTGCGATCCATCACTCGAATGAAGTTCTTGACTTTAAGGATGACATCGCGTTTGGTCTGAATGATCCTACTCCATCGCATACTGGTAGCATCATCAATGATCGCCAGCCAATACTTTCCTCCCTTGGTAGACGTGCCTTCATCCACAGACGAGGTATCTATAAAAATTCGTTCTCCAGGGATCTCTGATGTCGTTGAAGTCTCCTTGGCTACGGGTGCTTGCTTTGCTCGTCCTGCTCCCACAGTGAGAACATGGTTTAATGTCCTGTGAGCTTCCACCCGTACTGATGTGCTGTCCTGCGTAGTGCGGCTTCACTCGCATGTCCCAGCTTCTTGTGGAGATCATTGATTTTCCAGTACTTCACCTTACTTGGCTGTTCCGATTTGGGCGTATCCGCAGTGTCACTTGGCGAATCTCTTCAGTCGCTTCCATGCCGTGTCATCCGTGCACGCGTAACTGCTCTCTTGTGGCATGTCCTGTGGAAAGAGATCAATGCCGCAAAGATATCCGTCTTTGGTTGAGTTAATTTTATCAAAGACTATCGTTGGTTGCGTTGCGTCAAGACAATCTTGGTTCCTTTATCGAGATGCTCCAACCCTTCTGGATTGCCTGACCAAACTAAATAAACAAACACCCAGGTTGGGGACATACTTGTAATCCGACAGTGTCAAGTCATACGTCGTGCCATCAGTTGCATTGCCGTTAACTTGATCGTGCCTTTCTTTACTCTCGGATCTTGTCTCCACTTCAACCTTGATTCCTTCATCAATTTCTTCCACATCACTCATTCCATCGTCCACATTAGCCCATATGAGTTGATGCGCCACTGTCTCAATCCATGTGCTCCGGCTGAAACTTCTCCTGACCTCATGGTGAACACATACATCATCCGCTTCCTTCATTACCTTGTACATCTTGCCAGCGCTTCTTCCTTGCCTGTCGAACTTCCGACTGCCACGCTTTAACGAGCCACATTACGGACGCTGTGGGAAGTATGGTAACCTGACGGATGATCACCTGCATTCCTGTCTGCACGTTGGTGTCCACAAAGTGACTCACTTTCCTTGTGTGACTAGGCCGCATTCGTACATGATGCCGGGGAGTTCTCGATCACGATCGGTGGTCAGTCCATCCGTGTAGGTATAATGGTTCGTCCTTGTAGTAACGGATGGATCTCTTGGTGATTGGGTGATCACTCCTGCAAAGTTCAAACGCACTTGCCAATAGTTTTGCCCGATCTTTGCCATCCAGCGTCCTTGGTATACTGACCCAACATAAACTCAAAAGCCCTTCCCACTTGTCGGTTGGCTCGCGCCTAATAGTTTGAGCTCGTTTCTATCGCTACCAGTCGTCGGACTGTTCTTCTGTGTATTGCAGCTGATTGTGTACGTTGGTGTTGTGTTAGGTAAATGCGATCTCTCCTTGGGATACCATAGTTCCGTAGGATAGAGTTATTGAAAATCTTCCTCTCCGACATATACTCTGGGGTAATCTTCCTTCTTGCAGGTGTTTGATTGCTCGTTGCCTGTTCTTTGTCTGCTCACGAGCACTACTCAGAATCAAGCGCTTCCACCGACAATCACTGGCCATGGTTGTGCGAATCCGCTTCTCCCAATAGGGCATATCCACGTGCACCTTCCAATCCCGATTGTATTGAGCCTGTGCGACCATCTCCGTTACATACTTCATTTCTACTTCGGGAATGCTGAATGCCGTGAACCCGAACATTCCTGCGTTTCCTGTTCCTTCGCCGACGTTTGTCCGCGCTTTATCTTGCACGTTAACATAGCCCCTGCGATTGTTGTCGTGTCTGGAGTCCAATCGCGAAAGAGCAACACACGCCCAACCTAGCACTTCCGCCTGGAGCTCCACGAGATGGGGGTTGTTCTGTATCTCGTATGGCATCATCCTCAGCAACCATCTGAAACTGTTCGAAGTTTCCGACCAGTGCTTCATCTCTGGGCTCGAGTGCCCTTCCCATATGTCTTCGGGGATTAGTTGGCATGCTTCTTCCGCGATTCTCCTCCACTGTATACCACCTATGTGTGAATCGTCCATTCCCATCCTTCGGTTTGCTCGGTTCATTGGGATGTCGTTGTTCAATGGGATTGGAGTTTGCTGATCTTCATCATGTGTCGACTCCAACCTCGGTACAGTCTGTTCCTCTAGCACGTTCGGGCATCTTGGAATCTGTCGCCATCTTTTCTTTCTTCTCGTCTTCGCTCAAACAGCTGTAGTAGTTGTTGTCTTCGTAGATTGTGGGCGAATTTGTCGTTCGTTGTTTCTCCTCCCTTCTCAGAAACTTCTTCGTTGTGCCGTTTTGCTTTAAATCTGGAGTGTTCGCTGTCGGAATCTGCCCTGCTCTCTTGTTTCGCAGGACAGAAAGAACGTCTGGGTTCTTGTTGTCATGTGACTGATTCTTCTTTAGTCAGTCGTTGTTGTTCTTCTTGGAGAGATTTAGGGCGTCCATCGCTCATAATTAATTGCTCCAAGCTTTCTCATCTTCATCCACGTCATCTCCGCTTTCAAAATCGTCCCAGAACGCGTCCCATTCTTTGCCTTCATTTCCGATGCTTCTTTCTACTCCTCCTGTTTCATCGTCTGACAACCTTACTCCTCGGCATGGCATGCATATTTCTTCGCTCATCGTCATGAATGCCATCTCTTCCGTTGTTTCTTTGCTGTGTTTGCTCCTTCTACATTTCGCTGTTCCCTTTGATTTTAGGCAATCCGATTTCCTGTGCCAATCTTTCCACAGTGGAAGCACTTTCCGCTGAACTTCTTCTTTCCTTGAAATCCGCTACTGCCCCATTGTTCCTGCTGAATTACCGTTTGACTTTCCTTGGTACCTTGTCCGTAGCTTCTTCCGTTCAAGCCTTTCTTGTCTGGGCAGTCTTGTTGCTTGTGTCCGATCTTTCCACAGTTCCTGCATCTGCCCTTGAATTGTTTTCTCCAATCATGAAAGCTGTTCGCCATTGTGGTCTGTCGACTTGTTCCGTGCTTTAATCTCATCGTAGATTCGCATAAGTCATCCACCACACTCTTTACCGTATTCCATGTCCTGTTGTCTTGATCCTTCCAGAACATTCTTCTTCACTTCATGGTACACTCCGAGTTCTCCTTCCTTCTTCGGCATCTTCTCGAGAAGGTCCTTGATGTACTCTTCGTCCGATATCTTGAACCCATCTTCGCTAGCTTCTTGCGTTTCACGTCGAGTCCAATCTCGAACTTCTTTGGGTTTTCCTTGATGTCCATCTTTATCGCGTAGTATTCCGTTCGTCGAGCTGCTACCTCACCACTGTCTTCAGCATCGTAGAGGTCCAGCATGGACTCCCACATGCCCTTGAATTTCCCAGCAGCATGGTCAGTCGTTTGGTGTGAGGCCAGTAGGTCGAAGGCGACTTGCCCTTCGATGGTCTCCACATTGATCGAATCCAGCAGTATTCCAGCAGCCTTGCTGTTCTTCTTCTGCAAGACTTTCGATCTTTTCTACTTCGTCGTCCGACAACTGTGCCCGTACCTGTAGGGTTTTCCCAGTTGTCCGGTTTGATCTCCGTAGAGTCTTTCATCAGTTCTACGTACCATACTTCGATAAATGGGCCATCATCTTGACCTTGTAGAACCTGAACTTCTCATCTTTCCCATCGAAGATGGGATACTTGCTCGACGATGATACCTCTACCTCCGTAGACATCTTTACTTACTTCTCAATTCTTCTCCTTTCTGTTTGACAACCTGGATCCAAGCTCACTCTTTCCTGATAGCTATCGTTTTAAAACGTGTTGAAAAGGTGTGAACTTGAACGCACAATTTCTCTAATTTAATCAATATCCTTCCAGCTCTACTGTCTAGTAGACTGGCTATCTGTTTCGTTTTCTCTTTCTCTCTCGTTCAGATTGTGAGCTCTACAACTGAGCTCCGATATGCATACATATACCAGGATCTTTCGATCCTCTGCTTCTCGCAGTTTCATCTACAGATAGATCTCGTCGATCTATCTTCCTGAAGTGTATGGTTGGCCCTGGAGGGCTTTCCCACTTTACTAAACCTATGACCTTCATCCGTCCATTCATTTGCTCCGTCCATCGCTCCTTGCATTCATCTCTTCGACCTAACTTCCTAACCTTTGTAGTTGCATCATCTAGACGACCATTGTCCTCGTTCCTCGTACTCCTGGCCATCTGATGATGATCGGATAACCATCTGATTTGAGTCACACATCCCCAATCACGAACCGTGATTGTGGATCCCGAGTCGTCTGTCCGTCATACGAAAATACCTTTCTGACAACCGCAAAGTCAAGTCGTTCTTGTCGCATCGCACACACAAAACTGTTTTGCTCGACATTTATTTGCACCAACTAACTTGAAGCTACCGTAACAACCTGTTTGCTCTATTCCTCAGTCGAAGTTGCCCACTTGACCATGATTTCAGTCTCCGACGCTTTCAAGATGACATACAAGGATGCAGTCTCGTGCACAAAGCTCGTGGAGCCTCGCAAGGTTGCGCCAAGCTTCGCCGCCACTCGTCGTCCCGACCTCAGCAACGTTTCGGTCGACGACGTGCGCAAGTTGACGTACAAAGAGCTTCAAGGTCTTTGTCAGTGGAAAAGACTCCCGTCAAAGGGATTAAAGAAATCGCATCTGCGACAACGTCTCGTGGCCGAAATCAAGAAACAAGAGAAACAAGAAGAGATGCAACGTCGAGAAGAACTGGACACGCAGTTTCCGTTGGACAAGATCGTTTGTTTCCTCTCGAAGAAACTTCCTCCCAACCCAGTCCGTGCCGAAGATGGGTACTTGTACGATGAACCTGTCATTCAAGCGTACATCGAGACGGCGAAAAAGGAGGATCGAGCCATTACGTCCCCGGCAACCAAGCAACTCATGGGCGACCGTTTGTTTCCAGCTCCCAGTGTCAAGGAATACATCAACGCTCTCGTTGATTGTGAAGTCATTGTCGACGAAAACTTGGTATCGCTTTGGAAGAAACAGGGGCGTCAGGAAGCGGCTATGGATGCCTTGAAGGCTTCGGCCGCCAGTGGGGACACGTCGGCAATGCTCAAGCTCGGCTTTGCGTTTGGAGCTGGAACGAGTTGCGTGCCAAAAGACTCTACAGTGGCTTGCACGTGGTTTCAAAAGGGACATGCGGCGGGGTGTGTACGGGCCACAGCGTGGCTTGGATATTGTTACATCACGGGCTACGGAGTGGAGCATACTTGTTCCGTGAAAGGCATGGCGTTTATTGCCATTGCGGCTGCGAAAGGATCCGATTTTGCGGCGTACGTTCTTGGTCGAGCGCTTTACTGTGGAAAATATGGCATGCCCGTCGACATGGACGAAGGGGTCCGTTGGTTGCAAAAGTCGTTGAGCCAACATGACTGCCCCTTGCAGAATTTAACCAACCGGGAACGAGATGAGGCTCAGAATATTCTTGTCAATCATGTTGTCGTTGCTGATGAATCAACTCCTCCAAACTAAGAGGACTGTGGGACAGATTGGTCGGACACTACGGCGCAAAGTACGAAAAGCAAGCGACAGACATAAAAAAAGAGACCGTTCATCCTCGAAAAGGCCAGGAAAGCTCCAGGCGAGGGGAAGTAAACTGCAAGTGGAGATCATAAACTGGCAAAACACTTCAAGAACTCATATTGTAACGATAAGCCATGAAGTACGGTAGAAAGACGTTCATCAACACATTGGTGCCCTCGTTTGCTCTCAGATGGTACCGTACTGGTACCGTACCTGATACGATACACACTGCATCCGGTATCGGTACCGGCATGTACTGTTGTTTCAGGCTTCTTTTCGTTCATGGCTATACTCAAACAGGCTGGCTGGCTTTTATGACACTTCAAACCCTCCCCAATGCTAGCTACATGTAGCTAGAATGCGATCGAAGGATGCCGATCTTTCTATTGCCTTGTTTTTTATCCATCTTCCTCTTGTCCATTCCCACACATCGTCACCCCTAATAGCCACATCATACGCGGTAGTAGAAACTCATAGCTCAGACTTGTTATCGTTCTTGGCACACGAAACCGATAAAGGAGGAGCGTGAATAAGAGCCACTAGCTTAGAAGAGGATTTGTCTGAAGAAGAAAATGACCACCAAAGTCGAAAACGAAGAGGGAGAAATAACAGCTGAAATAGTCACCAATGACGATGCTCCAACCACCGCCAAAGAAGAAGAGCCTGCCAAGGACGAAGAAGGATTGTTGCTGTCCTACGACGTGATTATCTGTGGAACTGGCCTTGTCCAGTCCATTTTGGCATCCGCCTTGACCCGTGCCGGCAAGACAGTCTTGCATTGTGATCCCAATGATCATTATGGTGAATTGGACACTGTCTGGACTTTTGGGTATATGCAAGAACGACAACAGCAACCACCATCGCATGGACCTGAAGAAGCATCATCAGAAGAAGACGATGTGTTATTGCTATCTCCAGAAGGATCGTACCAAACACTCAAGTTCCATTCGACAGAGATCAAGACTGATTTTCCCGTCACCACCATCGGATGCAAGGTACAAACTCCGTATGGAGAAGGCACTGTGGTCGGCACGCAAAAAAGTAATGAACAAAACGATGGCATACGCTTGGAAATTTCGATGTCCAAATGGACCATGGCAGATGGAACTCATCCTACTCTTTTCATGTGTGTGCCCAATAATCATGACGAAGGCCAAGATGAAACAAGGCAACAACAAAAAGACAACAACAACAAGATTGTTTCACTGAAATCCATTGCTGCCAGGAGAGTTTTACAACAACAATCTCGATCACTGGCATTGGATGTCAATCCGTGTCTTTTGTATGCATCGGGTCAAGCCGTACAGGGATTGTTGACGAGCAATGTTGCCGAACACTTGGAGTTCCAAACCATGGCAGCCGTGTATTGGCTCAACCACAATAACAACAACAAGCTGGAACGGGTGCCTTGTTCCAAAGGAGATGTGTTTCAAAGTTCCTTGTTGCCATCACCCATGGACAAGCGCCGATTCATGAAATTCTTTCAATCTGCCATGGACTATGCGACGGAACGGGAACTGCAACAACAACAATTATTATTATCAACGGACAGTAATAATAACAATAATGACAACCAGCAAGAGAATACGGAAGAAGGAGTACTCTCCTTGAATGAACGACAACTCAATCAAGGCCGATCTTTGGCTCGACCCCAAAACAAGGCCGTCTCGCAAAAGGACCTTCAGACGCTGTACGATTGCATGGAACAAAACATGGATTTTGAAACGTATCTACAAACTCATGCCAAACTATCTCCTCAGTTGCGACAATTGATTCGGCATGCACTGGCATTGGAGGTTGGTGGCAGTACATGTAGTGGCAATGAAAATCAGGCTGTGGGATTGTCCACGCTGGAGGGGATGGGTCGCTTGTGCGATCATCTCAAAGCACTGGGCCGATACGGAACGACAGCCTTCTTGACACTTGTCTATGGAAGCGGGGAAATGAGTCAATTCTTTTGTCGATCGGCGGCAGTCTATGGTGCCACTTATTTGTTGAGACGAGTCCCCAAAGCAGTCACATGGACGTCCGACAACAACAACGCTGTTAGTGGTGTCACCTTGGCGGCAAGTGACGACGCATTCATGGGGGCAGTTCCCGCCAAAGAAAAGCATGTGCAAGCGACTCATGTAGTGATTGCACAGGATGCCAAACTATTGACCAAATCGTTGCCTCCAAGAAGAGAACTCCGAAGGATCAGTATCATACATGGTTCCGTGGTGCCAGATGCCTCGCGATCTGTGATTATCATCCCACCAGGGGGCATCTTGGAACAACACAACTATGCAATTCATGGCATTGTCTTGGACGAATCTGCGCGAGTGGTTCCTGCCGGTTGTAACGTACTGCACTTGACCACGATTGTGGACCAAACGAAAGAGACGGTCGACGATAGCACCATTACTGCCGTTCTGGACCAGGCTGTCAAGGTTATTCTTGAATCATCGGGAGATGATGCCGATGAAATCTACCAAACGACATTTTCGTATGGTTTGCTGGACGACGACGACGACGATGGAGAGAACCATCGAAAAGTGAGTGGACTTCATGTCCTGAAACGGCCAGCCATGCCATTGATTGTAGACGAAGCCTTTGAACAGGCACGGGGCATCTTCCAAGAAATCTGTGGCAACGAAGAAGAGTTCTTGGCGCTGTCCGAGCAAATGCAAACCAAGTTAAAGGAGCAACTTCAAGATGCCTACAGAGGTCCTAATCAGGTCGAAGATGACACGGAGCAAGTTGTGCTGGACAGTGCCATGGAGATGATGAAAGAACAAAGTGCAGATGATGTGAAAGAAGACGAGAAAAAGGCTCACGACGTTGGAACCTAAGCAGTACCCCAACACGATTTGTAGCAACAAGCCATAAGGATAAGTTATCAATAGAAAAGCTACGATTCGTGGTACATGAGCTCTCGTGTGCGTTTTCCGTCTGTCTACGTTCGCCCTTGGCGCTTCCATCAATGAGTACATCCGTCGCCGACAGGATCACAGTGCACAACACGTCGCAACCCAACCCCTCCCAGTGTCTTCAGATGCTAAGGAAGATCTTTTTTAATTTATAATTGGCAGGCAACACTTCATTAACCTTTAAAAAGTATGCAACTATTTCTTTTTATATATTCTAGTATGCTAAAGGTACTTGAGCCACTCGTGGAGCTGCTTTGAACTTCCAAAGCTCAAACCAATAAGAGTGAGCTCGAGCACCTCCTAAGGGAGAACGAACCTTCGCACTTCGATGATATCATTTTCTCCGTCGGACTCCGAGAAGGATGATCGTTCTGTGGTGGATTCATCGCGCATGCCTCTGTTGGACCGCTTTCCGCTGCGTTCTCTGGATGACCGCTTGTTGTTGACACCCGCTCCATCCATGTGAGGGAGGGAAGCCACCGAGCCTTCGTCATCCTCATCCGCCAGCGAGCCCAATTCGTCCGCGTAGCATGCCTGCTCGAATGCCTTCATAATCGCACGGATGGTGTCCTTTGCTTTCTTTCCTGATTTTTTGGCCAAGATCTCATCCATGGTGATGCCTTCCTTGTCATATTGCAGACGGATCTCTACGAGGGGACCCTTCCATTCCATCGAATCCGTGTCCAAAAAGGACGCAAACTCGGCCGCGATTTCATCGTCGGTTCCTTGGAATCCTGGAATGCGTACCAATTTGATGGATCGATCACGCTCGACTTCTTGCAACAGTTCGGCAATGCTGACCGCATTCAACATGGAATGAATCTCCAACTTGGCGACAAAGTGGAGGGGCATTGTCACAGACATTTGTTTCGCCGTCAACAGACGACTCAGACCGGACAAGAACTTGTTTTTCTTCTCCTGGTAATTCTTGTAGTCTTCAGCATCGCTGATGCAATCGGTAAAGACAATGCCTTCCCATGGTCGTCGTACCATTCCACTGCCTCGGTCCAGACGGATAATCCTCTTGTCGGCACACGGCACCGTACCAATGAGGAATTCCTTGACGGCATCTGTCAAGGAATCCTGATCACGGGCAATGAGATCTTCCAAGACCAAATGCGTCACGAGACTGTTTTTGCCCGCCTTTTTCACTTCGGCCAAGACAAAGTCCTCCGAGTACATGTCGGAACAGTAGACCATCATTTGGTTTTGCTCCGAACGAGACGCCCGAAGATCGTTCTTGCGTCCTTTTCCGCCACTGCCGCGGCCTCGACCACGAGCTCGACGAGTGGCACTGCCATGAGAAGACGTTCTTCCGACCACGAGATTCTCCAACTTTTCAACGCCACTGTGGGTATCAAGCAGAAGAGGGCGGATAAGATGAGATTGGTCAAGAGAAACAAAGGGTACTCATTGCTTGCATCAAATCTTTATCAAGACTTACAAGAGCATGTGGTCCGCCATGTTGACCAAGTTGTCCTCGCTCAGACCCTCCGACACGGCATTCTTGCCCTTGGAGATGGTCTTGGCGCCCTTCTTGGCCACATGCAACGAAGCACCGGCGCCTTTCTTGGCCACATGCAACGAAACACCGGCGCCCTTTTTCGCCACGTTCACGGCACCGTCTCCACCGGCAGCGATACCCCGCGTGACAGTCTTGGCGCCCTTTTTTGTCTTGTTGACGGCACCCTTGGCCACAAACACAGCGCCATCTCCACTGGCAGCGAGACCCCGCGAAACGGTCTTCTTGGTTTTGCTAACAATACAAGAAAGGAAGGCAGTGGAGGTACAATCAGTGTGAGGATACCCCATCGTACGGCAATCCGTTGAGGCGGCGGCTGCGAGTTGACTTACAATAGAAAGTTCATCGTGTGCGTTCTACTGTAGCTAGCAGTATGTTGGTTGCTACTGAACAAAGATTCAGGCGATGCACTTTTTGCCAAGGCCAAGTTGTGAGACGAGTGAGTTGACCAAAAAGTGAATTGGTAGAAGCAAGCGAATGATCGAGGTGATGCTGTGGCTACCGAGCTGACCATTTCAGATGCAATCCGGTACCACTATTATTGAACAGGTGCTGCAGGCGAAAGGCTTCATGGAGTTGGGGCTTTTGTGTTCATGCGAATGGGCTGTTATAGATGCCTCAGGCCTTCTCGTAAATCTAATATTCGCATGGTAGAAGCATTCGCCGGGGCTCTTTAGATCCCAGCAGCACCCCCTGGACTAAATAAGCCTTGGACCATCTTAGATCGTGCAGGAACAAAGAGACGCCCAAATTTGTTAGCAAACTGGCATTTAGAGTACCCACTGAAATAAGGTATTAGTTAGCTATGCATAGGTGTTCTGTACTGGTACAGTTCCTCCACTGTTCCCATGCTGACGCAAAGATACCTAAAGAAGCTCCTAAAGATCTCGGAGCTGATCTCGGCATCTCGGCTCTTCTACGACAACTCAGAAACGCAGAATAGAAGTCAACAGTACATGTCCTCATAGTAAGGAACCCACCAGGATTTAATATAAGAATCTAGTATTAAGCGTCAATTTGGGGTAGTACCTAGTATAACACAAAGAGTCACTAAAATTTTGGGAGTGTCTTTCTACAGTAATGAGAAGTCACCCGAAAGTACTTTCCATGGTGTGGCGAACTACCGGTAACCCGCAAGAAGAAAAAAAAAAAAGAAAAGAAAAGAGTTAGGGTACGGGACTCAAATTCAATCCCGGACTCCCAATCCCGAATCCTCCTCTAAATCTTGCGCAGTTCTCTTCCTTACACCACGGCGCCCTAAGACGTGGTATCCTTTAGTCTTTAATGTGTTAAACTCGATACATTGTTTCAAAGTCTATATTTGGTGTCGAAATATTTCACTTAGAGCTGCAAATTTCTATCCCTAACTCCCGGTTGAAATTCAAACTTTTCGCGCCTGTTGGTGTCAATCGGAAGCAAGTCAATCGGAAGCATTGTAAAGCACAACCACTGCTCCACTCGACAATGACAAGCAATAAGCCAAAGCAATTGAGTGACCCACAATGGCGCTTCATAGAGCGAACAAGGAAGGCAATAGATACCAACGCTCGCAGCTTCTTTGAGAAGAACAACTGGCGAAACATCTGTCCCAAAAGTGGGAAATTCGACAGCAATCTACTCAGCCAAAATAAAGAGGCGCGAAAGTGGACCGTGGAGAGTTTCAATGTGAAGCCAATGGCATGCTTTGCGCCGCATCTCATTATTCAGAACCATGTTCCAAGCTGTCCGCACTGCAAGAAGAACAGCTTTGTTGATCTTAGGAGGTCTCGCTGGATCAACTGTCCAAAGGTGATGTATGGAATGCACTCACACCGGTATTTGGACACGATGCTCTATTACTGCAAGGGATGTACTCGGCGATTTGCTGGCTACAACAAAGAATCCATGGAACTGGACGCTAAGGTTTATGTTGGTTTCTTTACATTCTTTCTTGGTGAAGGGGGTTACGCTGTTGATGATGAACTTTACCGGTACATTGTGGAAGAATCGGCCACCACCTCAACCGCGCAGCTTCACCGTAGACTGAAAGGACTGGCTATTGACCATTATCTCACCGATTACCAGATGTACCTGTCTGCAGTCGCAGCAGAGAAGATCATCCGTCCAAGGAAGAAACAGCGGCGAATTGAAAAGGCCCTCAATTTGGAGAGATACCCAGATGCTGAAACTGCCAGACTTGCCAGAAGGAGACTTGACTGCAGCAGTGTGTTAACTCGCACAAATATGGAGCTCGAAACAGCCCGCTCAAGACACTCCACTGACTTATCATTCGCTTATTTGTTGGGTGACAAGGATGACAACAACACTTATGGAGAAAGGAATCGCCTTCCAGGACTGGGGACTGTCAAGCTGAAACGTCTAATTGATGCCGGTATAACGACGTGCTTTGAGCTGTTGGAGGCTGATCCCGATGACTACCAAGCCCACGGATTGAAGAAACTTATCCCTGGGTGGCAGGGAAAGGCCCGTGCATATTACCAGAAGCTGGAGGATGAGATAACAGCGGTGGAACTTCGCCTTGAAGATGCTCTTGAGTTTTACAATCAGGCTCTTCAAGCCCTTCTGAATCACCAGAATGGCCAACCGGAGAATAATAACAACCAGGTTCCAGCCGCAGTGGAAGAAGAGGAGGACAGCATGGTTCCATTGTTTTCTGATTTTGGTGACAGGCAAGGGTATAATGGTCTGGTCCTGAGCAAGTTTCGAATTGACTCGATTGTCAGTACGGTGTTCCAGTTGCGCAAGGGATTTGTGGAGTCCAAGATGATGTGCCTTGAGTGTTCAGCTGCCAAGATTGATTTCAACTATAAGCTTGCAGGGAAGATAAGGGTTTGGACCAAAGCTGGCCAGAGTTTCGCTCCTTTCAAGTGCATCATCACTATTCAAAATGAAGATGGGCTCACAGTCTTCTGGAAAGCTCTCAAGATGTCAGAGTCGTTTAGCGAAATAAAGGAAGATTTGATTCGACTCCGCAACCGACTGAACACCAACCGAGATGCGGCCAAAGCAGTAGGCCGACACAATGCATGCCAAGAATATGAGAATCGATTGGCCGAATTGACAGGCAGAGAAGCAAGATCCTTTCCTGCTCCCAACCAATCGAGTTTCTTTGGTCCACAGGAACAAGCGGTCAAGATAGTGTGGGTGGACAACTGCTGCAACGTAAGGAAGATACTTGCCGACTGCTTTCCTGGTGCCACCATCAAGTTGGATGTCTTTCACTGGATGAAAAGATGGAATGATTTAGTTGACGACTTGAAGTCTCCATTGGCTGGCATTGTCCGTGGGCTTCTTCACCGTGCTCTTTTTAATGTGGATCCTTTGGAATTCCAAGAGAAGAAGGCTTTACTCGCCGCCAAGAAACAAAAGGAGCCAAGCACAAAGGAGGTGTTGAAGGCGTGCCGGAAGGTTGTGCCAGAACCAAAGAAGCTTCGTGCCAATATAGAGGCTGTTTACAACTACCTGGTGGCAAAGGATGCAGAGGCTGAGGCGAAAATCAGTACTCGATCGCCTGATGACACATCACCTCCACCAAAGCGATTTCTTAAGCCCAGTACACCCAAAACAAGAAAGCTGGTGCAAGAGCTGTTCAAGCATATCGACTTGGGCTGCTTGAGTGATCCAGACCCAGACATTGTCAACATCTACCGCTGGAATGCCAAGTCCTTGGTGATGTTTGTTGCCAGAGGCACTAACAGCAATGAGCGCGACAACTTGGACTTAGGGCACAAGATCCTAACAGCAACTTACATTGGTGAGCAGCGACAACTTGGTGTTATTGTTTCCAGTCACATTTCTAACATCACCTTTTTGACCACTGAAACATGCAGGCATCCACCGTGGCGAGCGTCTCATTTGCTTGTTCTTTGAAGAAAGGAACCATCAAAAGACAATAAATCGGTTGGGCGCCACTGACCATGGAACAAGTCGCACTGACAAGCTTTTACTATTGAATAGTTATGCCCGTTCCATTGGATACCCCCAAGAAAAGCTTCCATTCTGCGATGTATTTGCTCCAGTGGAGGCTACTGTGAAGGAATTCATGGGATTTAGCTACGCCCTCCCAAGCTACTTAGAGGAAGTGGCAAATCCAGTAGAACAAGGCAATGGTGGCAGCAGTGACAATCCGGTGACCTTGGATAATGAGGATGCCGATGGAAGTGAGGAGAATCCACCAACAGATGCTGAGCAATATTTACAAGAGACTCTTGGTGATGACGCTGATATTGAAGTTTTGCTGAATGTCACCGAAGAAGAGTTAGAGGCCGGTCAACAAGCAGCTGTTCCTGTGGATGAGATTAGGTTGCTAGAGAATGCCGAAGTCGCCCAAACGAATGACAACAACCATCGCCAACAGATCCAGCAAGAGCTAGCGAAATTGCTTCCATCTGGCACAGGTCGTGAGAGTACTATCGAAGCATTCCAGAGACTGACTCAGCAGCAGCCATGGTTTCCTCTCCGCTCGCCAGATAGCACAGCCCCCGAAACGGATATCGATAAAGCTGAAGCCACCTTGTTTCATGAGTGGCAATCCAGGTTCTGCTTACAAGCTTCTACCGGTGCGCGATCTTACCATTCCTTTGCACGAGAGTGGAATTTGGAGGTGGCACGGCGCTTTCGGTTGTGGAGTCAAGGAGATGAGTCGATCATTCAGATAAGGCCAAAAACAAGAGATCTGTTAGCCACTCATTACAAGAAGAAACTTGATCATGAGAGCATGGCTCAGGTAGCCCCAAGAAGAGGCGATGCTGACATGCAGACTCTGAATAATACACTCAGAGAGACAAGACGATCCTTGCCACAACTACCACAAGCTCACCAATGCGCTCCCCCAAGATATGCAACACCACAAGTCAACCCAGTAACTCCTTTGGGAAATCCACTCACAATGAATGCTTCTATTGTGGTCCAAGCTGTTGCTAATTTGAGAGATAATGCAATGATGGCTGTTGGCCAGCCCTCACCTTTTGTAATGACTCTTCCACAGATTCCAACCACACCAGCTCCACCACCAGCAAATGTTCCCAAATTCAAAAGCAGGATGTATTGTATTGTTTGTGGGTGGAAGAAAACTGAACACTTGCCTGCTGAAGGCAAGGGTGGGAGGACAAGAGGAGGGATTGTCAACTGCAGCAGAGACTTCTGTGGAAAATGCTTCCAGTTAAAAAAGCACCACAATGAGGGAAAGATGGGTCCTGATTGCACAAAAGCTACAGTTCCTCATTGCCAGAGGAATGTGGATGGTTGGTATTGGTAAGTTTTGACTATTGTTACTTGTGACACTTATTGGATAACAAACAGCAACAATCTTACAGTTGCTGCTTCCTTTTCTTTTCAGACTGGACAAATTCTTAATACATTGGGAAAGAATAGCCACCATGATGAGCAGTGAATGCAGCCCTGTGGGCAATGTACTGCTGGCTACTGACAACCATTCCACTCAAATTGTGCTTGTGCTTTCTCCAGCACTCTGTGTTGAACCAGTAAGTCCACTCTGAGAGTAAGAGCTCTCTTGCCTCCCACTGCCACACACCAAACTGATTATAGAGTGCCTCTCTCATAAGTGGTCTAACTATCAACCTGCACAACTCTTTCTTTGTTACAGGATCACCTTCCTCCACTGTCAAAGCAAGCAGAGCAAGGACTTCATGGTACCACTCAGAGCTCTGCCTCACTCCCCATCCAGTCATGGTCTCCAGAATCCAGGTCATATCAGGTGTCATGGGCACAGCTTTTTCTTCCATTATGAGTTGCTCAATCATGACACTGGGAAGGTACTTTACCTTTAGGCAAAAGTACTGGCTGTACCTGTTTGCCCTGTCAGTTTCATCCATCAACAAAACATATTTGAGTTCATAGCTCTGCCTGGTCTTCCGAATCTCATTGAATGGGTAGCGACTATTAACATCTAGCCATTCTTTAAAAGCAGCACTAGCTGTGTGGAACATGGTGATGTACTAGCTTTGCTGTAGTTGACTGTGTAGGAAGAAGAAATCCAATGACTTGACCTTTACACTTGACGACTTTTCTGTACGGAGGAAGAGGTACGGTGATCCAAACTGGAACGTCTTCGAAATTGTGAGGACGTTTGAAATGGCTTTCAAATGATCCGGTGCACCTCGCCGAATAAGTCTCGCGGTCTTGTAGGACAAATTTGCTGACGTACGGTGGTAACAAATTTACCAGTCTTGTATCAAAATTTCGTACTGAGTTTAGCGATACCCATGCTACTCCTCACTGCTTCGTTGGAAGGCTTCCCTTCCATCACAAGTGACGACCGGGCTGTCTACCGGTAGCCAAGCCAATCATGACATCATGACGGCAGACCAATGCACACTGTACGAGAGCTCAGGAAGGTGGGATATACTTAGGAAGACTGGCTGTACCATACTGTATGACCGTCCTTGCATACTATCCTTCACATTCTTGTTTGGACCTTATCTTGCTCCCTCTTCGAATTGTTAGCGTAAAGTCCCATACGAATAAGAAAGGTTCAAAAAAGGAAAGCACTTTGGTAGAACAGACCAATGATAACTGTGTGCCGTTTCAGCATGGTTGATTGATTGTTTGGCAGCGTCAAATTGATTGGTTTTGTGAGATTGATATCCAGAGCTAAAAGAGCAGTTCACGACGCATGCATAGGCTCTACAGCTAGCTACCGGAAAGGAGGAAAAGTTCAGAATAAACTCCCTCGATTACTGGAAAGACCACCTGCCACTGCGATGGATTGAATCTATTCCAAAGGCGTCGGTCCTACACTAGATAACAGATATTGTGTGCTCCTCGTTTTGAGCACATCTGCTGCTTCAAAAGCATCGTCGTGCTGAGTGGTTTCGTTGAAGGAGTTCTTTATCTGCTTTTCTTCGTTCAGGTGGCGGGCTAGCAAGAATCCAGTGCTCGTATTCCTTGCAGGTGGTGACTCAGTAGATTGAGGGTTTTAAAGTAGGGAAGTTATCTATGGAAGCCGCATTTTTCTGCCATTTCTCGTCTACTTGGCAGTGGCGCTGTCTTCGTCAGTGTTTGATCGGCGACATCTCCTGGGAGACCGTCCCGACGAAGAAGGCCGAGAACGTTGAGGTTGGGCCGTGTCTGTCTTCACTGGACTTTGATGACGCCGAGTTGCAGGCTTTTTGCTTGCCACCATCTCATCGGTATGAGCACGGCGAAGGGGGGCACGATGGTGCTTGGTCCCAACATCAGCAGAGCGAGTTCGGCACATTCTCGGTGCATTGTTTGGAATATGGTGAAGATGAGAGTGCTTCCTTACCACCATCTCGGCTGTATGAGCACATCGAGTGGGGGAACTATGGCGCTTGGTCCCAATGTCGGAAGAGCGAGTGCAAGTGCGAGTGCGACGCAGGGGTGCATCCGCTTCTCCATTCACCTGGTTTGGACGAACAGGAGAGTGCTTCCTTACCGCCGTCTCATCGGTATGAGCGCGGCGAAGGGGGGCTCGATGGCGCTTAGTCTCAACATCAGCAGAGCGAGTTCGGCGCATTCTCGGTGCATTGTTTGAATTGTGGCGAACAGGAGAGTGCTTCCTTACCGCCACCTCGACTGTATGAGCACGGCGAGTGGGGGTACCATGGCGCTTGGTCCCGACGTCAGTAGAGCGAGCGCGACGCAGGGGTGCATCAGAGTCCTTCCTTGTTGCGCGGCCAACCCTTGAAGAAACCTTGCGACGCAATCTGAGTCTCTGAGGGCTGCGAAGACGTGTTTCTTGGGCCTCGTTACCCTTCTCAAGTTTCTTGCTGACTGACATGTTTCCATTGCCATCCATCTTGTGCGCGAAGGATGGCCGTTGATGGTCTGGTAGCTGCTTAACAGGATCGGATTCCTCGCTCACGCGGGCCCACGAGAATACATCAGCCAATGCACCGGCGGCAAAAAGCTTTTCAAGGTCAAGGTCAGAGTCGGCATCATCGGCAGGTCCAAGGAAAGGAAGCAATGGTTTTGGCTTGAAGTGGTCTGTCCTCATCTTTGCAAGTCGAAGTCTCCTCCCAAAAATGCTGGCCGGACTAGGGTCGTGCAGATTGTGCAGACTTTCCTGGAGACTCATCTCGAATGAGCAACCATATGCATTGCTGCTAGTAACTTCCATTGGTGATTCTGGGATGATACAGTCGTTCTCAACGACGGACTTTGGGGAGACTGGAGAGTTGCTTTTCTCATGTTTTGCTCTCTGATGGCAGTGGCATGACTCCAGACAACGCATCTTTTGACGACGAGAAGGGTGCGGTTGATTGGAAGGTTCGTCAACATTGGCCATTGAAAGCACGAGCTTGATTTCTGGAATGGTTGACATTTTCTTTAGTAGTAGGGAGTTGATTGATTGCAGTGTCAAATTGATTGATTTTGTGAGAGAGAGCTAGCTAGAGCTGTTCACATACATCCAAAAGATTCAAGAACCAGCGACGCTGGCGTACGAGCAGCTTCAATTCTATTAATGCAAACGCGTGCCGTACTCCCTGGTACACTTCTACGCGAGCTCTCGTAGAAGTGTATGAGAAAACCCGGCACGCGTTTGAATCTTTGAAATCGAAGCTGCCTGTATGCAGGATATGATAGCTGCAGGATGATGTAAAAAGGGGAACGGAACTTTTTCAAAGCAAGTTCAAGCTGAAGCTTGTTCTGCTTCTCGTTTTTGTTAAGTACCATGATGTCGGAGAACTCTGCCGATCCTGTTTGAGCGTACGATGGTACATGTACTCGAGTACTCAGTACTTAGAGCCGAAAATTGGATTCTCGCTTACGGCCAAATCAAATCGCTTAGGACCACTCAAGATCGAACACTGTCATCAAGAACAACTGACCGCGTGACTCTGGAGCGGAATGTACCGGTACTGTACGCCGGTACGGTACTGGTACGATCCCTGCGTCAAGAAACCAACCCTCCATCCTTGCCATCCTTGGCAACTGGCTCTGGCTACATGTATTTTAATGCATAGCTTGACTGGCTCAATCATCTATTCAACTTCGGGGGGAGGCCACATGGAACCAGCAGTTGTTTTTATGTAGGTGTTTATCTACGTTCAGGAGACGCCAAAGCGTTCTGGCTACCGCTGAAAATATCTCGTTGGCGACATGCATTCGCCTGAACTAGCTAGACCTCAAGGGTCACTCCTCCAGAGTTGTCAGTTCGCTGCACCCGACCACTGGTTCTTCAGGACAGGATGGTCGTCCTCTGGGTTGTGATAGGGATTCAAACCGCATCGTCTGCGTCAGTAGCATCCAAGGAATCACGAAGCTGACAGTCTTGTATGCCCTCGTTACCATCGGATTCATCGTCTGATCCTTCCCAGTTTAACACGAGCGGGTCTGAATCCGACAAGCTAGCTTTCTTTGTGGATTCCAGAGAGACCTCTTTCTCCCAATCCTGCCTAAAGTCTAGTCCACTCGAAGCAGACAGTGCCTTGACGGGTTGACTGCGTTTACTCGAGCTACGCTTTGCTTTCGTAACTCCGACGACATCTCTGCCCGAGCCTCGTTTCGTCCTGCGTCTCGGTTTGTCACTCCTTCGCACCCCCTCGATCGCCGCGTCCGCCGACAAGGTTGCATGAGGTTTGTGGTTCATTTTCAATGTTCTCATCAGCCCGTCTTCATCTGACTGTGACTCCAACATAATACGACGGTTGGGTTTCTTGACGGTCGTTCGTTCCGGAAACATAGAGCTGGAAGCGGTGGCACCAAAACTCTCATCGTCGTGTCCGCTTGGGGCCGTCAACGTCAACCTGGCCAAAGACGAACGTCTTGGCTTTTGTTCCTTTCGTCGTTCCATGGGCGACAAGGATCTCGGAGCTTTACTACTAGATTTGGGATGGTGACCTCGGTGCTTGTTTGTTTTGGGTGGTGGTGAGCCATCAGGAGATAAGGACCTACGAGAATTGTTGTTGCTCGGCTGAGTTGCCCGACGACTCGTCTTCCCGCGATCCCCTTCCTCCTCCGATCCGGACCGAGATCTTCGCATTTCCTTTTTCCGACCATGATTGGTTTCACTTTGTGGTTGTTGTGCACTGTCTCTGCTGGATGTATTTCGGGCTGCACGGTTGGGCCTACCGGTACTCCAGCCCGTCTCGGTAGTACTAGTTCCTTTGTTGTTTCGTTCCACGAGCATGCGGTTGGAGTCTGATCGAGGGTTTCGTCGGTGTGGTTGACTATTGCTTTTGGGTGGTAGTCCCTTTCGAAATGACTCTTCGTTCGCCAACACCAGTCGTTGCTTGGATGTGGCTCGTCGATACTTGGGTCTGGATGTCGACGGCGACCCCATCAAGTCCATTTGTGACAAGGATTTCTTCATTGGTACCCTGCTGTTACTACTGCGACCACCCATGAGATCTTTTTGCGACAAGGATTTCTTCATTATTGGTGGTACCACCCTGGTATTGGGACAACCCATGAGATCTTTTTGCGACAATGCCTTGCTCGCGGCCAATCGTCGATTGGACGATGAATTGGTTCTATTGAACAAGTCCACCTGCGAAGACGATCGGTTCATGGCTCGGTTCCTTCCTCCAGGATGCAGCAAATCAGTGTACGAGCCCGATTTCCTCATCAAATCCCTATGCGATCCCGATTTTCTCATCAAATCCCTGTTCGAGCCCGATTTTCTCATCATTGTGAGTCTCGGAGCAGAACGATGGAATGTTTCTTCCGGTTCGGAATCCCCGTCGGACAGATTAATACCACTATCCTGGTTGTTGCTGCTCCCCGCTTGATCATCCGTGTCCACCAACATGCTGCGCCTGGACCTGGTACGTCGCTGCTGGCGTCGTTCTTTGAGGGACAGTACTGGCAGTTCTTGTGGTTGCTGTTGCAGGTCAGGATTGCTGTGGTTCTGTTCCAATAATTCAAAGCTCCTGTTCAGACTGTTGTGGTTCTTGCTGGCGTTATTGTTATCCCCGTCCGGATGATGACTGACCCACGAGGAAGAAAGGTTGGCACTGGATGCAAACATCATGGACGAGGATCCCTGATTAGTGTTGTTGTTTTTGATAGTGCTAGCATTGTTGTTGTTGTCATCCAATTTTTGAATGCTGTTATTCTTGGGGAGCAACAACATCCTCATGGACCCTTCTTTTCCCAAATTTCGAATAGAGCCTTGATTGATACCTGCCAAACTTCGAATGGAGCTTTGTAGATTCGTCAAGCCTGTCAAATTTCGAATGGAACCTTGCTTGCCGAGTGCTCGTCGCACTTTATCTTCCGTAGTGGGTGTGGGTGGGCGATCAGTGACGTCTTTACCAGCGGCCCGCAATGCCATTTGTCGATGATACGCTTCTTCCGTAAAGTACTGACAATCTTGATATTTGGACCGCACAAAGGCAGCACTCGCCAGCGACCCAATGTGTTTGTCGGTATGATTGCCTTCCAATGCCGATTGATAAATGGCATTGACGGCACTGTTGCCACTGTGTTCCAACGTGACAATATCGCGTTCCGTCCACGTTTCTGGTTCTTTGAGACTCTTGAGTTGACAGAGTTCTTGGCCCAGTGCCAAATGGTACTCGCGGCACGTGTGGCATACCAAGACGCCCAACATGCAGTGGTCTTGGTCAATCGGCGCTGCCAGGAGAGACATCCATTTGGGTTTGTGCGAGCGACATTCCGAACAGCTCTTGTTGCCTTTTTCTTTCAGGATTGCTTTCATGCGCTTTTCCAATTGCTTCTTATCGGCTGCTACTACCGGTGCTGGTGCTGGTGCTGTTGCTTCGGTTGGAAGTAGTTCCGCGGCAATCATGCTAATGCTCGCATCAAAGGCACCTGTAGACTTCATGTTGGGCGGCATGTCTTAGTTGCGTCGTTGTGGGGGGAGATAATAATGGTAGAACCCAGTGTGTCTCCTTTGGGAAAGAAGAAGCGCATGACAAAGCGATCCATCCATCTGTGATCGGGTGGTCTTGCTATGGACTAGACTATGTAACCCGCATGAGCAAGGATCCCAGACACCAGGCACTGTTTCAGTTTCAACACTTACTTCTTTTACTTGCTGCTTCGGTCGAAGATTTCAAAGTGTGGGTTTCCGTCGAGCAAACAGGGGAGCACTTCTCAGGGGAAGGCACAGGGTCATCAAAATTGACCAGTGAAGAACAGCATGTAGTATTTTACTTAACCCTTCGGTCACTTTGGTTAAAGCACGAAGACTGCAGTAAATCGCTCAAACATCCCAGTGTATCAAGACCCCCAAAACCCCAAACCTCCAAAAGACAGCATAATATCATCAGGTACCGATACTCAGTATGACATACCGGTACCTATGGTCTATGGCCGAATCGTCCAGCTTTGCAATGGCTGCTTGGCTGGTCTTGATTCCACGGATCTTCGACTGTCGGATCTCTACCTGGCCAGCTGGTTCCGGTAGCTATCCAGGAGGTGCGATGCAGAACAATGGTAGAATTCACTTTCGATCGAGGATGAACCCATGCCTAGCTACGGTAGGTTTGGTTGGATGGCTGGTTGGATTGCCTCGATGGAACGAGCGATGGCAACCTCCTTTCTTATCAACCAAGACGATGGATGGATGGATGGAATGCAATGGGAATTTACCTTGCTACTCTTTGCTAGCTAGTAGCTAGTAGACCCGTGCATTCAGTAAGTATCATGGCTTGTTTCAGTAGATATTATGCATGTGTCTAACAGACAGCGACGCTGCCTCATGTCCACTTCTCGCTCACTGATCATCTCTTTCTACATCATTCCTCTGAAATCTTAACCAAAACTACAGTACTCAGTAGCAAGTGGTGAAGCAAATCAACTCTTTTCAGGCAACCAGCATATCCACCAGGTGGTTTGCCCAAAATAGACTAGATGATGAGATGTTTGGGATCATAATATTGTGAGTGCCTGCTTCGGGGTGCATCAGCCGAACAGCTTCGGGAAGAAACGAGATACAAGCATGACAATCCTGCAGAGCCGACAGGTTATGATCGGCGACAACCTTTGGGTCTCTTAGTCCTTGGAAGTAAGTGTGTTGCCCGTGAGGGTGCCATTGGTTGGTGCCTCTGTGTGAGATGGACCCTTGCCTGGGCTTGGGGAGGCTACTCGAGGCTTGGGCTGGCACCCAGGTGCCGCTTGTCCATTGGAAGCAAATCCGTCACACAAGCTTGTTCTTTTATGTTTCATGTAATCTAATCTTTTATCTTTTACTAGTGAGCTACTCTGGCTGGTAGTAACTAGTTGCTTTTGACAGGCAACACCGCTGGGACTACACTTTCTCCTCCGAGGGAGCAGTGACCAGCTCGAAGGTTGTGCTCTTCAACGCGGGCTTCCTTTGCAGCAGTTGCCCTCTCTAAAGCCAAACGAACCGGGTCAGGCTGGGGCTCATGCGTTTTGTCAGCTGCTGACAAACTGCAACGAGAAGCCTCTGCACGGCCCACAGACCCATGACGGCTTCTTCTAGATCTCGACTTGGAGTCAGTCCTTGTGACTTTGTCGGATTCATCTGAACCTTTGGCCTTCGGCACCTTGTCTCCTGCAGATCGTCGTCTTGTTGGCGATTTGCTCCTTGTCTTGTCCGCTTCAGAACCCAATGCCTTCTTCATAAGGTCTGTGGTAGATCGCCGCTTCGGTGATTTACTCCTCATCTTGTCCGCTGCCATGGCCTTCGACACAGTGTCTGCTGCAGATCGTCGCCTCGGTGATTTGCTCCTTGTCTTGTCCCCTTCATCAGATGTTCCAGCAGTGTCGTCGGACCCTTCTTTCTTCCTTGTGGGTCCTCTCTTGCTGGAAGTTCTTGTTGGTGATTGCGTGGAATCAACGGAGGCATGTCGCTGACGTCTGGGCTTTGAGATATTTTTGGAAGGAGACGCAGCGTTCGACTCTTCCACTTGTTCTTTGTCGGGAGTAGCATCACCACTACCAGGTGGCCCACGTGGTTGTCGCCTTGGCCTTGAGTTCGTCTCACCTTTGCTGGGAGACCCACTGCTGGAACGATGCTTGACAAGGCCAGCCCCCAACGAGGCAGTTCGACGAGGCGTACGCCGTCGGTGACCTGAATCTCGGCTGAGACCTTCCTCGGGTTCATTTTTGCTCGGCATTTTGGTATGCAAAGAGTTGGCACCACCGAGCTCATCGCCCTTCAGGTTCCGGGAGCTAAGGGAGCTAACCATTGCGCGCCTCGACCTCGCCCTTTGAAGCACTGACGAACCGGTCCTTTCCATCTCTGGCTCGCCATCCTTGGAGCTAAGGGAGCTAACTGAGCGCCCCGACCTAGCCCTTCGGAGCAATGACGCACCGGTCGCATCCTTCCGCTCCTCGCTAGTCTTGGTGTCCTTTCCGTTCAGGGAGCCAGTTGATCGATTCCTTGCCTTCATCCTAGGAGGCATGGCAATCTTGTCGTTCGAGGGCAAACTTCCCGTAGACTGGTTCCTAGAGATACGTGCAGGCCGTGCAGGCACGTCGTCAATACTCATAGTCTTCCCTCGAAGCTTACGACGAGGCTGAGCAGATGCGTTCTCTTCATCATCAGTGGTATCGCAGCCTGCACCGTGGCCTATGGAACGGTTTCGGAGTTTGCGACGTGGGTTGGATTCTGAGCGGCGAGGTGTGCTTCGTCTAGCCGGTTTGTTGCCTTCGTCCATGCTGACATCATCGTCATCACTGTCCTCTCCCAAATGGCTCATGGAACGGTGCCTGAGTTTGCGGCGGCGGGGGGGTCCCTTTTCGGGCTTGTCATCGCTGTCATCATCACTGTCCTCCTCTCCCAAATGGCTCATGGAACGGTGCCTGAGCTTGCGACGGCGGGGAGGTCCCTTTTCTGGCTTGCTATCACTGTCATCATCACTGTCGTCAGCTCCCAAATGACTCAAGGAGCGATGCCTGAGCTTTTTGCGTGTTGGGGTCTTCTCGCTAACGTTTGTTGCTGCTCCACCGATGGATCCGCGTCCACCGACGGATCCTCTTCGTCCACCAAGAGAGTTGCGACGGCCCACGGCTCGACGCGCCAGCGCCTGTGCGATGCCGTCATTGTCATGAGGGGTAGCAGCGCCATAGCCCAAATCGTCCTCGCCGTAGCCAAGGTCAGCGACATCGGGGGTAGCGCCGAAGCCTAAAGCAGACTCCTTCTGATTGCCTCCTTCGTTCGATCCGAGGCCCAAACCAAGCCCTTTATCAAGCGAAGCAATTTTGCCCGGACTCGCAAAACCCAAATCGTATTTTCGTCCGAGCTTTGCCTGGTTGCTTTCGTCGCAGTCGTTCTCTTTTTCCAACTTGGTCAAGTCTCCTGCAGATTTGCGCGGCTGCTTGAGCTTCATGATAAAGCTTGATCTGCTTCCCGTCATACTAGCTACTCGTGGGCCACGTTTACGAATCGACAAGAGGTTGGGATCCGAGAAATTTTTCGTAATCTTCGTATCAGCGGCAATTTCCTCTTCCTCTTTGGCAGCGCCTTGGCTCATCAGGTTGAGCGACATGAGGAGCATTCGTTCGTGTTCCGGGTCACCACGCAACTTGATTTGTCCCTTGTAGGCATTCTCATTGAAGAAAGCTCGATCCTCGTACTTTTTCTTGACAAATGCGGAGCGCAGCTCCTGCTCCTTCCATTTGTCTGCTGACGCACCAATGATCTTCTCTTCAGGCACCATGCTGGCTTCGTAAATGGTGTTGACCATGCCATTGCCACTGAGTTCCATGCATTTGACTTCATCTGAGTTCCCTGTGTTTACAAAGGCGTGATAAGATAAGCTGGTTAGGTCACTGGATACCCTTGACACAAGAGCACGAAAGTCCAATTTTTTGATCGCTGGAACTTACACTCCTCCGCCACCTTGATGTTCTTGACTTCACACACTTGTCTTCCCAACTGAAAGTGGTAGCTGCAACACTTGTAACAGCAAAAGACCCCCATCATAACGTGCTTAGCCTTGACCTTCTTATCCTTCTTGTCCTTCTTGTCCTTTTTATCTCCTGATTCCTGGTCTGGGGCCAACGGAGGAACCAGCAAGGACGCCCATGTTGGGTTCCGTTCTGGACATTCCGCACAAGTCTGATTCTCCTCTCGTTCCAAGCACTGCTCTAACCGCTTGATCAGATCCGCCTTGGCCTTGGCTTTGCCTCGAAAGTCTTTCTTCATGGTCGTCTCTCTCCCTTAGCTTTTTAGCTTGAGTTGGTTTCCTTGGGAAAAAAAGTGCCAACTTACAATTGTGAGGTTGACTGTCACTGTATTTGTGACCTCGATTCTAACCCTGTCAACTCCATGTGTGTTGTTGTACTTTTGGCGTAGCAGCTTCCGTTTGCGCAGGCTATTGATGGCCAGTAGAAAGATAGGGTCGACTAAGCGACATGTACTAGTCTGGAACCGCTGTACTGGTAGGCCCCAACGGAGGATCTTTTTCTCATGCCACTGGAGATGGTTTGGACGATTGTGTTACTTAAGTACATGTACGGAGCCACCGCAGAAAATTGAGTGTCGGTGGTCGACCAGGGTGGGAGCCAAGGCGGTTTTGGATTCATAGTTGAGGTAAAACTGAACACAAACTAAATTGTACATGAACAAATGTTTACCTCAACTATCTAATACACTACAAAAGGGTTTTCAAACGTACGTGTACCACTCAACCAGTATATCCGGATTTGTCGATGTATTTACAGGACACTTCAAAAAGATTAAAAACAGGATTGAAGGCGACCGCTTGGGCTTCTTTAACTTGGTCACTGGAGTCGCAGCTTTACAGCAGTATCCAAAACTCTACTGTCGGCTGACACCATTGCTCGTCTTGGGAGATCTTAGAACACTAATGGTCACCAGCCACCAACCACCAGCCTCACAGGTCCAGCTGGTAACTTACTTTGTGGAGCTCTTAAGCTCTTTGAGAAGGGTTTCGTCCGTTGCTCCGTTGCTCCGACCCGACTCGTGGAAGGAAGAGTACCAGTGTCCCACGGGGAGCATACTGTACTAATACACACCCATACTTCTTAGGCAACTGGAGAAGAAGTTGTTGGTAGGTTTGAGGTATTGTGGCCTACCGTACCTGGAATGGATGTTGTTGAATTCCCTTGTTGGCTTGGTTTGAAAGGAGACAAACTTTCGTGGGGTGGAACTTCTGTATGCAGGGTGTCCCTTCTGGCTGGCGATTCTTGCAAACAAATAAATCATGCTACGTGGGCAGCGAGGAGGAGTCCCCGACATGCACGGCATGAAAGGGAGAGACAAAATAACTTCGTACACATAGATAAACAAGCTGGTTTCTGGGCATACTAGTATCACAGCACGTTGTGTGACAGCATCATTGGTACTTTCTCGGAACTCTAGATTCGGTCACTGCTTTGTCGTCCAGCCACTTTCTGTAATATCAAACTGGAACATTTTGGGAAAAGAAGTAACACCATTGCATCAGCTAGTTCATTTTACCAATGCAGCAATTTGCTTGGCAACAGGAGGACAAATTCAAGTTTTGCTTATGCATTGTTACCTGGCTGCCATCAAAATCAGCAGGCGACCTCTTTTTGGCTGCAAATGCAACGTTTGATGTCTGAATCTGGACTTTTCCAGAAGCAGATTTAAATGCCTTTTCTTCTATTAATAGCTAGAAACAACTTCTGGATGCTTCTTCTGCTTTAGATGAAACCATTCCAAGCAATCATTGTGAAAAACCACAACTTGGATCCACTCCATCGTTGATTTCTTGCAGAGCAAGTTCAGACAACCAGCAACACCGGAAAACCTGGATCGTTTACCGTTTAGCTGGCTTTGAATCCATCCTATGCAGTGTTTCTGAGTCGAGTGAGTCAACTGTGTTTCGACTCAGAGTCGAAACACAGTTGGGCTTGGAGAGAAGTGGTGAATGGTTGCGGAGTATTAGTATTCTGAAGGTCGGTGGTGATCGTCGAGCCAAGAGGCCCTCTGCAGCAACAAAACATGTCATAGTCTGCCGCTTGCAATCCTGATGCTTGCTATCTACTAGCTAGCTAGAGATGTCCTACACGTAGTCCTTAGTCTATAGTCCAAGATACATGTGCTACCCAATCCAATATCAACAGTCAATCAGCACCATCAGGTAACTAGTGGTGCCACCTCTCGGCAAAGACTAATACGGTACAGGACAATAAAGAGCACCATGGATTCTTGCCCGCTGCCAGCTCGTCCCTCCACCTGGACGTGGAACGATGGTTCAAAGATGGTGAGGCCGCCATCCCATTTTATCGCCCCTGAGGCGGGCTTCAGGTAGCTTCGCCTTGTTGGTGTCAGAAAAGAAAGATGTGTATTTGCTGCTCTTCTCCATCTCTGTGACATGCCAAGCATCCACCAAATACCCCGAAGAAAGCTAAGGAGGTTGCCTGCAGTGATGGCTGGAAAATCAACGACCACTCCTTCCCTTGGGATCATGGACGGATGGATTTACTTTGTTTTCGCTGAGGAACCAGGGGAACAAGAGGTATATTCTACTTGCACATTCTGATCCAAGTCTGATGTTATTAGGCTACCACCGTGCCGGTACCAGGAAGGTAGCATGGGTTATTTCAGTCCTTGGCCACGGGTCGAACAATAGTGGACATCAGGGCCATGAGTTGCCTACTGGCTGCGCTCCGTTCAGGTATGCTTGTTGGTTCTCAAATAATACTGTGATGTTGCCTACCTTCTCATGGCGCCACGGGCTTATCGGGAGGAGCAGGTAGCATGATAGTCTTGCTTCAGCGATTCACCAATTCCCCATGTGTGCACTCCCGAGGCACCTTGAACACTTGAGTTAACATCAACGAATCAACCACCCCCGAGCAATCCCATCAGTCGCGGCTACTATTCCCATGCTATGGAAGTCCAAGCCATCCATCCATCCAGGTAGCTAGCTTGTGGATTCATCACTCCTTTGATTGTCCCTGGTACTAGCTATAATAGCTAGACATCAAACTCAGCAACAATGGCTTGGCGGAGCATCAAACTCAGCAACAATGGCTTCGAGATGACAAAATGTGGCAACAAGTCTTTTGGCCATGCTGCAGTTGATCCATCAAATTTCTGGTATTTTTGGTCCTCGGTATTCAACGTGATCCTGCGTTGGAAAGAACCCATGGGTCAGATAGGCAATGTGTCGTTGTCGACGAGCTAGCTGTCTCTGTCTACAACCAAGTGCAGTACAGTCCCTCGGAGAAGTCTTCATTGTTTCCCTGCATTGGTACTTTGGCGCCGTCCCTGAAGGATCGAATGCGCTGCCCCCTTTTACCTTGGACACTTGCCTATACCTATATCTCGCTCGAACTTGCAGCAACCACCTTCATTGCAAAGCTGCTTGTCTTACATGATGTTTGCCCACGAGACAAATATTTCCTTAATCAACAGCAGTGGAATGGAAGAAAGACACTCAAAAAGGATTACCCAAACTTCTCATGGGAAGCCAAGAGGGGAAAAGGCGGAAGGGTTTGGACACAAAAAATCGCAGAAAAACAGGGTCGTAAAATGGGCCAGCGAATGAATGCGCGGTCCCGGAAATAATCATCAACCGACGGGACGTTTTTTGCGTCCTGTTGGGACCGCATCAGACCGCCAGAGACCGGGGCACTCAAGACGCCTACAGCTGGAATTGCGTTACCGCAGATGTCAGCGTGTGCAAGCAACTTGGGCAAGCCCTGGTCTGGTGCGACTTTACAGTACGGCCATGACAATTATCTGGTTGGAGGTTCAACCTGACTCTGTATTCCATTCAATCTCCCGATGTGACACGATCAATAGCTATGCTATCCATATGGAGGACGAAGCTATATTTCAATTTAGTTGTGAAAAGGTGGGCAAGTAACCGGGCGTGAAATTGGAGCTGAGTGCTCCATTCCATCCAATCTACTGCACTGTACCGGCACTGTGGACAAGAACGACTGAAGACTTGAGTGTGGTACCAGCACCGATTGAAGATTTCAAACCATCCTGACTGCCCAAAAACCAAAACAGATCTTCTACTGGTGACAGGGGGAGGTTGCCTATTGGGGTCAGCGCATCCTACTGGCACCAGTCGTTTGAATGCCAATCTAGTCTACCCGCCCCTGGCTAGCTGCTAGCTACCGTTCCGGTGGTACTTTGCACTTTGCACAAACACCATGCAAGGCATGTAGAAAAGTTATGCGATATCATCGCTACCCGAGTGGCCAGTAGCCATCCCTGAGGGGGAGGCAGAGGGAGAGCTATACTAAACGTGCCAAATCTTCCAAGCAGCACTTCTCTTCTCTGTGGAGAGCTCCTAGAGCACCCAGTCAAGCGAAATTGAATGGTGCGACCTATAGAAGTTGCACATCAACGAGATCAAGGGGCCATGTCGTTTCCTTATAGCTACACGTTCTGAACGATTGCTCCAATGGGACCAGTGGTGGTCCTCTAGGACATCTCGTCGTTCCGCGAATGCTCGGCAACGCCGGCAACCTAGAGTGAGGGGATGTTGAGCTCAGACGCAGCAACGGTCGGTGGCTAGCTGGTTTCGAACGAGCTGTGTAACCTGTTTGGCCTATCCCTGGTTTCGTTTCGATGAACCAGTTGAGTGGGAGTACAATGTCATCATGTAGTCCTCACGTGCTCACCTCGTTCCTCGTTCATTACCGCCAGCCGACGATATCCATCGGTAGCATCTCTAGCAAAAGTGGTGCCTCGCAGCAACTGGTCGCATAGTACCGGTACATGTAGTACTCTAGAGTACTACATGACAGTCTCGAGTCTGGCTAGCCAGATCTTAGAGTTTGCTACTTACTTGAGAAGTTAGTACCGGTAGAGTACACGTGCCCTGATCAGAGGGTATCCAGTCAGCGTCCAAGCAATATCGTATCCAAGCAATCTTTTGGCTTTGGAGCACACGGGATGTGATCTTGCGGTCGCGTGAAAACAATGAAAGAACTTTGAAGGTCAAACACTGATTTATTGTCTTTCCTTACAGCTTTTCACTAATACCATGCCAGAGCAAAATGGACATTGCATTATCAAGCGTGTTGTGAAACGCTGATGAGGCCGCGGGGTCCGTGCTAAAGACCTTAAAGTGTACAGTCGCAGTGGATGCAGCATTACGGAGCCTGTCTCTTATTCGAAGCAGATTTAGGACGATCTCTGGTGTCTACCAAGACCATTTCTGAAAACGTTCAAGAACGAGGCACAGGATGTCCTGTGTTTCTTTGGGAGCAAGACACCTTACTAGTATACTTATTGAGCTCTTATTGGTACACTTTGGCTGTTGGCTGTAGTCTTTTCGTCTTTTCTTCATTGTCCGATCCTGAACGCAAAAATGGATTGCACCCTTCCGTACCGCTTCGAAACAGAGTTTTTGGGCCAAAGTCCAGTATCGGTCCCCCGCCTTGTAAAACCTATTTCTGACAGTCCCGAAGTCACACATGCACGACTGACGCTTCAGTTGAAATTTTATACACATATACATACGTATATATATATAAACCCGACATGCTTTTGATCGAGTCATTTGACATCACCAGTGGTCACCTTGTAAAACTTGTCGACTACAGAACGTCTACAGTAAAAAGGAGAGAATCCGAAAAATTCTCTTCACGTATGAGAGAACACAATTCTATTCTTCGGTAGTGGCGGTACTTTGTCTTGTGTATGAAAGTGACACACACAATAGGATGGAAAGCTAAAACTAGGATCACTTTTCCGAAAAAAAGCAACTACTCTATTAAAAACAAACTCCATCTAACTCTGCAGCATCTCTAGTATTTAATAATCATACTTTACATCTCGCAAAGCAGCCAGAAGGCCATTCCACAGGTTGCCTTCATTGTTCCTCCTCCAGACAAACTCGAAGAGGCAGCCCTGCACCTGCTTGGCTGTCCTTTTCCGGACAGGAACCATCCTCTTAATTCCACACCAGGTCCCCTCGATTGTGTTGGTGTGCACCTAAACCGGCAAGACAAAGCTTAGCACAGCAGCAGCAAGTGTCATGAGCACGCAAAATCCTGGTACTTACTCCTGTCTCTGGATTCTTGAAATGCCTGGAGTGGTTGACACCCTCCCACTGATACAGCGGCAGTGTCAAGCCATCTCCAAGGTCCATCTCCAGATACTCGATGGAGAAGTAGACTGGCCAACAGTCACTCCTGATGATGGAGCCAGGCTTGATAAACTTGAGTATCAGAGGCAGCAGAGTGTCACTATCCCTCTTCTCCACTGTTAAAGCAAACATCCTCCTTTCGGCAGTCAGCTCCACTCCACCAAACACCCACACTCCCTCCACTCTATGTCCACGGTGATACTTTCTCTTACCAAATTTGCTCTCATCAATCTCGACAACTACTCCCTCTCCTCCAATCATGCCATCTTCACTAAGCACGATGGAGCAAATCAGTTGGTGCACATAGGTCATCCATAGATTAACCTTAGTTTTAGACCAGCCCGTATACATGCCAATCTGCTTAGTTGTAGCACCGGTCAACCAATGATACAGGAACACCATGAGATGCCTCTTTCCACCGCGGTGATCTGCAAAGAAGGTCCCGTGATAGATGGACCGGGACCACTCCTTCCCATTATCTCGTTTGCACTGCTTGCATCGGCATCTAACCACCTGCTTTGCATTAGGTTTTACTAGAGGAGAGTCACAGAGAGGGCAAAACACTGGGACCGTGATAATGCCCTCATCAATGAGAAACTGCGCTGTTGACTGCTCTGATCTGAACAGGTAGTTGATGACATTCAAAGTCGGCACTCCCTGTGCCTTGTTGGTGTTTGTCAATACACTCATGTAGTCCTTCGACGGGCTGTCATGGTGAAGAGCACGGGCTACTGCATCCATGGCTTTTTGCTTTTGTACTGCACGGCTGCAGAAAAGAAATGGTTCCGATTGATAGAGAGTTGCTTCTCTCGCACGGAACATGAACAAAAAATCTTTTTGCATCATTCGCCCAACCAGAGCTACGCATGATCATGCAATGCTCGCAGGGAGGTAAACAGGAGGAGATGATCACGAATAGCGGCAGTTGGGCATGTACTAATAAATTGCTATTGCTAATAAACATCTGGTCTTGTTTGTTTTCGTGCCTCCTTAGTCTAGTAAACCTCTACGTTGTTGCCCTAGTAGCCAAGCATCAACCATCCAACACAGCCAAAAACTAGCCGTTCCATCACGAGTAGCTACCTCCCTCCAAGGAACATCACTTGCCTCCAACACCAGCCCGCCCTTGTGTAGACAACTCGTAGCCACAGGTAGTGCTGGGCTTTTCTACATCACCTGCCTCCAACACCGGCCCTTTCACGGTTGTCGTCCTTGTGCATCTGACTAGTTCCCTCTGGGCTGCCACCGACAACGAGCAACGTACATCTCCGTACTGGTCCAGGTAGGGGAACGCGGGCACTGTTCCATTGCTGGTTGCTGCTTCCCTCCATGAAGCAAAGCCCTCTGCTTTTTGGTTGATTGTTGCCGATTGTTTGCTCCTCTCACATTCCCAGCTTTCCCCTTTCCACAAAAGCCCTCTCCATTATCAGCCCGGCCCACCATGTCCCTCAAAGACGATCTTAACTATGCCTCGGGCATGGACGATGCCACCAAGCAGACGCCAACAATCATGAACTCTACCCGAAAGGGGTATATTCCAACTCCAAGCAACGACCACCTGTACTCCCCCTTGAACCCACGTGAAGCGACAGAACCCAAAAGCAAACGCAAGTTCACGGAGGCTTTTGGCGAAGGGGGGTACTTCGCGGATGTGGTCTGGAACACCATGACATCCACCAAGAAGGCCAAGCCAACCAAGATGGCTGTTTCGACCAAGGACTCCTGGAAGAACAGTGCTGCCAAGAACCGTTCGAACAGCAAGAAGGCCCCAGTAGTCACTTCAAGGAGCAAGAAGGCCCCATCTCCTGCAGCGGCAAAGGATGACTCCGATGACGAGGTGATGATTGTTGATCCACCCAAGGGGCACAACAAACCTGTGCTTGCCGACTTCAAGGACCCCAAGCAAGCCAATCGTCTCAGGGAGACACTTCTCGAGTCCTCCGATGATTCTTCCGATGAAGAGGAGAGCAGAGAGTCCGCTGCTATCTTCAGGCCGCCGAGCAGGGGAAGAGTTTCCAGCAATGGTGAAGCCATCAGGGCACGCACCCAGATTTCCATTCCTGGAACTGCGTGGAAGACTCTGTTGGGATACCACAATGTCACCTCTCAAGAGCTTTGCAGGGTCCGCTCCAGAGTTGGCCGCCTCACTACCAAATTGCTGGCAGAAACGAAAACTCTTTCCAATCTGTTGGATGGCCTTCCCCAAGGTGTTGTTGGTGTGCTGTCAGCTTCCAAAGCATGGCGCGACCTCGGTGAGGGCTTCAGAGCAGTCTCCATGACGGTAACTAACAAGGTTGAGTCCAGTGAAGCTCGTGTTATGGCAAAACTCGAGGACTCTCAATCTGTTATGGCAGCCAAGATCTCTTCCCTCGAAACACGTGTCATGACAAAACTGAAGGATTCCACTACCAACTTGAAGCGGCACACAACGCAGAAGTGTGCAATCGGAGCAGCAGGCAGCGACTCGTCCTCCTCTTCTAAGTCTACTGCAAGTGCTCAGCGCCGTGACAGCTGGAGTCAACCTACCAATGCTGGCTCCAACACCTCAACTGAGGTTGTTTTAGAACGTTTGGAGGCTCAGGATGGAATCCTCAACCACATGGACAGCCAAATTGACTGGCTACTCGAGATGGTCCAAGGTCTCCAAGCAAAGTGTCCAGATCACAATGGAGGCAAGAACAATGTCCCACCAAGCTTCGTCTCAGCTAATGGGAAATCAGACGGTGGATCTTCCCAAGACGGTACTGGTTCTTACACCAGAAATCAACGTTGGAACGATCAAGAAAGGGAACGTAGAAACAGTCGAGGTAATGGAGGAGGAACTCGATATGTCAACATGACTGTCAACCAGTACTCCAAGCATTCCCCCCGTTCTACGGCAACTCCTTCCTTGAAGAAGCCTCCACCAGCAGCTTCCAGCGCCCCGCCCAGGCCAACGGTGCACTTCAGGAATGTCGTTGAGGCTGTACCCTTTCGTAACGTCACCACTGACAATGCCTCTCCTCCCCACTTGACTCAGCCAGACCTTGCTCGAGTGACCCAGAAAGAGTCCACTCTCCCTGTTCGAGGACCATTCCCCAACAAGATGGAACAGTACAATCAGAAGCCGAAGCCAAGGTACAACAACCCCTACAAGCAGCCGGTTGAATTCCAGCAGCAGAATGCTTCCTCTAGTACGTCAAACAATGGTGGCAGCAGTTCGGACAGGCTTACCCAGAAGGAAAACACAAGCCCTAAGTATCGCGCGGACGTTTAAGAAACGAAAGAAACAAGAGAATGAGATGCCTTCATTTGTGAAGGCTTTTTTTGTTATTCTCGCTACTGTTGTCTCTATACAAGCGGTCACCAAATGTCCAGAACTAGTAAAGATCGTTCTGGGCTGTTCCAAAAAAAGACCAAGCTCGCAAGAAACAGAGCCAGTTGTAATCTGTAGAGCTGTAGCGATTTAACTATACTTAACAAGAAAACAAACCTTATATCCATTATTCCGCTAGACCATTTTTTGCTCCTGATTCTTGGACTGTTGGCAGACCGCCATCTGCTTTGTGACAGAGAGAGTGCCACCAGTTCAACTTTCACCACCGAAATTGTTTTGCATTAAGTATGTTAGACATAGAGAGTGCCCCCTTCCGATCGTGGAGTCATTTCGAGGAATGCATGCCATTTTTGTGGTTAGAGCAGTTAACCGTCGAGCTAAGTACCATCTATGTTATATTAAGCGGCGTATACGAATATAACATGACGTCACTAGTGACTCGAGTGATGCCAGAACAGATTTTCGCCGGTGGGGGACCAATACTGGGACTACTCCGAGTTTTTGCCCTTCTTACGAAAACGAATTAGAGTACTACTAGTATTTTATACTGGAGTAAGTTGTTAATTTTTTGTTAATTTGAGCAGCTATTTGAGCTACTAGCTACTGTAGTAATTTGTAATTTGGGCTCAAAGCTCAAAGCAGCGCACTTGTACTCCGTTTCTCTAATAATAAGAGGCCTGTGCAATGTGCAATGTGCATGGACGCTGCAAACCTGGAACCTGCAACACCATCGTTTTTCACATTGGTGCAACACAAGTAGAATATTTAGGAGGCTGTTGAAAAGAATTCACTTAGACGCCTTGCCAGTCCACCTCATCCAGCAAGACCTCCTCATGACTTTGTTCTCGGAGACCGCAGAACAGCCCTAACTGGCTCAGCTACCAAGAGGCTGCCTCGGTTTACACACGAGTGCAATGAACGACTTTAAATGGAGGAAACACGATTGTTGGAGCAGATCTGTCCTTTGTACACAAGCCTTAGCCAAGTGCAGGTTCAAGAGTACTGTTCAAGTGAGTTTTACTAATCAGAAGGTTTTGCTGCGCTGCCAACTTCCAATCTCCGAGCTGTTGAATAACCGAATAACTTAGTTGGGTAGATACAGTAACCGCATCTCCTGTTCAGCTGGATAGCTGGCGGCAGCCTCCGGCTGATGGCCACAGCACAACAGATTGCCTCTTCACGGCAACTATTGTTCTTTCCACCAGCACATGCATAAACGCCAGGAAAGTCGCTCTTGTGCTCGGGAACAGGTAGTCTACTCTAGCTAGAGCACCCAAAGATTCTCCTTCCTCCTCTCATAAATTACTCAGCCACACGCATAGCAAAGCAAAGCAAAGCAAAGCAAAGCAAAGCAAACAAAACAAGCAAAGCAATACCAACTGATCACATGCACCTGAAAGCGTACCAAGTCAGCAAGCACTCCTTCTTTCAAGAACCTTCCCTTGATTTCTATCTATCCGGACCATCTTGCAACACACAACTCGCCACCATGATCTCTCCAGGATTATCAGCATCCTCTGGAAAGCCTCCCCTCCGCAGTGGTAAGTGGACTCGCGAAGAAGAAGAATTTGCCAATGCCCTCATTGAAGAGTTCAAGGGAGGTTCTCTCTCAGCCCTGCCGGAGGGTACCAGCATGAGAGGTTTCTTGGCCAAGATGCTTCGTTGTGTACCCAAGCGAGTCTCCAAGAAGTTTGAAAACACCAACTACAACGGCAAGCTCCAGTACGTGCGAGACAAGGCACTTCCGTCCCATGAGGTATCCAAGCGTCACATGCGCCTGGACCGACTAGAACGGGCCTTTCTCGCATCCTTGTCTGATCCAACTGATGCGCAGGCACAGGACCATGGACTCATGCTGGCCGCCCGACACAGCCTTCTGACCCTTGGTGGGTTGCCTCCTCACCTTCAGTATCCACGAACTTCGGCGGTTCAGGCCATTGCCAGCACCGCCAACAGACGATCTCGTGCTTCGCAGTGGGGAGATTCCTTGGCTGCAGACTCCCAAACCAACGCAGAAGTACAGGCCACCAAGTCTTCTTCTTCCTCCTCCAGTTTGTTTGACATGCCGGGTTCTTTCGGGGCAGCCGAGGCTGCAGCTGGCCTTGGCTCTTTGGGACATACGTCGCAGCTGCATCGTCCTCTTTTGGCAAGCACATTCATGTCTTCACAGCAAGACATGGGCTCTGCTTATGCTTCTCCCACAGATGCAGCAAGGGCCATGCTTGACACCACCACTGGCAGTATCATGGGATCCAACTTTCCTTTGATGAGTGCTCGCATGAACCTCCAAGGCGGCAGCAGCAGCGGAGTCTCTGCTGCTTTCCAAGACGCTTCTTCCACGGTCGGGCTCTTTGGAGCTTCTTCTTCTCATCTGGGTGGGGCCCTTCCTCGTTCCTCCGCCATGCTGCGTCAGGGTTCGCCCCTTCTTGGCTCCCGCAATGCTGCTGCCGCGTCTCTCTCCCACCAACAAGAAGAAGCCAAGTTGCTGCAACGTCAAATCGAATTGGAAGAACAAAGACTCGAGATCCTCAAGAAGCGACAGTCAAATTTGATGGGGGGAAGCTCGGCGCATCAGGACCCTCCCGCCAGAAGCGAGAACCGAGCATCCATGGAACCAGAAGGACAGTTTGGGGAGCAGCGCAGGGAGATGAACCGTCGCTTTCCTTCTTCATCCGACAGAATCACCTTCCCCTCCTCGTTGTCGCAGTTCCTTCCAACAACGAATACTGCAATCGGTTCCAACCCATTGAACTTGTCACCACAAATGACTGGCGCCAACGGGCCCAGTGCAAATCTTTTGCAGATGGAGCGACACAGTCGACTCCAGCAAGAACTCTTGTTAGGTGGCGGTGACATTCAAGGTCTATCTCATCAGCCATGGTCCGCGACGAATCGAGTTCGAGGTCGCTCCATGGAATCCAGCAAGCGCGAGGACGAAGATGAGGATAGTCTCGAACAAGAAGAGCAGTCCTCGGTCAAGAGGCAGCGTTTGGGTTAAAACATGTACGTTCCCATTTTGGAACAGCGATCCTTCATGTTTCATGAAGAGAGTGCACCGGCACATGTGGGACAGCTATGTTAAAGTATAATAGATGTCGATGCATCAAGAACAAGAGGAATTGTTTACTAGTACCATATTTCATCTTTCCAGTTCACCGTCCTCCATAGGAAATCAGAAAGCACTCAAATGGAGTTGTTCACCTTCACAGTGGCTATGGGAGCTGCATGGAGGACCTAGCATTCATTGCCACAGCTGCTACCAATACCGTTGCTGGGTACTGCATGTTTGGGTCTGGCATCTCCTTTTATGACTTGCATGCTAGGCTGAACACAGCAAGCAAGTACCGTACCGTACCACAAGTAAGAGATGGCTGCATCGAATCAATCAGTGTATCGTGATGGAAGCTCTACAGAGCCAAAAGCGGTGTCTCAGAGTTAAAAGAGGGGTGAAAATTACGACCGAACTTCTCCAGTGAACTAAGAAACATTCTTTGAAGACATTGTTATAACAACTCTTTTGTTAAAAATCAAGCGTCATTACGATTAGAGGCTCTACACCAGAGCAGCCAAAGAAGGGAAAAGCGGAGTCATCATGAACTCACCGGTTATTTGTGACGCTGGATTCACATTTTGCTCAAAAGTGGCATCATCTCTTTTTGAGTTTGCGTTAGCTTTGCTTTGATACTGTACGGTAGATATCACACGGTACCAGGAGACCTAGCACGAACTGTGAATCAATCCATCCTTTGCAGTCGAACCAGCAGCTACCGGTCGAAAAGGCACTCGTACCTTAGTCAGTCAAACATAATCCCGCCGTCCCTCTCTAGCTAGTGTGGCGTGGATATGTTAGCTGGTAAAGATCTTCTTCCAAATCTTGCTTGCTCTGGAAAAGTGCCAACCTACCGACGACCCATAATATTTATCAAACCTACAAAAGAGTCGAGTAACCATGACAGACACAAGCCTACAAGCCTTCTTTCTTCAGCTCCTGCCAGAAGCAGCGAGAAGCTCGCAACCTCTTCACGTCGAGATCGTCGATGATTGTGCTCGATTGCATCCATCTTCGTTTGTTGCAAAGATGCGAAACGACAAGAATCGAGTTGAATCATGCGGAACATCATCGGCACAACACGACCGATGGGGTAGCAAGCATGATCGGTGGGGTAGTACTCCTGCACCTCTTAATGCCCCCAACGGGGCAACAACGAGGAGGCAGGGGCGCTTGAGCGCGACGGATACCGGTACCCTCAGAATGAAACAGACACTACGAATGCCCCAACGACTTCCATCTGAAGACAAAAAGCATCGTCGTAGTGACGGCGGTGACAACCAAAGAAGCCCCGAAAAGACTGCAGTGACGGCTGCATCAGCATGATGAACACGGTAGCTTGAATGACACTGAACACTGTCGTCTGGTAAGCACGCCTTACTTGCTTCGGGTGTGGCAATTGTAAGACCACAAGCGCCTTGCTTCGCAGCCATGGGGCGGACAGCCAACTGTACCGTATGCGTCCGAGACACAAAAAGAAGAACTCCAACGTTCCCGCGTCCCACACCGGCACCAGTGCGAATGCAGTGGCTTAACTTAACCCAAGAAGCACTAATAACTACCATAGCAAGACTGCATCTATCTAGAAGTATTGTGAATTATAAAGATTTGTCTTTAGAGGAGAGGAGAGTCATGCAGTTCTTGTACGGAAGCCTTCTGTTGGTTTGCTTGTGTGGCATGGGGCTGTGCTTGGGATGGCTGCTGCCTTTTCCCATTCCTGACTACAGAAAGGACATTGCATAGCAAACTCCCAAATCCAGCGATAGAATGCCACTAATCCAAACACCAAAATAGAGATTGCCCACACTTGTAGCTGGTCCACCATCAAATGTCATGTAGGAAACCATTACACCCCAGATTGCCATCATGCACAAACACAAGAAAGCTCCCAGCTTTTGAATGGGGATCCTGGCAGGTGTGAACCGCATCAGAATCACCATGAGAAGGCCAATGACAGCTGATACAACACTGAGGGCAATGCCAACTTTGAGTTCAGTGCAAGAATCAACTTTGCGCAAGAATCGAAGCTTGTCGTTTCCTCGCTGGTCATCTTCCTTCTCGTCTTCTGCGCAAACCTGACCAAACATGCGAGAGGTTGCTCCCATGACCACCAAACTTGACACAATGAGCCACAACCAACGTTGGGCAAAGACATCGTGCTTTCCCACACTGGCTCCACGTTCCTTGCCAACACCAACCAAAAGGACAAGAGCAACGATAAACGAACCCCAGCTGGCAAAGTAAAGATTGGCATCAGCCATTTGAAAGTTGTGATTGACAGCAAGGCCATCATCTGGATCAGTGAGCATTGGTAGAACACTGCTCCAAGCAACAACACAAATCAAGGCCTGCATCAACAAGGAACATGAACCAGTGATGGTGAGTGCACCGAGTGACGTGACGATTCCTTTTCAGCCTTCTATTCTCGTCCTGAAAGTCGGCAACCAGTGAACACAGGCACAAAAATAACTCACCATGACCAATTCAATCATGGACGATGCAAACTTGTTTCGGAGGGGCCCAACAGCATGTCCCATAACAGCAAAAAATCCCAAACCCATTGATATTGCTGACATGGAGAGACTCCACTGTTCTTGAAAGTCTGGATGCTTGTGGTCCATGTCAGCTTCAATGACAATCAATGCCACCATAGAAAGAACCATCATGGTGACCCATGCATTTATGCGAGAATCAGTATAGGTCCCATTGGAGCTGCTGCCCCGAGCAGCATTGGTTCTGGCATTTGTTGAGCTGGTGCTGGTAGAACTCTCATCTGGATTTTCAATCTTCGGCATGTTGGCGGCTGCTATGGCTGTTGGTTGCTCGGTTTGGTTCGGTTGCGTGGTTCCTTTGTAGGTTGCTCTGAACAGAAGCAATCTTATGGCTGATTGGAAAGTGAGCTCTCGAATTCAACCGATCCTTTTAGAGGCCGTTGATCGAAACTTTTCCACGGGCTGGGTCTCTCCCATGGCCAAGCCGTGGATTTGCGGGAATCAGGAAGCAGTTAAATCACGAGTACAACGCAAGCGTTGCAAGTGCGCGTACGCGCACAAACGGGACTGAACCTGTGAATAGATCGAACGGAGGTCACGCGAACGGAGGTCATCGAACGGAGGTCGCTTCGAAGCTCCGCAGCTCCGCAGCTCGGCAAAAGAGAGGCAAGCATCAACAACAATAACCCAGCGTCTGGAGCGTCTGGCTATCATCAAGACCACTCTGAGAGGGCCTGGAAGTGTGTTGTTGGGTGTTTTTGGGTGCTATAGAGCATGAAATCAGTGCTCATCAGTGGCTCAGTCTCATCTCATCGCATGTCGTTTTCCGTCTGGCAGAATCTGTCATCTGAAAATTGGGGTGGAAAAATGGAATGTCACCATGATGAGCTCACTTTTTTGTTCAACCGGATTGCTAGAGTTGCATACCCAACCGAGCAAGGAAGATTCTCGCGATTGTTGATAAGCCTAGGCCAGATCAACCCCCAGACCTTATTCAAGTCTACTTTTACCTTTTCTATCAATCTTCTATTCAATACCTATCAATTGCAAAATGAAGTTCTCTTCTTCTATCATCAAGCTGCTCTCGTGGTCCATGACCACCGACAACAACAACAGCAGCACCAAGAAGACCCCCGTTCTCCAGGTCTCCAAGGAGATGACGGGCAACAACAGCAAGGATGTTCCTGTGACAGAGGAAGTCCCAACGTTCCAACTGGATGAGTTGGACAAGTTGGTCGTTGAGACCGCGGCACAGTTGCACGGAACGCATCCTGATGTGGAGTTCCAGCAGCACGGTCGCTACCTAGGTGCCTACGACCTTTCCCTGGTTCCTGCGGATCAGCATGGTCACTACGGATACGACGAATACAACCAGCACCGGCCCAAAGGCTGTCGCATCCAACCCAGTCAATCAGCCAACGCTCACTGGAAGGCCCATTATGGTCAAGACACGGAACGGAGCAATGGAAACCGTTTATCCTTTGCTCCTGTCAACACTGTAGTGGGATACTCTTCTGACGAGAGCGAACAAGCTGAAAACCGTCGTGTCTTTCGAGACATGAACAAACAAGTGCCACAAGCCCGATACGAATTCCGGCACGAAGCCCAACAACAATTCATTTCCGTCGGCACACCCACACCCCACGAACGCGCCTTGGATCTCGTGCAGCTGATTCAAGAGTATGGATACCAACAAGTGGCCAAATGGATCACCAACAACCAATGGTTCCAAAGCGACAAAGCGTACGTACAAAAAGCCAAACTGTACATTCAAATTGATGCTGTGCATCAAGACCTCGAGGGACTTGTTCGTTTCATCCAGGCGAAGAAAGGAAACGACAAGCAAGTCTCGCACTGGTTCATGGTCAACAAAAAGAACACTTACATGTTTGAACTCGCCATGTGCCACTTGTATCACGGAGGAATTCAGCGCAACGCTGACGACGAAATTTGCACCTTGAATACGCCAGAACAGATTGCCAAACGACGATTTGTATATCGCAAGGTCAAGGACGTCTGCATGGAAGATGCAACACCCGTAGAAGTAGAACAACATCCAACAACAACTAAAGACATCGAGATAATAGAAACAGTCTCGACCGTCGACGACAACAAGATGGCATCCGATGCCACAATGACATGCGAAGCAGCGGTGGTCCCCACATGCACAGCAGTGGTCCCATACGTTCAAAAGTGGCATGTGAAACACTTCAAGATCAGTGTGCATGGACAACAACAATTTGTATTGGAGATGCGGATGATGAATGGTTTGCTACTTGGATTGTTACCCAACAACATGCTCGCAGCCTTGATGAAGGATGGTGGAGACCTTGTCAAGGAAATGATGCGGCAACACAAGACACTACGATTGGAGGCAGGCGTTGCCTCGGATGATACGGATTACGAATTCGTGACTGGCCAAGTGGTAGCTGAAGAACCACTGGTTGAGGTCGAGGAACAACAGCAAGTTGATGCTGGTGAAGCACTGGTCGAAAACCGAGCCGATGAGGAGGACAATGTGGACACAGTAAAATCAACTTTGCGACGATCAAAGAGACGCATGGTGGCGATTGCATCTCAGAGAATCGCAGATCAAATCAAGACAAAGCCACGGCGGGTGGCAGTTGAACAACAACCTAGAATTAAACGTAGAGGGGCCACCAAGAAAAAGTCGACAAAGCCAAAGGCAAAGGGCAAGAAGAAGAAGATGACGACGACGACACAGCCTGTGACGGACACACAGCAGCAAACAACAGTTCAGACAACAACTCTTTCTGGACGGCAAGTCAGAAAGCCTGACCGGTACATTCCAGTCTAGGACAACAGGTAAGTGGGGTGACGACGCCGGATTGCGGGGACTAACACAATACAATACACAACGAGCAAGCATCTGGCGGGGTGCAGGGCTATACAACATTTTTGCGGAGATGAATACAGTCGGTTCAATGGAAGGGTCACATCGAAGGTAGCCAGGTTTGTGGTTCCTGTGCTAGTCAGCCTCTATTGCAGAGTGCTTGTCCGAACGTCCTCCACGCGACGAAAGTCCAAAGTTAATACCCGTGACACCTGACAACCAACCTCTATCATTGTTGATGCTATTCTTTAATACCCCTCGGGCTGGGGACACAATCTGGGGAAGCTACATAAACATAGAACAATAACACATAGTAGAGAATCTTTACAACAACAAAAATCAGGTTTTCCATCAGTATTAGTTGTAACTTTTAAAGTTATATCATAGTTCTAGATCTAGCTAGAGTTCATAGTCATTGTAAAGTAGGGTAAGCCTGGATCCTTGTATCCTTAGTATTAATGCATTGGTGCGGTAGCTCCCGGCCCAAGCCGACCCCGATGAAGAGTCGGGGCGATTGGACCGCGAAGAGCACATGCATTCGAGTGATTCCATAATTTGTCGCTGCGGCCGGTAGTTCTCTGCCATTCTGGCTATTGGTACTATTGCCAGCTCGGTCAAGAAAGCGAGTTCTTGTTCTCTTCACGTCAACATCCTGGGCCTTGGAGGGAAGATATGAGTAACTTTTTGCAGCCACTTGGTCTGAAGCAACAGTACCAGACTTTTGCAGTCTCTCATCAAGGAAAGATTGGAGCGTGAAAACCTCAGCTACACCAACACATGTTGAACGATGCGCTGGAAATGATGCCATTAATGATGCTGTTGCACCGCAAACGGCAGCATTGGCGTGATTTTGCTGGTTGCAAGCCAGAGTGGAATTCAGGAAACGTATAGGGTAGCGTGAACCTAAAAGTTTCTCACGGATAGTGCTCTGGAGTACTATGCATACTTGCGGCGGTGTTGTGCGTTCTTGCCGGATCAGAGATGCCGTATTCACGAGCAGCACTTGGAGGCAGACTCGCCGCGCCCCGTGGACTGGGACGCCTTTGTTGGCTACCAAGTCATCACGACCAGCGTTACTAGCTAGTAGCAAGTAACTGAGAAGGAAGCCTTCTTTGGCACGAGCGCGCACAATCGCATTGGTACGCACTCATTGCAATCGCCGTTATTGAAGGAGTGAGAAAACACGGATTCTTGAGAGTGAAAGCGGAGTTTGAGGCTTCTGAAATGAGTCCAATCGGTTGAAGTGATTGGCAGGAGGAACGTTTCATCAGCTGGAATTGTTGACAAACTATTTGCGAATGGCCAACCTTTCGTGTGCGGTAGCACGGAATCGGCAGCAGGCGTATTAATAGTTGGCTTGCTGGCTGAGCCTTCGTTGGGAAGCAAAAGCAACAAACACTACCGGCACACCCAATGGCTTCGTCCGAATCCAGTTGCCCAACGCCTACATTACTCATCTTAAAGTACAATCACCCTGTCGGACCGTTACGCCTTAAAGCGCGTTGGTGGACACTGTGCTGTGCATAAAACTAGGGTGAGATGACAGAAACATAGAACTTTGACGAGTACTTCAAGGCGTCTGTTAATACATGATGCAGAATGGGCTTCACAGATCCAATCACAACGACCGGGGTGACGAACGAACTTCCTGGTGGCATCAGGATCCCATCCTCCAAGGTAGCACCGTTTCGCCAGGAGCCTCCAAGAGTGATGCAAAGGCATCCAGTCCTAGGTAGTAGCAAACTTGTTTTGTATTTCAAACTACAACATGGCTCAATTCCTCATCATGGAGAACACTAACAAGTAGGAATGAGGTTCTTCCGGGACAAGATCTCGGGACCCTTCTGCAATATCATGTATGCATACTGATGTGAATTATATAGATGTCTAGTAGAGGGGAGCTGGGAGGTTCTTGCTTGTGTTGCATAGGAAGCTTCCCTCATCCAATGGGAAGCTGTCTGGGCAGCAGACACATCCTTTGACATTTGTGCCATCAGGTGTCGTCTTGGGTGAGCCATTGCTTTTGATCCTGTGCCATCACCTATAGATAGGACATGGCATAGCACATACCCAAATCCAGTGATATGATGGCACTGAACCAAACACCAAAAAAGAGATTGCCTACCGTTGAGGCTGGTCCACCATCAAATGTCAAATAGGCAACCAGTACACACCAGATGACCATCACACATAAACAAAAGAACACCCCAACCACGTGAATTGGGACAAAGACTGGAGTAAACCACATGAGCAATGTCATGATACCGGCAATGACGGCTGATACAACACTGAGGGAAACCCCCATTTTGAGTTCATTGCAAAATTCCTTGTTTCGGTATGGGTTTCCTGCACAGGATCCATCAAACATTCGAGAGGCTGCCGCCATGACAACGAAACTAGCCACGACAAGCCAAAACCAACGGCGTGCATAGGTGTCCCGTCCTGCACTGACGCCACGTTCATTCCCAACACCCGCCAAAACGATAAGGGAAAAGATAAAGGCACCCCAGCTGGAAAAGTACAGATTGGCATCATCCACAAGATAGTTGTGGTTGACAGCAAGGCCATCATTGGGTGTAGTGATCATGGGGAGGCCAATGCTCCAAACAGCAACACAAATAAACGCCTGCAGAAGAACGGACAGATACCAACAACGGTGAGAAATTTTGTGACCCCACTATGGGCTTTGATAGCTCATCACATACACCCTGAAGTAGCAAGAAAGCACTCATAACTTACCATGACCAGTTCCATTGTGGTAGATACAAACTTCTCTCGGAGTGGTACAATGGCATGGCCCAGAGCAGCCAGAAACCCCAAACACATGGATATAGCTGCCATGGCTAGACTCCATTTTTCTTGGAAGTCTCTGTTTCGGTTATCTGTGGCAGCCACAATAGAAATCAAGGCCACCATGGAAAGAACCATGACAGCGACCCATGCATTGAATCGGGAATGAGTGTAGGCGGTTGCATCGTTGATAACACGGGCAGCAGCGCTTGTAACGCGTGATGTAGTAGTTGTTGTCGTCTTTTTTTCGTTCTTCGGCATCTTTCCTGTTGTGTTCGTTATGGGGCTGCGAGTTGAGTTGTACGTTGCTTCTTCCTTGACTATGCGCTCTGCTGCATCCAGAGGCGATCTTTGATCGTTGGATATGGGCTGAAGATTGGAAAAGTGAACCTACAACCCAGCACAACAGAGAAGACTGCCACTGCAAAGTGCAAAGGATGAGCAATAGATCTTGGGCGCAACTGGATCTTTTGGGGGTATCGTGATGCCTTCTAAATCTATCGAATGCCGCTGGCTCATGACCAAGAATGAGTCACGATAGGCTTGAAGTCTGTTCTATTACGACGGGATGCACGCACGTGGTGGCTCTCAGGGTACTGTACACTCCAAACCTGAAGGTAATAACCTCCAAATAAGAAAGCGAGTACTCAGATTTTAGAAAAAGATAAGAATCTTTTTATACTGAAATATCACAGACTTGTAAGAAATCTTCCCAGTATTGATAACTCAAAGCACAAGAAATACTACTAGTCTGACACCATGAAAATGCCCCTACTTTGTGCCTAAATCTGCAAAATTTTCTGCCTCACGGCAGAGAAAGTGATCACCATTTGTGCTTGATCCAACGAATTAAGAGTCCTGAGCAAGTTGGACCCAAAGGCCCAGGTGCACTGGGTGTATCCAAACACTAACCTGTTTGATCTAGAAGCTTAGTAAGAAAGTCTTCTATACTGAAACTGGCTTGTTTTGTTCGAAATAAAATGAGTAGCAAAATAGAGCAGTCAGCTAAGAAAGCTCGAGTACTGACTCCCAGTTTTTGCCTTCTTATTATTGAGTTTGGAGTGTACATGTACTGGTGTCTGCCGCACGTGCATGGTATGTACCACGCAGCAGCCAGCCACAGTTCAGCAGTGGAGATCCGCGACCAGAAACACTTCAACTTTCGGTCTTTCCGACTTCTGAAGTGGTACCAATGTATTTTCGCTGGCTTCAAACCCAGCAAGTACGAGTACATTTGCAAGGTTGCTGCTTGACGCCATGCCGATACTGTCTAGAATAGGGTTACCGTACCGGCACCCTTTAGAAGACCAAGTACGACCATAACTCTGTCTTGTCCCGCCACTTGCCATGACATCGTTCAAATAGGGTAATGCATGCCACTTCCTAATCATATTTGAAAGAGACAGAATAGTTGAGTAGTTTTGGCTTTGAGACGTCCACTTTTGGTCTCACCGTGACAAGTTGGTGTTGCTTCTGCAACCAAGCAAGCAGAGATGTCGAGAACAACTACCGTAGGCTAGTTCTTAGTAGCGCTGAATGCCGATGGATATACTGTTGCATGATCTGTTTCTTGGTAGAGTTTGACTTATTATTGGTTACAGGCATTGCTTGTATATTTCTAATGTATTTCTAATGGCTTGGGTTCCCTTAGCTGCTTGTTCTTGCTGAAAACAATATTGTCTGTTTTCATACTATGGAGCAGCGGGACGAGAAGGATGTGCTCAGGCTTCTACGACTATCGCTTCGGCTTGGTTGCCTGGGTGGCATGCTCTTGGTTGGCTCTGGTGTCACTCTGCAAGGAACTCTGGGTGGTAGTCTGATTTCAGGTGGAAACGATGTGGTTCTTCTGTTGTGCCTTCGGGGGCTCCTTTTCTCATGTCGGCGTGGGCATGCTGGTGGAAGCAGAGATGTGGAACCTTCGTTCCATCGGTTCATGCATGAACTGGTGGTAGTAGTAGTTGTCGTCGTCACCACCCAATTCTCTTGATCGGGGCGATCAATGCAGGATCTGGGTACAAAAATTACGTCAAAGGGAGCGCCCATGTTGTATGTCAAGGTTGGTGTTGAGAGCTGTGTTGAGTTGGGTCCAAAGAAATTGAAATTGTGAGACTATTAATAACGACACAACAACAAGCTTGCACGTACAGTAGAATCGTGATGGACTAAGAAACCAGAGCGAAGTCTTTCATGGGGTCGCCAAAGAACAGAGAACAGTAGTTGCAAAAACCATGGTACAGTCTATTGCTATACAGTGAGCCAGATAGTTTCAGAGAAGGTATTCTTTGATTACAGGTGACTAAGAGTCTTAAAACACATCTCTTCGAATGCGAATGGTGAAGTGGTGAAGGAAAGCTGCAGTCCAGGGGACCATACCCTTTAAGCACTTGTGATGACGGAATCAGGCTTTGGCACTTTTGTTCTTATCTTGGTTGTCTGCGAACGATTGGGGTCTTTCATTTTTCACCATAAGAGCTCGTAAGACATAAAGGACTGGATCGCTTTTTCGAGCTTCGCAACAGATGTTCTCTCTCAACTCTCAACCTTCCGAATGCATCTTTATGGTGAGATGAGCTGTGGCAGGCAAAACTCAAAGTCTCAAACTCATGCAACGTTTTCGCTGACAGAGAGCTTCCAGAGTTGGTTCTCTACAGCTTTCTCTCCAATGTCATGTACTCGTGGCTCGTGGCCCACCAGCTCTGTCTTGGCTGGATAGCTGGTTCTTTTGCAATGAACTAAACTGCTGACAGTGCCCCCTCTTGGTTATTCGATCAGGTAGGATCAAGACATTCTTGGCTGGCTACGGTATGCTGTAGATCTGTAGATGGCTGTCAAAAACCATTGATGGTTCTGCGTGCGGGTAAAACTCAGACTCGGTTGGAGAATAGGAGAAGACAGTCGTGGAGGAAGGAATTCCTGGTACGATCAATTCTGCCATTCAGGTTCTGAGAGCGACGTGATGAGCTTGTGTTGATCTCTCTCCAGTGGCTGCGCATGATAGCAACATTTGGGCTTCGGAGGACCTGGGTTGCTTGCAGGGTTTCGAGAAGAGGAAGAGCCAGCTTGTCAGAACTGCCAACCTCTCGCTGGTACAGTTTTCAGAGGCCACAAGAACATCAAGTTTCGAGTGGTTCCTTTCGGTTCTTTGGATAACTAGCATGCTGCGGTACGAGTGATACACGTCAACATGGATCTAAGACCTCAGTAATTCCATACCCTCGCCCCGCATGCTTGCTGGCTTTGTACTTGCCCTTGGAGTGGCTGATGCCGCAAGCGAACGTGTGACAAGGCCAAAGGGACATTGGAATTCGGACCTCTGCAGCAGGTGGAGATACCATGTTCAGAACGGCTGGAGGTCTCGTTTCCCCATGGCTACCACACAGAAGGAGAATGATGGAGGTTGGAATCTTCACAGGTTTCCCAAGTATTGATTCTTGGCCGGATTTATGCAATTGGTTAATGTGCTCGTGCGTGATATACAATCAATCTGAAGGAGCCCTTCATAGCATGGCTGGGACGCTGGGACTCCATGGGAGGAATTGGCCAGTCTGTTTGTCCTATTAGTTGGCTTCCTCTGTTGGCTTCTTGCTACGTGGAACGTTCATCTCTCCTGTGCCTTGCTTGAACATCTTGTGAATGAATCCGTCGGGTGCTTGGAGATTTCTGTGCCTTCGTAAGTAATCCCCGGTGCTGGAGCTGCCGCCTACTCCAGATTTTATTGATGGAAGAAAGATCCTTTGGGGATGATGTGCTATACCTCAGCACCGAAAGGGCTGCAAATGGACGCCGTGAAGCTCAAGTTGATGGCTCTCTTCTCGCCAATCAGGGGATGATGATGAGTCGAAGCCTTGGAGCTGTGGACAATTTCTTAGGAGTTCATTCATGCCGTGACAGGTGGTACCACTCTTGTATCTCATTCCGATAAGCATGCATGGCATACACCAATCGAAGTCCTCTGTGCGGGGCTGTATCAGGTTTAGAGCCGCTTCTTTGCTGCTATCGCCCAAGTCCAAACCACTCCAACAGCATACCTGGCTGATCATCAATTGTAAGCCTGCCAGAAGCAAGTTCAAGGGGCAGAAGCAAGCATTCACTGGGCATGATTTCGATCCTAAAATAGGAGACAGTTGTACTGAGTGCTGAAGCGACTTTTCGCAACTTACTTTTGAAGCAGCCAACAAACACTGCAGATGAGGGCTTTTAGATTGAATCATTCTCGAAAGTCTCCCCGATACCGGTATACGTAACAGCAGCGACTGCTACTGTAACAGACGGGAAAGACCTCATTGAATCATTCCCTGCGCTCCTGTCGCCTGTCGCTTTATGTGCCGCCTCGGAGAGGGTCAATCTACAGCAAGACATTTGACTCGAATTTCGCCAGGTGCACGGTACGAGTACGTGACGGTACTGCATGATCAATCACCTACCTTGTTCGTGCTGTTATGGTACTGTACCAGTACCGACGAAAAACCAAACCGTTTGCTACTAATAGCTACATGTAGCAAACTTGCTTGTTGCTGGCATCCCAGCGAGCCAAAGCAAAGGTGAACCAAAATCCCAAAAACAGTTGGCCAATGCACTGCAATGCAGCTGGCCACCCAAGAACTGAAGCAGGACTTCGCAATGACCCAATATATCCTCTCGAGTTCCTGCCTGCAATTTGCTGCATCCTGGTTCAAGGCTGGCTAAACCTTGAGCGAGCGACAGACATTTCGAACTTGGGGCTAGCTAGAGGGAATTTCAACATAACATGGATGGCTGCAGGCACGGCAAGAAAGGGAGGCGAAAAGGAAAAAAACACTATCGATTCATACCAGTATTGACATGCCACGGTAGAGGAGAGGGAGAGAGAAACTCAAGTGGTTTTGTTTATGCAGTATTTAATGTAGCTTGTCGCTGTGCTAGCTCGCGGTTGTGTGTTCCGTTCGTCCGGCTTGAAGGTTATCTATGCTGCTCTAGCGTACTCCAAGGAATGTTTGATGTTGCGCTGGCATTTACTCTGTGAAGGATTCTGCGATGGGGTTGCCTCTTGACTGGATTTTTGGCTTGTCAAATCGTCCCCGATGCATCGTCGGCTTGGTTGCCTTGGAGGGGCATCAAATGAATCTTCATGGCTGACCAATGGTTGCAGATGCTGATCAGTACTCAACATTGACAAGCAGTTGTCGTATCTGGGCCGTCTCAAAGGAGGATTTGATGGTGGATATCTTGCTTCAGCCAGGTCACTCTGTCGAACTGGAAGTGTTGGAGGAAGAGTGGACAAACTGCAGGTCTGTGGACCAGCTCCGTGGTCACTCCATCGGTCCGAGCCTTGGTTCGTAAGAATTCGGAGAGGAATAGCAGGAGCAGGATCTCCTGACTCTTGTGGAATGCACCATGGTGTAGGAACATAGACGTATTTTGGAATGCTCATTGTTGATGCTTTGCAATAGTCTAGTCTAACCTCGCAGTTTGTGAAATTGTGGAAGAAGAAAGAAGAGCAGGCAAAGGTTCAATCAGAAAGTTCTCATTCCGTTCTCACATCTACAGGAAAAAGGTTGAAGTTGTGTTCTTCTTCAACGAATTATAGGAGGCACTTTATTATTAATAATTTCTGAAGACAACAGAACGTGTATGCATATGGACGCAAAGGAACCAATCGTTGGGCCAAGTTTGAGGCCATGGTTCTCGTTTTCATAAAGAGGCTTTACTTCAGAGCTTCAGAGACGGAAAACCATTTTTTCCGCTGAAGAAACGAGGCACGTACGTACCGTCGTACGCAAGAATATCTAGCTAGCTAGACTAGAATAGAAATATCTGACTTTGAAGGCGTCATTAGGATCTACAGTGAGCACCACTGGCTGAGTTCAAGTTGCAGCATTCCATTCTAGCTAGTGTTCCACGATGCCAGAGCGGCGAGGATAGGGAATCTATGCTGTCGCGGCTTACTCCGAGGAAACACTGTTCATTCTATCTCGACGACTAGGCTTCTGTGGAGGCTTGAAATCTTTGTTTTCATGTGGACGTGAGTTGGGGAGCTGCCGGTTTGGTTGCCTTGGGGGGTGTCAAATGAAGGAGCAGGGTCGTTCTCAATTGTTTTGATATGTGACGGTAGAGTGCTAGAGTCTGTCCGACAATCAGGATTGTTAGCCGCACTTGACTGCTACTACAAGCTAGAATACTGCGCTGTATAGATATGGCTGATGTTATAGTTATGACGATCTCGGAAATCTTGCGATCTCCGTCATCGCCGTCATTCGAATGTTTTGTAGGAGTTGCATTGTATCCTCCTATGCTGCTCTGGTATAGTCTCAGGCATTGCGATGACAAGGTTCCTGTGGAAAGCTCACTTCTTTTTGCTTTGGTTCGAGTTTTCGGAGCGTCCCGCAATGTGTCTCCTGCTCGGTTCTTGCCTTGGAGGGATATCCAATAAAGCACCATGACTCTCCGATGGAGAAGGATTCAAGGGAGCATCATCTGATGGTTGGCTTGATTTGGATTTCTCTCTCTGTCGAACTGGATAAGTTGGAGGAAGGGCAAATGAATTGACACTCTTGTGACGAGCACCATCCACACTCCATCGAGATAGTTCAGAGCCTTCTTGTGCAGTATGAATTCGAAGAGGAATAGCAGGAGCAAGATCCCCTGACTCTTGTAGGATGACCCATGGTGTAGGGACAAAGATGTATTGTGGGATGCTCATGGTGTTGTTTTGAGCAAGGATGGTTCAATCTTCATGGGATCCCATGTGGTGAAAGAATGGGTGAGGATACTGCTACCTGGTATTCAGATCTTAGCAGGATGTCCAAAAACTCTTTTGATCTACCGCAGGAATTCAATTGCGAATGGGTGCTGCGTGCTGCCGCAAGAATAGAAAAGATCCGAATTGATCTTGAATCAATCTTTCTTTTGGCTTTTGACATGCGAATTTTCTGCTACAATACTGTAATACATGTACGGTTTCGGTAAATCCGTGAATCCTATGCATACTGGTACTAGCTAGTAGGCTGTCCTCCACTAAGGATGACAGCAAATGCGAACGACCAGCCGACTCAGGGGGGTGCCTCAAACCAACTCTATTTACCTGATTATTTCCCCAACCACCGGATATAATGCTTTTGTGTGATCGCCAAACTGCAGAAACTTGAGGCAGAAGTTGTGGAGAGTGGTCCAATGCGTTGGACAGCGGTAACAACCGAAGGGTGGTAAAAAGGCGGTGAACAGGCGGTGAAAATGCAGTGAACAGGCGGTGAAAAGGCGGTAAAACAAGCGGTGGAAAGCGTTGGAAGGCGGTTGAAGGCGGTTGGATGTGGTGGAATGTGGTCCAAAGTGGCTAAACCAGGTTAATATCATACCAAAACTTTCATTGATACAGGGGAGGTGGGATAAGATAAGGCACACTGTACAGAGTTGGTTTGAGGCACCCCCCAGATTACGGAAGGCCATACCGGTACGGTACACGGTACATGTACAGAGAGAATGGCCCAAGAACCATTATTTACTTGAAGATCCTCAGGAACACGTCTGAACATCTGACTGTTTAACATGCTTGAGGCTCCGGGACCGGAGCGACAGCAGCCCTAGAATAGCTTAGAATTCGCTTGAAGCACCTCTGCCGTTTGCCACCTCCACCACCACCGCATCTTCGAGGGCGCTCTTGGCCCTTGGATTTTGAAGCGCACGAACTGTAAAAGCGTTGGAGTTATTGGATTTGCAGCATCCAAGAGGCATCGTACGGTGGCATCAGCAACTCAACACTAAGGTACATGTACCAATTCTTCAAAAGCAAGCAGCCATGTCAGCCCAAGCCTTCTGGGACAAGACAGCCGACCTCATTGCGGTGACGGAAAAGCATCCGTTCCTGGTGGCCATGGTGGATGGAACCCTGGATATCGAGAGCTTTCGATACTATGTGGTTCAGGATGCCCTTTATCTGGCGGACTTTGCCGATTGCTTGCGACGATTGGCCAAGAATGAAGGTGTTTCTGCGCAAGATTCGGAGCGTTTGAATTCCTTTGCCAAGGGTGCCGAAGAGGCTGAATTATCCTTGCACCGCAGCTTTTTCGTGGAATGGAAGATATCGGCCGACGGTGCCGAGCAAATGCCTAATTGTCTCCTGTACACCTCGTACATGAAACGAATTGTTGCCACGAAATGCCACGCTGAAGGGCTAGCCGTGCTGCTCCCGTGCTTTTGGGTATACATGCATGTCGGTCAGTGTATGCTGAAACTTCGAGAAGAACTTGGATCGAGGTAAGGTAGCTAGCTAGCAAGTGAGCATTCTATTGGCATGGCTTTGTTGTTGGTTTATTGCTCACTTTCATTGTTCGTCTCTAAATTGTGTTTTGTGATACCGTACCAATTTTTAATTAACAATCCATTCATGACATGCTCAGTGTGAAGAGACCAGGTAGCTATGACGCCTGGATTGACATGTACGGTGGCGAAGATTTTGAAAAAGAAGTCAAGGACTACATTGCCATGGTCGATACAGCCTGCAAGGGAGCTGACGAGACGACGCTCAAGGAGATGGAAAAGCACTTTGTCATGTCTTGCAAACTGGAGCACATGTTTTGGGATCAAGCTCAGACCAGAATGGAATGGCCCAAGATTGTTGCTGAAGGAAAGTAGGCTTGAGTCTTCAATGCATAGGAGGCACCGTTTGGAGGACATAATCACATTGTCATGACTACAATTTGATAGTGGTCCTGTAATTCGAAGCTTTCAAGCGCATTTCATTGAGATGGAGCTCTACAGCTAGCTATTGTAGCTATGTAGGTATCTTTTCGACGTGCGTGACGGCGGCTGCTCGCCTGGGCGTTGTCTGCCTGCCTCCGAGTAGCGCACGAGGTGCTCTCCAAGGTGATGCAAGCTTCGATTCTTATTCAATACTCTCGTTCGAATTGCAAATTGTAGCTAGCCAGTAGAGTTCAATGACCACTCCGTTGGCTTGACGGAAGCCACGAAGTCACCCACCGGGTGAGGACAATGATTCCTTGCATTTATGGTATAATATTTATCTCGTTGATGAGCTTATCAGGCGGTGGGGTCTTCATGTTTGGGGCCCTCGTAGACCACACCAAGCTGCCACTATTTTTTGGCATTCCCATCACTGTTCCTCCTTGGCTAGCTAGTCTCGTTTTTCTAGTACGGTAGGCAAAGATACTTCCTTGGTGACGAAAGTGCGGAACAGATCGAGAAAGCCGGAGTACACGGACTGGATAAACTGCTTTCTTGGAACATATCTTACACTGTATCTGTATAACAGCACATGGTCAATGAGAAAATAAGGGCATCAGGGTGCCCTCCTCTCCAACTTACCGTCTTGGTCCCCAGCTACCGTAGCAGGAACAGGCTCAGGAACCCACTTTCATGGGAGGACTCGCTTGTCGCAGCTGCCTCTGAGTGACATCTGATTTAAACAGCCGTGCAGGCTTTACTATTGTGAGCGACGACGAACTTCGAACGGAACGAGACAGCAACGTTCGAGCGGGTGCTCGAGGTTCATGGTGAAGACATCATTGTATAGCGGATAGCGACTCTGTTGCTGCCAAGGACATTGGACGGTAGGCTGGTGTGGACGGCAGGCAACTAAGGAAAAAGAGAAGAATGTCCCCTCCAACGTCGACCTACGCTCCCATCGAAAGAGACAATGATGATCACGACGATACCTCCGCACTCGGCCAACAACCCGCCGATAATGCCCAGAATATAACGTCACTGGCGGTAGCCTTTTGGCTGTTGGGTTTGTTCAATAACTCCTCGTATGTCATTATGATTGCTTCGGCCAAGACGATTAGCGAGGGAGGGACAGCCTTGGTGTTCTTGGCCAATGTCGTCCCCAGCATGTGCATTAAACTGACTGCCCCCTACTGGTTTGACTACGTCTCCTACGAACATCGCATGCTGGTGGCATTTGGGTGCATGGTGGGCAGTTTTGCCATGGTGGCCTCGTCGGTGGTACCTTCTATCCAATTGCTGGGAGTAGCCCTGGGGAGTGCTCAATCGGGTCTGGGAGAAGCATCTTTGTTGGCAGCAGCTGGTAAATGTGATGCCTCTGGAAAATGCATTGCTGGATTTTCCTCTGGCACAGGATTGGCAGGAGTCTTTGGATTCTTGTGGAAGTTTGTCTGGAATGAATGGATCCAATTATCCATGAAAACGACTCTGTGGCTCGCACAGTCTCTGGCAGTCCTGTACATTTGCATCTTTTGGAAATCTCTCCGTCCTTTTCTGACACAAGCACCACCGACAACAATAACAGCAACGGAAGAAATAGAGCCACTGGAAATGACAACATATCAAACGCCACTCTCTACCACAACAACGAACCGCTCAATGGCCGATACGGATTCAAATGCAGCAGAGGCGAGTTCCTATAAGGATGATGAAATCGGCATGCAATGCCATCCTCAAGACACAGAACCATCCTTGGAATCGCCGCCTGAAATTCCTGACAACGGCTTTGTTGAAGACTCTCACAACAACAACAATCATAGTCTCCAAGAACCCAAACCAGTCCACGAAATGACAGTGACAGAACGAGCTCAGTTTGTGGCCATGCGACTGTGGCCGTACATAATACCCCTCTTTGTGGTTTATGCTGCCGAGTATTCCTTACAGGCAGGCACCTGGACTGCCATTGGATTTCCTGTCGATAGCGAACAAGCCAGAGATGAGTTTTATGAATTCAGCAATTGGATGTACCAGTTGGGTGTATTTGTTTCTCGATCTTCTGGAGCATTTGGACCCACAGCACCCGTATCCATTCTGTGGCTCATGCCCACCCTCCAAGCGCTCAATGTTGTATTCTTTGCATGGGTAGCTGCCGAGCATGTATGGTACAATTACACCATTCTCATTCCGTGTTGTTTTTATGTGGGTTTGTTGGGCGGGGGGGTGTATGTTCACGGTTATAAACGCATCTGTGCCGATTTTGTATTGGTGGATCAACGAGAGTTTGCATTGGCAGCCACCAGTGTGGCAGAGTCAATGGGCATTGTTTGTGCCGATCTGCTTGGATTGTTCATTCAAGCCTGTCTGTATCGGACCAACCATATACCAGGAGCAGTTGTTTCTTGTCCAGTTTGAGACGACAAATTCGGACGATATATGAGTTGCAGTTTTGAGACGACAACATGTAAACGATCAAGGCGGTTCCGGTACCGTGCCTCTTCAGAGAGAGATGATTGTTCCTATTTGTACCTTGGCAGAAGTTTCTAAAGGATCCCTTCGCTTGTTGACTGCGAGCTCCATTGAAGGCAAACAAACAACTACAGAAACTAGTCAGTTAGACTTGACAACCGGATGGTGCCAATATAGACCTTTTTGCTTTACCACACTCAGACGCACGATAGGCGGTCCTTGAAGATTGCTCAGATCATGGACACACTGAACCAACCCATATCGGGTAGGTGTAGAAACAACCCAAGCTCCTAGCAGAATATGACAGGTGCCGCAGACTATCACAACTGTGCTAAAGTGTATCGTCACAAGGCTTTGGAAGTCCGCCAGTCTGCATGCGGTACCGGTACATTAGCTAGTAACTGCCTTGCAAAATGCATGGTTCATCATAATCATAGGAAGAGAAGTTATAAAGTTTATGCGTATAGTTCCTTGGCTTCCCCTATGCCGCTTTGGCGTGCTTCAAGGCAACATGTTCCAAGCTGAATCGACGACAAGGCTTCTGCGGGGGCTCGGCCTCTTTGCATCGCCGGCTAGGTTGCCTTGGGGGGACATCAAACGAAGCAGATCGGCTCTCTGATGTAAGTCGACCTGGAACAGTCGGAGGAGGGCTTTCTCTTGCGGGAAGGGTTGGAGGAATGTTACGTAAGTTGCGGTCCTTTGCTTCAGAGGCATCCTCACTCCAACGTGGTCGGCTAGAGCCTTTGCTGGTTCTACTACGAATTCGAAGAGGGACATCAACTCCTGATTGAGGGACAAAGATGGTTTCAGGAATGCTCATGTTGGCGTTGTTGGTGGTGGTGGGTCGTGGTGTTTTGTTTAGTTTCAATGAATTGTTGTGAGCTTCTTCTACCTGTACCCAAATCTGCTGCAACTCCTTGGTTTCTTGTTGCCGTTCCTGATGTCTTGCGCATTGCCCAGTTGCAAAAGGAAACGGAAGGGTTCGTAGCCTCCACATATCGGTACAGCGTACCGGTATCATAGCCACTGAGATACCTTCTCATACTACGATGGCGTTCTTTACTCGCGATAGCGAAGGCTTCCGTACGTACCATGTGTCAAAGTTACCTTCCTTTTTTTGACAAAGCTCAGGCTTGACTGCCAAGAGCTCTGCCAAGACAACATGGAAACTATTGTATTGACGTACGCGTCACTGATTTGGACTGTGCCTCTTTACCGCAACAAAGATCCCATCAAAGTTTTAACCCAACAAGAACGCGACAAAATTTCCAAATATAAAGACGCGTGCGAGTCCAATCGCGCTTCCTTCCACCCCTTTGTTGTTTCAGTGGATGGCATGCTTGCCCCTCAAGCCAAGACTCTCTTACAACGCCTTGCTTCTGCTACTGCCTCCAAAACTCAATTTTCCTACTCTCAAATGATGTTCTTCATGCAGACCCGTATCTCAATTGCCCTTGTGAAAGCTACCCATTTATGTCTCCGTGGATCCCGCAAAGCCAAACCCTTTGCCCCCCGTAATGGTCCTCAATTTCTTGCCCCTGATCCCTCAGAACCTAGTCCTGAATTTCGACTGTTCTTTGCTTAAGCCTGGCCCCGGCTGGCTTCCGTAGATAATTTCCCTACTCTAAACCCCTTCTTCGTTGTTGTATTGAGGATTAGCTCGAGGACTTGAAGATTTTGAAAGAATGCTGATTATTCCCAGAGCATGCAACGAATGGTGACATTCGAATTCGCATTCCGTCCCGAACACGGAGTGTCCAACTAACTGTGGGCATGAAGTTTCTTGCGTGCTTTTGTAAGAACTTCATACGATGTACTGTGAGAACTTATTATTCCTTCTCATTCAGGAGGCCGAATTCCGTCCTTCAAAAACCGAGGCCGTACAAAGCATCCCATTTGACATTTCGCTTGGGCCAAGTAAGTTGTTGCCCTCGAGCCCTCGAGAAGCTGTCTTCCTGATATCTGGGCCCAGCTAGCTACGGTGGAAAGCTTCGTAGCCGCCATGACATTGGGTGCACAGCGTTTCAGCATCCGAGCTCATGGCCACTGAGCTACCTGCTTGAATGTGACAGCGTGTTGCATAGCCACCATGGCGTTCTTTAGTCGAGAAAGCGAAGTGAAGGCTGTCGAAGACAAACCACAGAACCCGGGCATCTGGTTAGAAACTGGATTCATTGGCTCCCAGACTGGGCTTTGCTTTGTTGGTGGTCCCACTACATACAAGTACAGCCATCGCTAGGGATTGGTTGTCTCTTCATTTGAAATTCGGATCGCCGGCTACGGGTACCGCCACAGCAGAAGCGATGCATACCCAGGAGATAAACCGTGAATTCTACCAGCTAGCAAAAAAAGCCATGTCAGCCCCCAAGCATTCTGGGAGCGAGTATAATACGACGATTACGCACATGTTGCATGGAACTGCAAAGAAGCAAGGATTGCAGGTTGCCATTTTGGATTGGATGCATGGATCACAATGCGTCAACATGTACCGGTCGGTATGCGCAAAGTTTGCCGAGCATGCAATTGCTGGCCCACCAGGCATGAGAATGTGGTCGCCTGTGCCCCAACTCCAAGAACACTGCCTCGGCAAAGATCCTGCAGGTGCAAGCGAGACGGCTACTGGTATAGCATTGCTTGATATTCTTGACGATGATGTTCCCTGTTGCGACTCCGCTAGGAATTGTGCGTGTTTTCAAGTTGTTTGCGTTATCCTTTCTAAAATTCAATGGGCTCCACGGGCTCAGCATTTTTAAACGTTCTGTTGATGGAAACCTGTATCCAGGCAAAGACTCCCTCCACTTGCCACTCTGTCCCCCGCAGAGCTTTCGATTGAGGAGTTTATCCTAGCTAGTATGTACTGAATTCATTCTTGGTCCATCGTTTCTTCGGCCTGCCTGGTCTTGACTGGCATTTCCAAGCGAGGCTTAGTAGAGGTGCTAATTTTCTTTCAACGACCCAACTAGCTTTGAACTTTCAGGTAGAGCTATAGATTTGTTGCTTCTCTCTTGCAGGTTCGGTACGTGCGCAAGCAGTTTCGGCATTGATGATTGCAGCAGCCGCAAAGCTGGAATGACTGACAATGCATGGCTCCTACCGCACGCTACGTTCTCGTAGACCATCCTGCATTCTATCCAACTGACAAAGGTTGCACAAGGATACGGTATGAGGAGCCCAGGTAGCCTACTCGTTCTAGAGCAATGAAACAAACAAATCAGTGACTTCTACTACATAGCTGGCTAGTAGTGGCTCTGCTTGCTGCGGACCAAACATCTTTTGCGGTACTGCGAACCAGATATCCAGCGGAAGCACACTACGGTGACTGTGGTACCTATCACGAGGATGGAGGTCGCTAAATGGTGTAGTTTGGTGAACGTCACGACGAAGCCTTTTGGGAGGGCTACTAGCTAGCTAGCTACCGGTACCAAACAGACCAGTAAGAACAGAGGTGCATTTACTTAATTAAAATGACATTGAATCGTTGAAATAGTCCAGATAATGCCATGTTGTTAAATAAACCTTGATTCGGTGACATTTCAATGACTGTAGACTGGTTACTTGCAGGTCCGGCAATGGTGCCGTACCGCTTCCCCGCTGATCCTCCTGCGACAACAGCTGCAGCAAGGAAGTGAAGCACTGAAGCAATCCTGAGGACATCTTGAGAGCTTGAGCGGCCTTCATTATTATTCTTTTGACGATAATGGAGACAACAAGCCCCGTGGACACACTACTTTGCCTACAACAACCATCCTTGAGGCCAACTGTGGCCACTGGAGGTCTCACGGAAGCTCCAATGTGCGATGCTAATGGTCACATTGCTGAAGTGCAAGGCCGTGTCGAGTCTCTCTTGCAGCATCGGGACGGCTTGATCTCCAGTAGCAGTACCGATAATGTACTTACCCAGGATTCCAAGGTATCCAGTTCGAAGGAGGATATGAAAGACTCATTTTTGGATGAATCCTCCACAGGACGGGAAAACGAGTACGAGAGTATTTCCTCGCCGAGAAGCGTGCTCTTAATACACCAACAAAGCCGCAGCTTTGCCAAACGAAGACGCGCCGTGGGTCGTCAGAGCAGTATGGGAAGTTTGTTTCCCGCAAAGGCTAGCACCAATGGGTCGCAAAAGGATGTCAGTTCGGGACTTTTGCAGCAACAGCAGAGTGATAGCAGCGACTCCAATCCAAGGCGTGGCGTCGGTCGTCACAAGAGCACAGGTAGTCTTCCGAGATCCCAAAACGAGCGCAACGGCACCTTCTCCAAGATACGAGCCGCCGTCAATCGCCAGAGCAGTTTTGGTCGCCAGAGGAGTGGATCATCACGAAAAGATGCCCTTCCTCGACCGAATCAGTTGCTGCAGCATATTGGTGGCAGTTTTGCCATGCGCTCTCTGAGTCGACAGAGCAGTAATGGAAGTGTGGGTGGTAGTGTTTCATCCCGTGCAAGTCGACGCAAGGGCCCCTCAAGGCACAACTCGAATAGCTCGCTGATATCACAACAGTCATCCAGCAGCACACTCAATGTCTTTGGATCCGACATGGTCAGTAACGACTTTATCCTTCGCAAGCTGGATGAATTGGAAGCCAACGATGACATTGTCAAAGTGGAGATGGAGGACTGCCTTGCTACCACACGTGAAAAGGCCATTCCTTTGCGTCTCAAAGAAATTCTACGAGATCATATTCGTCCTTGGGAAGGCGTTCACTTTGTCGATGAACTCTTGGATGGGTACAGCTATCCGGAATTCTGTAGAAACAAGCGTCGATTCCTCCGTGCCATGGACAATGTGTGCGCTCGGCAATTGATCCCTGTGACGTACAATCTCAAGGTTCATTTGAAATTGGAGGGAGATGGCGAGTGCAGCAGCAAAGCCGAGGAGAATTCTACAATTCAGTTGATTGATCAATTTCGAGACGACAACACCATCACAGCAGTTCATGTTTCCGCCTCCACAGCATCGTTACAGCTAATCAACGCATTGACTCACTTGTTGAATAGCGACAGGAAGTGGGACCCCGACATGACTCTACGTATTGCCCCTGTATTGCCGACAATGGGAGCTTGCTCCAGAACCGACAACATGAAACTACGAGCCATTGATGAGGCCATGGAGAATTTGAAGCAGGCATCCGAGTCCAAGGGTATACAATTCATTCCCAACTACGAAGATTAAGCTTTGGGGAAGCCATCAGAGTGGAATGATGGGATAAACGAAACTATTAGGTGACAGTTATGAATCTTACTGTAGGATGCTCCTGATGTTCTGTTTTTACCGTATCGGTACGGTGTGCTATACGCGCTCCTTTTGCATGTTCGGTTCGAAGGAAAACCGCGTACTCAGCGGCAGCAGGCAATGCAATCCCCATTGGATACGCCGCAGCACCATCCACCAGAAGGGCACTCATTAAGTGGAATGGAAGGGGCCTTGGGTTCTTTGACTTGGCGAACTTCATTCTGAGTGGACAAGCCACGAAGACCATCTTGCGTAGCGCAAGTTTGAGGGAATCCAAGCACCAGCAAGCAGCAAACCGAAGCAAGCGTCTGGAAAATCTTCATCTTGGTGGACTTTCTGTACCGAGCCGTGGGATCGTTGGTATAATTGGAGTCAGCTGATTGGAGTCGAGTCCAAATTGTGTGAGCAATTCTAGGACATTGAAACGTGGAGGCAAGATGTCACTGGTTACTCCGGGAAATATTGGCTGGCCGAAAGGTGACCAAAACAACTATAAACAAGACCGATTTCCGCCAAAGCAAGATTTGATGGGTACAGCTCGTTCTCCACCGGTACGCGAATACATAGTAGAGTTCGTTCTGCCTGGACGCCTGAACCACATTGGATTGCATCGGTAGCGCATCGTAGCTGAGCGGGAGCTTTCGATCGAGGAGCTAATCAGAGTAAAAGGTGTGCTGGTACCCTACCGGTAGACTTCACAACCATGCTACGACTGCCACTCGACGACAAGACTCTAGAGGCATCGTTGATGGCTTCCTTTGTTGGGCCGTAGATTTGGGCAAGAGGCATAGCCAGAGTGTCCATCACAGTACAAAACATCTTACAAGTCTTAGAAGCCAATTTTCTTCCAAAGCAAAGCCACTCAATAGTCCCGAGGTTTACAATGCTATTCGTAGCCTGTAATGCCTCAAACACTTTGCCCGGGCGAGAAAAACATTGAACCAAGACCAAGTAACCAACATGATTAGGATGCAATCGATGCCCTAGCTTTTTGAGAGACCCAAGCACGGCGACTATAGAATTATTTTTTGCAACGACTGCAAATTGCTCCGTTGATCACGCTTCAAGGAAGTAAAAAGATAACATCGTACAGTAAGCGCTAACCCCTCGATCGTGGCTCAGCGTTGACTTGACCTCGATTGACCGCCCCTTGAGCCATGATCGAGGGGCTAGCGTTTACGACCGGCTATCGTCAGGGAACATTGTGGCAAGGGTGAAGGGACCTCAGTCACACAAAAATTGAAGTGAAGGAGCATCCTTTCCATGCTTGAAACAATTGGCGGTGTAGTCGGCGCAATCAGCCCCACCACTTTCACGAGCATCATCTACAATGGCGAGCCAAACAATCGGATCACGAAGGAATGGGTAATGACGACTTGCGTGTTTTTCAAAGTCAAACCGACCAACCCAACAATCGGTGGGTGTGTTTTGGATTCCAAATCGATATCCACTGGAATGGTGTCTGTTGAAAGATCTTTGGAAGGTTGTCACAAAGATGACTTGCCAGTGGGACCAAAGTCTTTTGTGGATGCAACAGGACGACTCCAAACCACAGAAGACTGCCCTTCTTCGAAAAAACCGTCCTTATTACGATTCCTTTGCAGCAGCAACTCTTCCAAGGCAAACAGACTCCCTTGTGCAATCCCGCAGAAATGTTGTTGTAGTTGTTCCGTGTTGCCATCACAAGTAGTGTCCGGTTGCGGATAAATGCCCACCAAGGTATCCAAGGACATCAGCTCGGTTTTCGTAGTTGTAGTATCTTTGGTTTCTTTGGCATGAATGACGGGTACCGCTGGGAGTGGCTTGTCACGATCATCTTTGGTGTTCTTCATCTTTTGCCGTACCATTTTAAAGTCTGCTACGGACAACCACAAGGCTGTCTCGACTTCGGTGGCTTGCAAGGTTAATGATAGTGGTGGCGACTGTGGGTTGATTGTTGTCCTGCTGCTGGCAAATCCCTGCAAAAAGACGACCAAATGGTGAGCCTTGATGGGATCGGGATGATTGGGATCGGTGGGATAGACGGATTCCCAGATACACACGGGTATGGAAGTTTGATGAATAGTCAAGCCAGTTTCTTCCAGTACTTCTCGTCGCAGTGCATCTTCCAAAGAGAAATCGGTACCCGCATCGAATCCTCCTCCCGGCAGGACCCATGCTCCGGGAAAGACCCGCATGTAGGACGGTCGTCGCGTCAACAAAATGTATTGACCGGTTGGATCCAAGATCAATCCGACGACGGCCAATGCGGGATGTGGTTTTTTGGAATTCTTTATGAGTGGTTTGACAGTGGTGGGACACGCCGTGGCACCCAGAGACGGAAACGGTCGTGCGCGGCCCATGGGAATGGTAGACGATGATGGATGCTGATGTGAAGAAGAACCCGGTCGCTCCAGAATCACTCGATAGGAATCTTCCAAATCTTCCCAGAAGGAAACCATTTGTCGATCATAGTGTTTGGTGGAAGCTCCTGGCGTTGATTCCTCTCCTTCTGCCACAACAAGACTATCTCGCAAACTGTCAAACATGGATTTCCCAAAGATGCAAGGTTCGACATGGTTGGCTTCGGCTACTGCTCGAATCCAAACTCGGGATAACATGATAATAATAAAAACGACAGTTGGACTCGGATGAGTTGCTACTCTATCATACCTGGCTAGCTAGCTAGAGGCGGCCATTTGCCAAGCATCCGCACATGTACTGTACGATGGCAGAGGAAAGGGTGAAGATCTCTTTCTCGCAAAGGGATGAAAGGATTGGCTCGATGCGTGACCGAACCATCGAATGATCCGTTTTCGCCAGATGGCAATGCCGGCGTTTTTACGTACATCTGAGTACTTTTTCTACACAAGAAAGATTTAACGGATCGCTGGAATCACAGATGAAAAATTATGGGATGCATCTGGTCAAACGAATGAAAATCGATCCATCCATCAAAGCCAAAGACAAGGGGAACTGATGAAGGTTACTCTGGTTATCTGGTACCTGGTATGCGTGTATGCATGCATGTCAACCAAAACAACAAGCAGTGTAGACAAGGGAAACGCACACGATAAGAAAGCATCTGGTATTGTTTTCTCCCTCTTGCTTGCTTGCTTGCTTGCTCCTACATGATATGAATGCATGACGATCCTACAACACAATCAATCAGCAACTGGCTAGCTAGTTGCTTGCTTGCTAGTTGAACAACTAACTGTAGCTGGTATTTTTGTTCCGGTTATTGCTACCATGACGATGATTTATCACGACAGTCCTCCTCAACAGCGACGCCAATCCTTGACGTACACCAAACAACGAAGATCGTTGATTGGGGAGAACTATGCGCAACGACGTCGTCCGGGCGATATGTTCTTTTTGTACCGAGCCGCCATCTTTGGTTCCTTCTTGATGGCGATTGGACTCTACATTTCGCACGAAAGTTCCACCAGTGTCAAAATGGCTCAAAATGTGGGAGCCTTTTTGCGCCGCCAACGACGACCCAAACAACATGCTAGTACCACCCAATTGTACTACCGTCGTCCTCGCAAACAGTATGCTCGGAACGTGTGGACCATGACGGATTTTATCGTGAATGGAGTCAACCTGGCGTCGTATGGATTTGAAACTATGGAACATCCATCGCAATTGCTCAAGGAACACTTTTTGCTCTATGAGGATTTTGATATCTCACCTGAATTGGAGGAACATACCATTGCCGAACTGGAAGGGACGTTGGTGACACCCGCCACTACTGATTTGCTCTTGTATCATCGTCATTTGGAACATCCCACCCTAGCGTTCTACATGGACCGAGTGGCACTGCGACTTTACTACAAGGCTGTGGGGATCCCCATACCCACTTCCTTTGTCCTCAAGTACAAGGATGACTGGAAAGACAAGTACGAGAAGAATGACGACAAACAAGCCATTCTCACGTTCCTTCCAACAGCCGCTGACTATGTCGTCAAGGCATCGCATCGAGTCAGCAACCCGTCCACTCATTTGGTCTCGTACGATGATCAAACGCAACTGCATCTCATGGGATCTCACCAGGACAAAATCGACATGGACTATGATGCCGATCTATTGGCACACCAACTCACCCAAGCCATGCATCAAGAGATTCAATACACCGATCCATGGTCACTTCTGCATGTCCATCCTGGTATTGTTGTGGAAGATCGCATTTCATCCTTTGATTCACCGCATCGTCCGCCACTGGAAATTCAAGTCTATGTCATTTGGGGCAAAGTATGGATGGGTGCCTGGCCACATGCCGAAGGACCGACTCATCCCGGTATGATTCATCGCAATGGATCCGTCGTCATGGACGATCATGCCATGGTCAAGGTTCCCGATTGGGTCCAATGGGAGACCATTGTGGAAGTGGCTGAAAACTTGGGTGCCCACAAGGATATTTATCAAGTCAACTTTTTGATTGGTGTACCCGCCGAAACGGCCCATTTGCTGCAACATTCGTCACGACAAGAACAGTTGGCGGCCATTCAAGTCGTCGTGGCCGATACACAACTCAATCCATCCATTGCCTTTCACGAGAAGGAGCTATTGGATGAAATGGGACGGCTGTGGTTGGCGGGATATAAAATGGGCATCTTCAAGGCTGTTCCCAACATGGAAGTACCGACGGAATATGTACAGAAACAGCAGTTGACCGATGCCGATACACGAGAACCTTCCATCATGGCAACCTGGGCCAAAGCAAGTTTTGACTGGAAACTCAATAGCATCGAAGAGGAAGATTGATATAGATCATTCATACAAACCCGACCTTTATTCTAACAAACTACATACATAAGTAACATGCATGCAACTATCAGCCAGCAAGGGCACTATGTTTCATCTCTTGTTGTCGAGACTACTAGCCACGCAGATCAAAAAGAGAACCGTTCACCGCGCCCACACCAAACATAGCAAACATATCAGCCACGACGACACTCCTGCTCAAAGCGCAGTCTCACGGTAATACCTTCGCTGTACTAACTGTAGCCTAGATTTAGGTGTAAGCAAACGCGAACTGAACAACACTTACGATGCAGCCACAAAGCAAGCAAACTATGTAGGCGCCATTCTTGGAAACAAACCATACAGCAACTGCCGCAATGAGGGGCTCAACAACGTCACTCGTGGGACACAAAGGAGGGACCAATCTTGAGGAAGCAAACCACGCCAAGCTTGTTCAAATAAAAACTGCCCACAAATAGAGAACATAGAACCAGGAACAAAGGAGAACCAATACGGTTGTAACTTAGTTAGGTACCGTAGTACCAGTGCCTCAAGTCCATGGCGCAGAGTGGGACGCAAAAGCTTCTCTCTGCATCACGTACGTGAAATGCTTTCCCTCTCAGATTGGATTCCTGCTCTCGCCTAGCAATGCCAGCCAGTACCACATCCAGTGTAATATCCCTTTTGCAAGAGAGGGTTACCCAAAAAATTGCACGTAACTTACTTGAATCTATCATCTCTTCTCCAAGCTATGACATAGCTACAGTAGACTACTAGTAGTCCTGAATTTCGACTCGACTCGACTCTTCCTTGCTTGAGCCTGGCCTGGTACGGCGATGGTCAATGAGGAAAGAGGAAAGGATTGGGGCCCCAGAAGAGGAATGAAGAGAAGAAGAGGAGGGGAGATGAGGAGGTTCTAGCTAGGTATTAGCTATATGGTTGGCTGGTGCTGCCTACTAGCCATCATCAAAGCAATCATATAAGACCTTGTAAATGCACAATCAAGACCTTGGTGTTGCCAATAAGACAAAATGCTGCATCATCTTGGATCGCTGTGAAACCATCAATTGATGTCTTTAGCACCATTTCATGTTGTGGTTTTGCAGCTGGTTTCCTATGGGCATCTATCCTCCTGCATGTGCCCCCCCCCCCCCTCCAATATCAAAGCCCTTTTGTTTCAGCAGAGCTTTCACAAAGGATGATCGAGTCATTCCACCCAACATGTAAGAAGCAGAATTGGTGGCAATTTCAAAAAAGGAAACCGAGGACGCACATACTGAGTAAGGTTCCTAATGCACACCCTGGTCCATTTTTGCACGGAAAAGTCCACTTTGGCAACCTCGGCTTGGTCGTGGATTGGGAACCTCTCTGGGTTACAGAATGGGATCCAAGATCAAGGTCTAGAAACTAGGTTCCTAATGATCTGTTACTCTATCTACCGGTATTCAATCATCTATTACCGTACATGCTCCAAGTATTATCAGCCACCAGTCCTCCACGACTTCGCGAAATCCAACAAGTTGAGGACTTGTGCATACGTACAGGAAAATGGGCACCGACACAGGAATCACCAACCAAACACTAGGAAATATCAAGGAGAGATGAATCCAATTGGAGGATCCACTCTCTTCTGTGTTGTGGGTGTTGCCTCTCCAGTTGACTACTGCAGTACTTGGATGTACTGGAGTAGTGAAGCCTTTTTGGACTGTAGCTCAGGACGATAGATAGATCTGTTCACGACGATGATAGGGCTGGTGGACCGGCACTGCCACGTCATCGAACTCCAGCCTTACGGCTGTGGCTGCATACTGCTCCGATGAAGCAGTATTAGACTAGCTAGTACCTTTTACCAGGTAGAAGCTGTTATTAATACATATTATTATGCATATGCACACATACGATTCGCAAAAAGTGACTTCCTCTTCCGATCCGCCACTCCACTCGACTCCACCCGACTCTCACTCCATCCAGTCGACTCGACTCGACTCGACTCGACTCGTCACTCACTCTGACAGCTCTCTGACTGACTGTCACTCGACCCCCTCGCTGGCAATCTACCTTCTCTAAACCCCCTGATGACAGATCATCATCATCTCTACCTCCACTTCCCCAGCTTCCCTGTCCAGAGGATTTTGATGTCGCCTACAAGGAATAAGGCCTCAGGAAACGAGGAACCCTAAAAACGAAATCTCTGACTTGCTTCAAGTACTTTTAAAGCTCATTTTTGCCTCATGGAACATGTGATAGGCCTAGCGGTACCACAAGACATATAACGCACGTGAAAGTAGTAAAAAGCTTAGAAACTTCGCGATCGCGTTCTGTTCGTCGAGGCACTCCGGTTACAACCGCGATTGCCAGCCACTGGCCTCAAAACAGCAATACATGTACCTCACAACCTCACAAGAAAGCAAGGCAAACAAACACAGCTCAAACACCACCTATCAACCAAGAAACGCCAACCATGAACAATGATGACGCCCCTATCGATGCGGCAGGGCCACTACTAGTACCTGATCGTGCCCAGAACGGGGAGGATAATGGGGATGTACCACATGCAAATCAGGCAGAACAGCAGCTGGTGGCGCTGTTGGTGGCAGCACAACTCGTGCAGGTGCCGCCACAGATTATGTGGCCATTGGGGGCATACAGCGTCATTCGTTTGATCTTGACGGCTCAGGAGCGCCGGCAGGCTCTCAACATCAAACAGGCGGTTCAAAATGATGCCAACATTGAGATTTCTGTATCAGATTTCTGGTATGCTCAGTTGGCCTTGGTGGACGGGGATGACCTTGAGGCATCTCTGGAACGAGTTGCCAAGCTACAGTGGTTTCAACAAGAGTATGGCGGGATAGAAGAGACTGTAGACTGCGGCGTTGCAGTCTTGAGAGAAGCAATGGATATGTATCCTGGATTGTTTTTGGCTTTCACTTTCAACAATGTAACAGGCAGCTACGCACTGGTTATAGACTTTACAAAGCTTCATGACAAACCTGGGTCGAAAAGCAGGGGTAGAGATGGAGTATTGGTAGTTATGAAGACGTTGTTCTTTTTTTTTCACGCAATGCAATGCGACTTTGAGTCTATGCGACAAGGGATTGCGGTAAGTAGTATGCATCGAAAGCTTTTGGTTGCTCGGAAGCTGGGACGTAGCCGACACAGTCTCACGATCGGATCCGTTTCTACTGGCGCCAGCTCTTGCTTGAACTTGATGGATTTGATTGGAAAAAGAACTTTGGATCCAGTCTGCCAAGGCGTATTTATTCCGAGTGTACCTCCATGTACCCCAGGCGATTGCGGCAATGCAAGATCTTTCATGCTGGCCTCTTTGGCAACTTGCTCTTCTCCATGATGAAGGGATTCACACCCTCACACGTTCACTCCAAGTTTGATCACGCCATATCCCCCTTTGGAAGGCTAGATGCCTTATACCAGTCTCCAAGCGTGGAGGTTGCTAATGACGAATTGGTGCAACGGTTCAAAGATGCCCTACAGAGACGGTTTGCCAACGAAGCTGCATTCACGTTGTGAGATCGATCGACGTGACCTTCTAAAGCCAGCCGGATCTACTACACTTTAATAAACAAGAATCCTGTTGCTCGAGTTAGTCTACTTCGCTTACTACCGGTAGTATTTGTTTGCTAGCCTGTTGTGATGTCCTTCGTACCGGTATGTTGCACCCTTGTCAACTCAGTCACGATAAAGATTCAAATTGTTGAATTTCGCTCGAATGAGATATCCGCTTTGACGGCTTGTATCTTCAAGGTTCGGTTCAAGGTTCGGATTGGGCATTCTTGTATCTCTATCCTTAAGATAGTCCTGTTCGGCGAACCTCCAGGCAGGCGACTTAGGAAGAGGACGTTGCCAAGCCGGAAGATATGAACACGGAAACAGAATTTCAGAATGCCGCTCGCAGTCAAACTTGGCCTTCCCACGGGTTCCTCATCGGTTGTGCAGTTCATTCATTCAGTTAGTTGGTTGTGATGGTTGCTGGGCGATAGTAGTAACTAGCTATTAGCACTAGAGATAGATAGACCACCAAGAGAGAGAATAGAACCCGGTGCTCCTGCTAGTTGGTCTGTTCCGTATCTCTCCTGTTGCCATTGCACTCTGGATTGTTTTGGCGGAAGGAAAAGGAGAAGCCACAATTCACCGGAGAGAGCAATAATCATGATGATGAACTCCTGTGTGTCCACACTAGAGCTATTGGCTCGCAATGAGTACCTGCGCAACTGGATTGGTATCCTTGCGGTTGTCGTGACTGTCAATTGGGCCGTAGCAAAGTTTCTCAAGTGGAGACGTCGCATCACCGAACTCGACGGTTGGATTCGAATGGCTCGCAAGGAACGCGACAACAAGGTACATCCTGTCCTGACACTGCACAAGTCTACACAAGAAGAGGAAGAAGCCTATCCCTTGTATTCGGCGTATGAGACGCGTGAGCTCATCTTATCCAACAAGCTAGATATCAAAGACAATGTGGCCATGTTGGCCAAACGGTGCCGCCGATTTGGGAGAAATGAGGGACGCGTCAATGCCATTACCGAAGAATTCTATGACGAAGCTCACAAGACGGCATGTGACATGAGTGACAAGCCACTGACGGCAGAAGACGCCCCGCCGTTGTATGGTGTACCAATCTGCATTAAGGATTGTATGAATGTTAAGGGAGCTTGTACTGCAGGAGGGTAAGACCAACAAAAAGCAGACAGGACTGATTTGTCCCTTTTTAGTTTCTGGGCTTTTGCCTGCCTTTCCTATGCATTCCTTTCTTATGTCGCTTTTTATTGTACTGTACCACCTCTCTCTGCTCTACCTACATAGAATGGCCTGTCGCTTGCTCAAGAAAGATGAAGCCGACTGCCTTACTGTAGAACTATTGCGAGATGCCGGAGCAATCCCTCTTTGTCGTGGCAATGTCATGCAAGTCATGATGCTGGCAGAGTCGGTCAATCGAATTTGGGGTAGAACCAGCAATCCATGGAACTTGAATCGAAGTCCAGGAGGATCGTCCGGTGGAGATGCAGCTTTGGTGGCCATGGGATGCGTTCCTCTGTCCGCCTGTGCCGATGGAGCTGGAAGCATCCGTATCCCAGCATCGTATTGTGGTGTAGTGGGGTTCAAGCCAACATCGACTCGATTGTCCTTCAAGGGATGCATGAGACCCCGATTGGTAAGTGTTGGTTCTGGTTTGTTGTTTCCAATCAATGATGGTACGTGGGTGGCAACTAACGAAAAAGTTCTGGATCATTCATTCATGAATCAATCATAAAAGAATGACAGGCAAGGAGTGGGTATTACCGTTCCTGCTGTCATGGGATCCATGTCACGCAAAGTCGAGGACTGCGCAATGTTCTTGAAGGGGGTCTGCGTTCCCAAACTGTTTCAGAAAGACATCAACATTCCTCCCATACCGTTTGATACCCAACAATACGAATGCACAAAACGACTAAAGATTGGATACTTTTATAGTGACAACTACTTTGAACCTTGTCCGTCCGCAAGACGCGGACTCGATGACACGTTGCAGAAGCTAAGAGATGCTGGTCATGAGGTGGTCCCATTCCAACCACCCACGGATGGATGGGATGCCTATCGAGTGTAAGTTCGTTTTATTTTGTGCAATGGGATGATAGTGATAGTTGCTCTGATGCTCTGGGTTCTTGGGCAAATGCTCATACTCGGTTGTTGCTGTTTTGTTATATCTTGTTTTGTGATGATATGGTTGTTGATGATGATGATGGATTTATAGGTTTGTTGGTATCATGTCGGCTGAAGGCAACATGCGATCATTCCTGGAAGCCGTCGAGGGAGAACCCATGGTTCCAGAATACAACACAGTGCTGCATGCACGGCTTGTACCGCAATCTGCAAAACACCTCTTGGGTGCCACACTGGGAGCTCGTGCCCGACATTTATTCGAAAACAGCAAGCAAATATCCGTCTATGATCTATGGGCACTCGTGGCGGATCTATTGGATATGCGAACAAAGTGGGCCAATGCCGTGGAACAATCCGGTTTGGACGCCATTGTGCATCCCGCCATCCCAATTCCTGCGGTGACGCATGGCATGTCGGCAGAGATTGCTTGCATTTCCTATATGCTCATTGGCCCAATGCTATTGTGGCCAACGGGTGTCTTGCCAGTGACCACAGTCCGCGAAGATGAACAGCACTACTATGAGGACTGTCCAGAGCAGCTGCCAAGGAATCAACGGGATCACATTGCACGGTTAACCGCCAAAGAAATGAAGGGTAGTGCAGGACTACCCATCAACATTAGTGTTTTGACTCCTTCCTACAAAGATGAAACGTGCCTTCGACTCATGAAGGAGATTGAATCGCTGGTTGGTTTTACAGCAAGGGCAAGCGCGTACAAGGACTACTAGCATTAGAGCTACATACATATATATCAATCGTATGAAATTTACCTTGTATCTTCGTGAGGTTTACATACCGGTACTGGTATATCACCAACGGAATCAGATGGTTTTCCCTTGGCCTTTCCTGCCATAGATGGATTACCATTCGGCCTTCACAAGTCTGATTGTAGTGTATCTTCCGAAAGTGCAATGTTTTGAAATGTGAACCTCGAGTCTCGTTATTACTAGTACTACTAGACTACCGGTATCGCGAGCACGCGGATCAGTTCGGGACGGTCTTGATTCGAAAGCATGAAAAAGTACACGTACGGCGTAAACAAGAGTTGGGGACTTCCCCAGCCTTCTAGAGAATGCAGCACGGCAGACCTTATCCTTTTAGGCGTTGCATATTATGTCAATCCTTTGTGGAAGGATCTGCGCTACGTTTGAAACTGAACATCTCTGCACGATCTCTCAGGATTGCATATATCAATGATGGTTTGCCTGGCTGACCCCCTTCTCCACCAAGCCTGGAAAACACCAGTGGCATCAATGCGGATGGCAAAGATTTTGTAGCCCCACACTTTTCTGCCAGTTGATTGAGTCGCAACAAGTGCAAAGCTGTTTCTTTCTGGCCCCAAGGAATCAATGATTCAATCAGACCAGCTTCGAGATCTGGGAAGGATGTAATGGAATCATTTGCTTGGAGAAGCCCTTCCAAAAGACCCCTAATCTCCGCGACGTCAACAGCACCATCAATGGCAAACACACTCAATTCTTTCAGTGATCTGAGATTGGCAAATGATTGTAGGCAACTGCCATTCACATATAGGACATGGATCTTTTGGATGGTTTGTTTCGATTGGTTTGGGACACACCCCGTAAGAACAGCAAAACCTGAAGGGGACCAGCGAATGTTGAGCTCTTTTCTGGGGAGGCCTGCTCCAGCATCCAACATAGTTTTCGCATGTTGTCGTATGTCCAAACTCAGTATATCTAAGGAAGGACCCTTCTTGAGACTGGCGTCATGAAGTGCTGAAGAATTAGTCGTGATGTCCAAATGACACAAATCTTTCATCATAGGCAAACATTTAATCAAAGCCTCTTCGAACCTAGCGCCTCCAATATCACGACTGACTCCATTGGAAACACTGACTTTCAACTTTTGCAGCATACTATTTTGATCAAGGAATGCCTCCTCGAAGACAAGACAAGCAGACTCCGGCATTTCGCGAGTGCAATTAAGGTCCAGCTCATTCAGCCTTGATAGAAAGGAAGCATGTCGGAGTTGTATAGAGTCAAAGACAAAGCTAGGGAGCTCCATGCGTCTAACATTCACATTCTTGTTGGCCTGAGCAGCATCAATAATACCGCACAAATCCTTAACAAAACTGCCTTCAGACCACAAAAAGATAATTTCTTCGAGTGTTGTAGAGTTGGCAATGAGCTCCATGATGAACTCCTTCAGGTGTTGGTCACACGGTGTTGGCTTGGACAACGAGAGGAGCAGTGACTGTGTGGTGCTGTTTTCTCTGGCAAGCTTCTTCATCTCAGTCCAGAACTCGGCATTATCTGCACATGTTCCATCCAGGAAGCTTCGAAAGTGAATTTCTGTCCTAACAAGACCATAACTACAAGATGGTTTCTCAATGCAAAGAGCAAGATCTTGGCGCTCTCGCGTCATGGGCCTGCGGTAGCTAGCTATTATAATAGTCACTGAAGTGGAGACTGTCAGAATCTAATCATGAGCTAGTTATGTGGCTCTCGTGTCCCTGCTGACACCATGAGCACCCACCGTTCTCTCTAGGATTCCGATGGTGTGCACTCTGCCACTAATCCTGCCCCCATACTGTACTAGTACTGTACTTTCCCTCTACTTCCTCCATTTCCTCATCGCACCCCCCTTCCCCCTACATGTACTAGCCCCCCCATTTTGCCTCTTTGCTCTTCTAGCTACACTGTAGCTAGAGTACCAACCGGCACTGAAGCCACGGCTCAGCTTAGCCCCCCATCGCTCCTTTTGAAATGGAACCGTATATAGACCTACTTATTAGTATTTGTTTTTTCTACTTCTATTTGTTTTTTCCGAAAGGATAGTATCGTGCTGATGCAGTACTGTACCGTATAATAAAGGCAACAATATGAGACTTGTTTGTTCTTGGGAAACTCTGATAAATTGGTGGGTGGAGATCCGAAAAGCAGCCAACAATTATTAAGACTGTGCGGACCTCTGCTTCTGTTTGGGTGGTCAACTGCTGCTATTTGGTCTTTTTCGTTGCTTCCGTCAGTGTCCTCATTGAGTCGAGTCGAGTCAGACCTACCATGCGACATAATCTGTGCATGCTGAGAATCGATAATAGTTGATTCGATTCGACGCGGTGCGATGTAGACCGGGACTGACTGATGGTGCAAGTGCGTGTGGTCTTCCTCTCTCAACTCTGCGAATCGAATCGACGCTACCGCATCTACAAATGAAGACTTTATGCATCACTACAAGCAGTTGGGGACCGATCCCACCCCCCAGTTGACTAGGAATTTGGTAGGCATCAAGTTCGCAATCTTGTTGGGTGGCAGTAGTGAGGGCCATGGTGAGGGCCTACTGGGGTTGGCAGATGCAGTTTCTTTCACGCACATGGAAATGCTCTGTGCTGCCTAAAGTAGTGTTGGGATCTGTGCGATGTCGCTTCAGATGCAATACGGTAGCAAGCATAACTCGTGCCCCTGTAACAGCAGTGTAAGAGCTAGCCAGTAGGGTACGATGTAGCGTCAATCTATTTCGTGGATTCTGTGGGCTCTCATAGCCACCCGCGCCATCATACGCACCAAGGACGTGCCTGAAAAGCGATATACTACTGTGATCTACTGCAAATCAACCTAAACCAAAACTTGTTTAAGTTTGTTATCTAGACCAGCAACAAGCCAACATTGCCATCCACAAACTAGAATCAGGCTTGCCAGCCAACACGATGAGAGTGACTAGCCAGCCAGCACACTCCGTTGACGCTCCATTCAGGCTAGCTAGCGCCATGGTCGACCTTTCCACAATAATTTCCACAAGAACCGGAACTGGTGGTTCCAAACTGTTAGATCGCAAGGCAGCATCATCACCAGCACAAACAACAACAGATCTCACCATTCAGGCAGTAAGAGTCCATTGGATGAGAAATGCAACCACATGGCGCCATTGCGCCATTGTTGGCATGGCTGCCTCAAAGCCAATCCGACTCAGTAACAGGATCAACGTAGCCAACAACATCATAATGAGAATATCCCATTTGATGGCCAAGCTGAATCAAAACAGCAGCAGCACGGAAGAAAATGTGGTGAGAGCTGGTTGGATGCCGGAAGCAGTGAGTGAGGGCTCCAAACGTCTTGAACCTCCTGTTGACAGTCTCATGTTGGCTCTCAATGCTGCCATGATCTCTTGTGCTGACAGTTCAGTGCGTCCTGTGGGGTGATGCACTTGCTGTCGCCAATTTAGCCTAGTCACGATAACCTTTTCCCAAGGGCGCAGCACGTCACGGAGCCAATATCTGAAGATGGAGATATCATTGGTTGCCGCTGGAAAGGGCCCATGGATCCACACAATGTCACCAGTTTTAATGCACACTGCAATCTCATAACTCACTCCAGCATGACAGAACTTGTGTGAGTACCAAGCTTTGTTGTATGAGTGGGTTCCAGGAAGCATCTTGTTCCGAATCTTGAAGTGTGTTCCGTCAACGGTAACAAGACATCTGTCACCCGTGTCACCAAAGAAACGATTGGCCCAAACAATCTGGATGAGTCGAGTCAGAGCAGACGATGACGTTAGCCGAAAGCAAGATGGGGAACTAGCGACTGGCTGCGGACAAACTGGCTGCCTGCCGCGGACACCAGGAACTTACGACATCCGTGTCAAGCCTGGCAACGGCTTCAAGATAGATTTCGGCCACTTCTTGACAGTTTGTTCGTGTGTTCCGACAGCCGAAGCAAGGACTTCCCAGGTATCATACCTTTTCAATAGCATCAGCGCCCAAAGGTAGTGCTCCGGGTCCGGACTTTTCGTGCACTTGTTCAAATGATACTGAAGGAAGGTGCTTTCCTGTAGCAGTTCCCATCCATCCAGAACACTCAGCGAGAGCACTCAAAATGGCTGAAGACGCCAATGTCACCTTGCTGGATCGATTGACTTGTACTGGCAACGCGACGCCCAATTCTTCGAACTGATTGCGTGACAACTCCATTGTGGACATCAGTGCGTGCAGATCAACGAACCGATGGATTTGAGATGAGTGGAGCCTCCGAGAACAACCACCAAATATTGTGCCACCAGTCAGATGAAAGATCAAACATGGGCGGTGCAAGAAAATCCCAAGCGGTCATTGACAGTCACCGGCCTGAGAAAGAAGACAGTGGGAACGAAGGATAGGGTGAGCGACAGCCATACACGTCACCCATCGAATGTGGATCTCGCTCTGGCTTACCGGTACCGGGAAATGCGGCGTATCACCATGGCCAAGTGAAACTAGTGTCCTCATTCTTGTCACAGGAGGTTGATTGTTGGATCGAAACTGAACTCATGGCTGGCTAGCTAGCTTGAATGAAAGTGAGATTAGTGCTTAGTTGATTTGATTCGATTCGGTTCTTGTATTGCTGACTAGCTAGCATGCACGAAACAATCAGCCATTCGCTAACTCAACGCCACTCGGAACTGCACTTGAGAAGGGCCAACGCCACTCGGAACAGATCTATCACTGGGCCAGCCTGCACTCGGAACTCATCCATCAGCAAACTAGTTTCCTACTTGCCTAGATTCTTGCGCCGTCAACTTGTTGCAGTGTGGTAAACAGCACGGTCCATTGGCGGCAGAAGATTGGCTGCAACCGGGGAAAAAGTTGACACCGGGTTGACCGGCACGCTTTGATTGGCTCGCAATCCGAATCCGGTAACAATATTCTGATCGAATGGATCTCTCTCTAGCCTTCGGAATGGTCAGGTCAACGGCAATCCAATCGCATGGCAGTCAGGTATATTATATTCCGGTCAGGTTAATAGCAATCCGATACCGGTTAAGATCCAGTCAGATACCGTTGAATTTCCCTACAAAATCGCGCAAGCAGCACCGGAATCGGACCGCGGTCTGACCGGGATCGGATCTCAACGGATCGCATTCCAGTTGATCGCACCGCGATGACACCACAATCAACCACAATCAAACCACACACCGCGATCGATGGCATTCAAGATGGCGATCACTCGAAAACCTGACCATGACGCCTTCCCCGGTAAACCGGACCGCGATACCGCGATCACCACCGCAGTCTCCTCTCATAGTTCAGTCAACCGCAATCTTTGAGCACTCATTGACCGCAAGCAACTCGACGACCGACAGTCCACAATGGCAACCAACACCGAACTCACCGACGATATGTTGGCACGTCTTGCCAAGATTCCAGCCGAGTACAAGGAGAAGGGCGCACCTGATGACAACACCCGCCTATGCAATTCGTGGCGGGGAGCCCTGGAATTGGACAAGGCTGAACTCAACAAGATGATCTTCGAAGCCATGGACTCCAGGAAGAAGATTACTGCTGCCGGTGTCAAGAATGAACATCCCAAGTTTCGGATCTACACCACTGCGTGCCTTCAGTGCGCCTTTAGCAACCTCCGACGCAAGTGGAAGGCCACCAAGGAGAAGAAAGAAACGAGTAAGTTCCATTCTTCACATTCACATTGTCCTTTCTCCGGTCCATCATCTCACTCTTCTGTTCTGCAGTGACCCAGGAGGGCGGTGGCGGGCAAGGCCTGAAGGCTCAGCGGCCCTGTGGCTCTGTCAAAGATGGCAGTGGTGGTAGCAAGGCAGGCAGCAAGGCAGGCAGCAAGAAGAGCACGTCATCCAAGAAGAAACCACCACGCTCTTCCTACTTTCGTGACACTTCCACCATGTACCGGTGTGATGGCACTGTCCGCACTAGCAGAAGCACCAAAACAACTACTGGCATGTCAATGTCCGGCAAGACCATTGCCCAAGATGGTGAAGTGCAGAAGAACATTCCTGGAGTAGCTCGTCCTTGCAATGCCTTCACTGTGGACAAGGAAATCGGTGGTACTGTGGCGGTCAGTCAACTGGATGCCTGGACTGACAGCTCACTCAACCATCGTGCAAGCGCTCATGTTCAAGTGATGAATGGTCTTGTCATGGAAGACGACACTTTGCAGTGTCGTGTGAGCAGCACCAAACCTGACCAGCTCGTTATCTCAATGGCTTTGAGTCCGACTTTCACCAATCCGGATATGAAGCTTTGCTACCTGGTGGAAAAGATTCGAGCTGTGTATGGTGAAGATCTTGACGATGAGACCTGTTTCGGAATTTTGAAATCGCATCCTCGGTACATCTCGTGCTTGCAAAACCTTGCCCGTTTGCGTGGTCATCTCCCTGAAGATGAGCCGCTCCTTGTCGAGTTTCGTATGCAGGCTCCCTTCAACATCCATGCTGACCTCGTTACCCAGAAAGAAGATGCCGTCTTCTTTGGGTTCGAGATCTCGCATGAGAATGGCGAGACCAATGTCTGGTTTGAGCTGAAGGAGAACGGCAAAGAGTTCAAAACAGTCACTATCGAGAAACTGTACTCTAGTTCTTTCAAACAAACTGCTGGCAGAGCCAAGAAGGGTATGTTTCAGAGCCAGATGTCGTCGATTCCTGAGAGCGTGAGTTTTGTCTCGCCCACAAAGGCGTCTCGTTCTCGCCGCCAGCAGAGTGTGGCCTCCGAAGATGACAACTCCACCATCAAGACGGAAGACCAGGGAGCCAATCGAATGGATGTTGACGACGACGATGACGAATCGTCATGGACTCGAACCTTAGGGACTCTGAGAGCGAGGAAGGTGAAACGCCGGAGATGGAAGCACTGCGCAAGCAGGTGGCGGAGTTGACATCGATCGTCTCTGGCCTTGCTCAAACCAAGTCGTTTGACAGCAGTGAAGGTAGCAAGTCAAACCTTGCCGGCAATTTGAAGAAGAAGAAGACGAATCAAGGCAATGCTTCAAGCAGCTCTATTGCCGGTGACAGCAAGGCTTCTCGTCGCAGCACTGGAACTCGTGGCACCAAAGCTCGAGAAGAGAAACGCAAGGTTGGAGGTAGTGGTGGAGCTGGAGCTGGTGGAGATGAGTATGCAAAGAAGACCCTCTGAAATGAGGCCAATCTGTTGTGGTGGCCATACACCTCTGTGTTTCTGGTTGTTCAAGTGGCAAATGGATGGGTCTGTCAATGCTGTTGAAGAGGTTGCAAGTGATGAGGAGACTGTAGTCTTAGATAACAAACAAAACTAGTAGGAGTGAACTTTATTGGCAAAATATTGCTTTTCATGTACGTCCCAACGTCACACCGGCAGGATCGTCCTGGCTGCATTCTATCATAAAAGATTGTTTTGCAGCTGCTGGCGTTCCACTTGCAAAGGTGTGGGAGTCGAGTCGAGCCCAGCCGTGTCTGAGCACGTTTCGTCCGCAACCACAACACCACAACCAAAGCCATACCATTCAAAGGAGGGCCACACAATCACCCAAAACCATTTCGCTTCGCATTAGCTAAAAGGGACCTTGCTCTGAACCATGACCATCAAAGCCATCATCGAAGGAGCCATCAAAAAGGACGAGCCCCTGGAGCCAGCAACGGGTACAGCCGGGACGCAGGAAAGGATATCCACAAGCCACGTAACATACTCGGGAGCAATAACGATTACAACGACAAACACTCAAGACACCGAGGCACCAGCCTTGGTGCATTTGATAATGGATCTTGGTCTTTCCACTGGAGAGGGCGTTGCCCCGACAACCCCCGTTCCTGCACCGCTGGCCGCAAAAGGTGTTACAGAAGGCATGTGGCAACAAACTTATGATGGAGCTCTCCTTGTGCGCGTCGTCGGTCTTATTCAGCAGGCGCAAACCGCGGCCAGGAAATCGCCGAAGAGATTGTTGGCTTTTGTGATATTGAGTTCTGTGATGTTGTCCGCGTGGATCTACGTTGTTATACCCCTCCTGTTACGCCCCCTGCTTGATGCCGTGGCTATTTTTTCGGTACTATATGTACTCCTGGCTGTTATGGGGCTCGTGGTTACTTGTTTGATATATTGGGTCGCTGTGTTTGTTCCGGATTCAAAGCTCGATGATTCGGTTGGAAAAATTCACAAAATGAAAGCGCGATGGATAGAATTCGTGAAAGAGCAGGATGGCCACTACAAGGGGCTGGGAATCGATGCTACGGCATCTACGAACGAAGACTTTATGCATTACTACAAGCAGCTGGGGATTAATCCAACCCCCCAGTTGAAGAGGCATTTAGTGGGCATCAAGTTCGCAATCTCAGGTGGCTGTAGTGAGGGCCATGGTGAGGGCCTACCGGGGTTGTCGGATGCAGTTTCTTGCACGCACGTGGAAAAGCTCTGCACTGTCTAAAGTAGTGTTGGGATGTTGCTTCGTTTGCAATATGGTAGCAAGCATAACTCGTGCCCCTGTAACAGCAGTGTAAGAGCCAGTAGCATCAATCTATGTATGCTACTACCGGTAGTAGCTAGCCACCCGCGCCACCATACGTCCTGGCTGTCCTCTCGGTGATTGAGGGAAGCGCCGGGTGGGAGAAGGCGGATGGGGGGATGTGAGCTACCGCTGTAATAAGGAAATGGGGACAGCAACCTCGACATCCTTTTTCCTTCAGTGTGCAACTTGACGACCAAAGGCGCTGGAGGGTGGTGGGAGTGGCGTCCGAAAACGACTCGACTCCCGCCTAATTGTATCGGGACTCGCGAGAACCTCTCCTTTGGCTTTCTCCTCCTCCCAAAGCCTTGGACACAACTCAACGTCTCCGACTCGACCATGGACGCTGCGGCTGGTCAACTGGAAGAGTATGAAAAGCAGCTAGCTGACATTGAGGCGCTGCTGGAAGCCACTCCTGAAGATGAGTCGTTGCTCTCAGTGAAGAAGGACTTGGTGGAATTGGTGGAGCTGACTCGTGGCGAGCTGAAGAATTCCCCCGTTGCCACTGAGGCTGCCAGTGCCGAACAAGAAGAACAACAACAAGACACTGCAGATGGGGCTCAGAATGACGGGTATGCTGCTGTCGCTGCGGCTGCTTTACCAGTCGCAGAAATCGCTGGAGACACCGAAGGCTTTGCGGTTGGCACTACCGAGACGGCTGCTGCCGAACGTCCCAAGAAAAAGTCGAAAACAGTAAAAGAATTCGAGATTCCACAGCGACTGCTGCCCGCCGAAACCGACACGGAAACTGAAGCCAACAAGAAGAAACGCGCCATCAAGGCACTCAAGCGGACACATCGATCTCAAGTCAAAGAGCAAGAGTCCAACAAGAAACAAAAGTCATGGCAGAGTTTTCAAAAAAAGAAAAAAGTGGGAGGGACGAGTATTTTCTCCACGGGTGATGGGGAATCCAAAATTGGTGTCGTCACGGGTCGAAAGAAAACATCCTTCAAGGAGAGAACAAGACACAAAAAGTAATTGCCAATAATAAACAGCCAACAATTTGCTCTGGTCGAGGACAGAATGGCATGGCAACAATGCAATCTTCCGGTTGGGGTGGACTATACTTTGCCGAGCTTAGGGCACTTGGACGGACGTCTAGCTGGATCCCAGTCCAATGATAGTATCGCATAAAAAACAAATCTTGTCTCTGGAAGCGCTACTGAAGTAGCTAGCTACCGGAGTGCCGTCGACTGTGAGACGGTTTCTATTTTAGGACACCTTCGAATCAATCATTCCTTACGTATATATTACAACAAAGTCAATGAGGCAATTAGTAGTGGATGAAGACTGTCCGTACTCAATTAGTAGCAAATACCAATGATCAAGACTATGCCCCCCTTTGCGTGCAATGTACTGGAAATATTCAGCCGGAATGGGGAACGTGATACGACGTTGCAAATTTGCGAATCCTGTGAAACTGCCTTGGGAAAGAATCACCCTTAGACTGCAACAGCTACTGCAACCGCTCACGACAATACCGGTATTGGGGAAGTGTTGAAAGCCAAGGGAGGCAAGGATTGACACATTGGCTGGCAAACTGCGAGCAAGCAAGCTCTGGACAATTGAGGAGGCGGCGTTGCTTGGCAAGGATTATCCTCTGGCTGGTAGCTTCTCGATGCTACAACAATATAGGTATGCTCTGGTTGACGACGGTGACCATGAAGGTGCGTAAGCAATGTTGCATCAGTGTCTTGAAATCAAAGAATCGTGGCTTGGCAAGAATCATGCGTCAACAGCCACCGACTCCACCAATTTGCTGCCGTGCCCGAGAGCGTGGGTAACTTTGATGGGGCGTTGGCGAAGCACCAACAAATCCTTGAAATTGTAGAGTTGGTGTGGGTCCTTACATTGCCACAAGAACATACAGCAACATCGGATGTAACAACAATGAATGCCTCCACCGCGAAGAGTCGAGTCGAGTCGGCGTCGGCGGGAAAGGATCATTCCTTAACCTACATCAATGCGGGCTCTGTGCTGGCAACCGGGCTCATAAGGCATCATAGCAACCTAGATACCGTAAAAGTGCCACATGTAAAAATATAGACGCTTTTTATTTGTTTTTACTGTAATTGTATGCTGGCGCTGGTGTTTCGCTTGCCGAAGCACTGCTGCGCGCGTTCGTTTGCTGTCCGCTTCGTGTGCTTGCAAAGGTGATGTTGCACTGGGCTCTGTTCGTGCCGGTACCATGATCTGTGTGTGTGCTGGCCGTGCGGTTTTTCTTTTTTTCCATTCTTACGACATGACAATCTCCTTGGCCACGGCCACCTTTTGCAATTTCTTCATGGCGGTCTTCATGGCCGCTTGCCACTGTTCCAATCCACCAGCCGCCACCACTTCGGCCGGTTGTGGCTCGTTGCACGACACTTGCCACTGCATATTCTCACCATCCCAGACACGCTCGTCGCACTGCAACAATGCCGTCAAGGATTGAATCAACGCCAAGGATGCCTTGGTGGTGTTGACGTGCAAGGTAGTCACGGTGACATCCTTTTGGAATTGCTGCAACAAATCCACCATGTCGGCATCGTCCGCATTGTCTTCCTCTCGCACATGGACCTTGACTTTGTAGGACACGGGAATGACTTTTTGAGCACAGACTCCACCCAACGCCTTGTGAAAGTGTTTGCGACTGCGTTTGAAATCCTTGTACTGCGAGACACCATCGAGGAGTTCATCGACAAACTGAATGGTTTCCCAAGGACGAATTTCTCCTTGTAGGACTTCCTTGAGCCGCAACGGAATGGCCAATGCTCGTTGTGTGACGAGACAATCTTCCATTTCGACCTGTACAATGTCGGTGTTTTGTTCCAATTCATCCAACTGACTCAAAATGAAATCGGTACTGACAATGTCGGAGCCAAAGATATTGAGGGACGTGGGAGGAGGGGGCTTGAGGGACGAAGTACGGGAAGGACGTTTGTGTCCGGACTTGCTGGATTTGGAACGAGAGGGAAGACGCGCACTAAAGTTGCGTTTGGGAAGCGCACGTTCGTCGGATGTGCGACTGCGTCGCAACGAGCCATTCGATGATGGCTGTTGAGTGGCGGTTGCTTCGGTGGTCTGTGTGCGACGCAACACAGCGTTGGAAGTACCATCGGATGTATTTTGTCGCGACGGAGGACGACGGAGCATGCGAGACATGCGCGAGAGAGCACTGCTGTTGCTGGCTTGACGACTGATGGAACTGCGATTGCGACGGAGGGCGCCTTTGGCATCGTTGCTCTTTTTGCGGCTGGGACGACGTTTGGTGGGTGTTGCCGTATATTCGCCACTCTTTTTGCGACTGGGACGACGCATAGTGGGTCCACCGTTAGCACTGCCACTTCCCATGAGAGCATTCTTCATGGCAGCCAATCCGGTATTGCTGCTGCCGGCGACGCGGCTATCACACGTGCGGCTGCTGGTGCGAGACAAGGTTCCACTGGAACGACGGCGACGACTAGCAGTCGAACGTTGACTGGAGTCTCCCATCAGGAGATCGCCGTCGTTGTCACCAGCAGCAACAACAGCATCGGACGTGCGGCTGCGAGACAAGGAAGAGCGGGCGGAACGACGGCGACGACGACTGGAAGCGGATCGCTGACTGGTTTCTCCCATGAGATCATCATCTCCACCACTGCTGCTGTTGTTGTCATCTTGGCGCAGAGAGGAGCGTTTGCTGGATCGGCGTCGTTCTTTGGGACTTGTCGCGGCCATTGTCGCGGCATTGTCTTCACCAGAAATAATGGTATCGGCGTGTCCAATGGCTCGATCCACTTGCAGCACAAAGGGAACAGGAGGAGCCACTTCTTCCAGATCGGTTTCTTCTTCCTCTTCCTCATCGACAAAATCCGGAAGCTCCGGTTCTTCCACCACTTCATCTTCGACCAAGGCAGGAAGTTCCACCAAGGAATCGTCGTCCAACCCAGAAGCGTCAAAGTCGGTTTCTTCACCATCCGTCAGACTCATCATGCTCTGCATGGAATCTTCCATTTCCAAAGTGCTGCTGGTACTGGCATGGTTATAGTTGTTCTTGACAACCACCACATCGGAAAGAAGAAGCTCTTCTTCCTCTTCATTGTCGCTCACATACTGAGGTTTCTTCTTGAAGGTTTGGTGGGTGGTACCGGGCACCGAAGGAGGGACATCCGGGGATCGGCGGCCACCAGAGGATCGACGGGATCGTTGCACTGCCAACATGGTCTCTTTCTATTTTCTTCTTGGGTGGTTCGAGGTGGGGAATGGGTGAAACTGTGGGGATTGTCCTCTCGCAAGCAAAACAGCAATTGGAAAATTGGATACAGTCGAAGATCCTTCTCTTTGGTAAAGCACCAGCTTGTAGTAGCAATTGCTAGCTAGGTTTCTGTTTCAGTGTTTGACCACCGAGGCTTTTTGCAATTGTGAGATGCAAGGAGATGAACACGGCGAAGAAATAAATGTGTGTTTGTTTTCCAGTGCTGACACGGTATCGGAATGGACTTGAGTCAACAAGAACAACAACACGATAACAACAACAACACGTCCAGAAGCGATGCCATCTACTTACCCTGGTCGATGAACGCCGGAACTCTACCGTAACATACAAGGACTGAAAGAGGCATTCTTGGATGCCTTCTTCCCCAAAGTGTCATTGAAAAACTTCAACACTTTCGCTGTGACCATGGTGTATAGTTTACAATAGATTAATATTCAAATGAATACAACGGTATCATCCGAGACATGTTATAACGCCGCATCAGACTTATACAGCAGACCAGGTTACAGGCATCAGACGGGGCTTCCCTTAAAAGCGCCACTACTAACTCTTGTACACCATCGGTTGAGATGGGCATCTTAGCTGTTATTGAGGAAGTAGTTGCAGGCATCCATTCTTGGGGCTTTTCTTATTGAAAATGCTCTGACCAACACCTGCTAATTCCATTTCGAGGGTGTAGGTCACTGCCGGGATCCTTACGGCTTTACAAAACTTAAAAGCCTGTGGCTCCCACTCTGTCCCACTTGCTCTCTTACATCACATGCATGTTTCGGCAACTGGCGCGGAATGACTCCCGCGGCCACGCACTACCTGAAACGTGAAGCCTAGGTCGCCCCAACACTGGAACAATGGCACGACAATGACGCGACAAGTAGACTACATGTACAATGTACCACCAACAGAAAGATCTGGTCGTATGTGGTACGGTACCACCAACACAAAAGATTTGCCCTCAACGTCGTGGGACAACAGAGGGGCGACTCGACTGACCCGCTCGACTCGACTCGACTGGGATGGGATGATTGTGCCCTCCTGTTCCAGACATCATGATTCCGACTTTGTGCGTTTCGTCCAGGCCAAGATCTCGTTTGCCCTGCCTTTCTGGCTGGCTCTACGGTCATGTGGGATCGCTGGCTAGCTGGACTCGACTGGGATGAGCACCAGACCTGATTTCTGGAAGACATACACAAGATCGACGACAAATAATTGCCCACCTAATCGCTCCTCCTGCCTTGCTCGACTGAGTGCCAGACCTGATTTCTGGTGGGTAGATGATGCCACCAGCGGCCAAGATCGCAAGTTCTTCCTTCGGGCGGGCAGTCCCGTGGTCTGGCTTGTCTAGCTAACTTCAGCCAGAAGAACTTGCTACGGACCACGAGTTGTTTATTGCAACACTGGCTGGTTCACTGGAACAATGCGGCCGCTTGGAACTGGCCCCAGATTAATCTTGGTAACATCACAGTGTAGCTTGGTGCGATACAAGAAAACAAGAACGAAAACACGGACGGCATTGGTCCTAAACATTCGGGGCTGCCTGCGAGGAGCAAGCGGTATGGCGCGAAAGAGAGGCTCGTCCAAGCAAGACACACACCGAACCAACCACAGCCTATGGTCAAGTTTTGAAAGCGCTAAGACTGCGTGTGGTTGCTGTTGCACTGCCGCATCTACTGTGTGAGAGCTTCTTTGTCATGGGATAGCTAGCTAGTAATTCCAATAGTCGGTATTGATTGATTGACACAAAGATTAGTAGTTATTATTTGCGACTGCGCCGAGGGCTTGCTTTTACTTCACTCAGAATGACAGGGGGCACTGCTGGCCGCCTGTTCGAGTAGAAGGGTTGAGGGCACGCTAAGGCCCCAATGCTAAAGAGTTTCCGTGATGTGGAGGGGTTGTTGTGTTCTGGGAAGGGCACGCTAAGGCCCTGTTCCAATGGATTTCCTTGAAGGGATGGGCACGCTAAGGCCTTGTTCTAATGGGGTCCTTGAAGGGATGAGATGGTTTGGTTCTGAGGTGGATCAAGGTGCAGTATCTTACACGATTGAAACATGCATGACTGAAACATGCGTGTTTACAGACCTGCAGGTTTATAACCAGCAAGATCCTCTGTGACAGCATCAACTCTCGCTGCCAGCTTATTTGCTTGCTTTTTACTAGCAGCAAGGTAGCTCCTCTTGGAGCTCTCATAATCTACATTTCCTCACAATTCTAACTATCTAGAACCGATCTATTTGATCTCCAGCACATATTACATTTGGTACCGCCTAGATAGGGCACTGTTATAACAAGCTGGCATCAAAGTAAGTAACAAACAATTTCGCTCACCATGAGTGTTGCCGACAACAAAGTAAGTAAAAATCAATTGCATCATGAGTGATGCCAAAACCAATGCCAAACGCAAAATCATGAACAACCTTGGACTCCAAGGCTTTAAGTCCAAAAGGACAAAACCAAAAATAAATAAATACATACCATCAACACTGTTGATCTAAAACACAAACACACCAACAACAATGGTGATACAAAACATCTCGTATACCGAGCATAGTATAAGCATTCAAGGAATGCTCGAACAACATGGCTATTTCCTGCCAAAGGATGCGCCATTCACACCCTAATGATCAAAATAAGATCAACAAACTATTGGTACTCTACTAGATGCCATCATTCCCAATAGCATCTTCTTAGTAGATGTAGTGGACGAACAAACACAAAGATCCAACCAAGACCTTGCCAGTCAAGGTCCACAATGACAACGACTCACAGCAGTCCCAATACACACCAAACATGAACGTTCTAGCAAACGTAACCATATGATGCGCACAACCATCATCGCGAAACAGCAACCATACATGGGGACAATGCCTTGTCAAGCTCAGAACAAGGCACGAATCCAAGGATTCTGCCATCAATTATATGCATTCTGCAAAGCAGCCGCACCACACACAAAGTCTCCTGCAGACACCTATATTATTATGATTTCGGATGCCCACACATCTAACTGCACTACGCTAAAAGCTAGTGTAAAGATAGTGTTTTGAGTTTGAGAGAATGAAAGTTATGCTAACGTGGGGAAATACTACTTGAATAGAGGGATCTTGTAGAGGTAGCTACCACCCGACGAGATCAACTGCAACTATTCAAGACGAGTGCAAGGTATCAGCTTCCACCTAGGATGTGATTTCTTCCGTGATGAGAACGGAGTATACTGAGTTACGCACCTCGCAAATATTTGAGAAGGTACTCAGCAACTACCAACGAATCTTCGGCACACATGCCCAAACAAGTCTCATCTCCACTCATCAAAGGAGACCACCCAGAGACTGACACAACAGAGCTACTCGATATGGACACACAAAAGATATATCAGTCACTCATCGGTAGTCTACAGTGGGCAATCCAAATTGGAAGGTTCGATATCGCCACGGCCACCATGACGATGTCCAGATTTCGGGCAGCACCAAGAATGGGTCACTTAGAGCGAGTCAAGAGAATCTGCGGGTACCTTTCCAAGATGCGACACGGCATCATACGTATCGAAAGGAGGAACCGGATTACTCAGCGATTCCCAAGAAAGAGTACGAATGGGAATACTCATGCTACCATGGTGCCAAAGAAGTTCAGCCGCACAACGCACCGGTACCTCGAGGCAAACGGGTCATTCTCACCACATATGTGGATGCGAACCTCTATCACGATCTCATCAGTGGCCGGTCAGTTACCGGAGTCCTACACCAGCAACAAGACTCCCATCGACTGGTTCAGCAAGCTACAGTCAAAAGTCGAGACCGCAACGTTCGGATCTGAGTATGTTGCAGCCCGTACCGCCACTGAACAGATCATTGACCTACGGAGCACGTTCAGGTACCTAGGAGTACTGGTCGACACACCGACCATGATGTTCGGAGACAACGAGACGGTAGTCAACACCGCCTCGATGCCACACTCAAAGATTCTCAAAAGACACAATGCGCTTTCCTACCACCGTACTAGGGAAGCCGTTGCTGCAAGTATCTTGAGATTTCATCATATCCCTGGATCTACTAACCCTGCAGATATCCTCAGCAAACACTGGGACTATACATCGGTATGGCCTATCTGAATGCACTGCTGTTTTGGTCAGGAGAACCAAGGATTGCGGTAAGAAACATCAGAGTCGACAGTCGCCACTAGGGGAGTGAAAGCGTTACAGTTCCTCCACGACTCAGAGTATCCGTGAGTAGATTGAGTCATGTTTTATGAGTCAACACGATGGAACAGAGACGCTGGCAAGAAACGTTCTCAATGAAACCAAAAGGACACGGTAAATTGGAGTATTCGACAGGAGAAAGCATCCTGCCAACGAACCGTTTCCCGCAGATACCACGTTGACTTCCGTATCAACTACCACGATGTATTGATCCAACACGCTACAACTAGCTTTACTGATCGCATCAATCAAAGGTCACA